TGTGAGGCGAGTTTGAACAGCCCTACGAGGCGAGCAACAGAGCTCCGACAACGAATGCCGCACACAGAGAGGAGACGTCGATCCGCAGCAATGTCGCGCGACTCTCCTTCGAATCGCTATCCGAGGACGAGGTGACGCCGGTCGCGTTGGGAATGGCCGAGGAGCCCGTGCCGATCTCGAGGATGTGGTCATCGCCAGGGTCGGTGTTCGTCTTCGCGATGGCGACTTCGTTGTTCTCCAGATCATAAACCACGTACGCACTGCGCAGGAAGGTATCGCCGAGCACGAACTCTCCGCCGTCGGAGTCTGAGTCCTGGGGCACGATGCCGAAGACGCAATAGGAGCCCGCGTCCAGGAGCAGGTCGCCCACCGGCACGGAGAGGTTGAAACCCGAAAACTCGAAGACAACATCGTAGTCCTGGTCCGCGACGTCGCAGTCGACGATCGCGTAGCCGGCCCGCGCGACGTACTCGGCGCCCACGGCGCTGATCAGATCCTGGGCGGCGGCGGAGGGGAGGTAGGTCAGCGAGGTGCCGCTGTCCAGAACCCCAACCACGGGGAAGGCGGTGTTGTTGACGCTGGTGCTCTGGGTGCCTGTGACGTGCACCCCGTTGAGGCTGACGGCCAGGGTATCGTAGACGCCGTTGATTTTCTCGATCGGCAAGGTGTGCAAGCTACCGGTGTACTTGGCGGTGTTGACTCCTCCAAATAGGATGGTGCCTTCTTTGGCGTCCAGGTCATCGAGCCAGAGACTGTACGCGGCGGAGTTGATGAAGCCCTGGTTGGCCAGCGCTTTGGGGAGGTTGGCATAGACTCCGCCTCCAAATTGAGCGGAGGTCTCTCCGCTGGCGTAACCGATACCTAGGACTCCCTCTAGATTTCAGGTCAGTCATGCCTGAGGCAGGAACTAGGGATCGACAGGGGGTTCGACTTACGACTGCTCGTGCTGTTGGTAGCGACACCGAACTGGAAGTTCGTCAAGGTGACGTTTCCTAACTTGACAGTATCGTTCACATAGTCGCCCGCGGCTTCGCTTCCATCCACGTATTGAATCACGAAATCATCATTGACCAGAGAGTATGTCGAGGAGGCCGAGGAGTCATAAGTGCCGTAGGAGTTGTTGGAGCTGTCGGAGCCAGTACCCGCTGCGTTGACCCAAAGATCGCTACTTCCGGTATCGATGATGACGCTGACGTTCTGTCCGGGGGTGCCCAGCTCCAGGCTGATGATGTAGTCTACCTCCTATTGAATCATTATGTCAGTCGCTTCTTCGGCCCAGATGGCAGGTCAACAAGGGGGTGGTAAAGAGGGCGCACAACGTACATTATTCCCGATATCGACGTCAACAGTGGCTCGTTTGTGTGAAGATCGAATCGCGTTGTGTCTCCGCTGGACATTGTATTGTAGAGTCGCCGGTTGACTGCGTTCGTGCAGGGTAAGCGCCGAAATGGGCTGGATTAGGCCGCCGGCCAGCGAGAAAAGGAGGGCGAGATTCTTCATGATGGGGATGGGACGGACAGCTAGCTTTAAGGGCGGTAACAGTGCGCCGAAGGGAGGGAGGGGGCTGGAGGGTAATTATACTGCGACGAAATTTAGCATGGCGTCATGGTTGCCTGCCACCATGGTCCACTTCAATGGCTTCCGATTAAGCCGCTTGATGAATCTGATGAATCTTTAGTTTTTTTGCTGGAGCCACGCGGCCCCCTCGGAAGTAGAGCGGGTGGTTTTGGGTGGTTTTGGGTTAGGCAGATGCGATTTGGGATTGACGATGACGCGGCTGTGGCTTTGCCGCCAACCCAACTGGGAGGGTCTGCTTTCGGCTGTCTCGGCCTCTAGCAGTAGACTAGCCTTGCTTCGGCCTTCGCGGAAAACTTAATTTCCGCCTTCTATTTTGTTGCCTGAGGCATCAGGGTGCTCAGCCACCGCCAGCCCATCCTGCGCCATGCAAGGCTTGGCTTTCATCCAGCTAATCAACCATCCAAGTCGATGGACTCGTGGACTTCGCATTGGATCCAGCCAATCGCCGCCCCGACCGCTAAACACCGAACTTCGCCCTTCACCTCCGTCCGCATCTCATTTCAAGATCACGAGGTACTGGAGAGAGCATCAAGCAAGGTTCTGTCCAGCTGGATTTATAATCGGCCAGTGGTGTCTGACCTGGCATAACCAACACTGAGAGCGCCGTGATTACTCACATTAAGCGAGACCGGTGACGTTCATCGATCTCGAATTTACCATTCCTATTTCCAGAACACATCCCTTCATCTCCAGTCTACATAATATTGAATACTGATTGTTGACCTCCGCAATGATTGGTCTACCCGACAAAAAGAGAGAGAAAAACAAAGGAAAAGTTCAGACCGCCCCAAGGACGAAATCTGACGTGGTTCCCGCGCGTGTGCGAGGGCGAGGCAAGGTCACGTGCTGTGATGGGCTTCCGGGATAGCATCATCTCTGGTATCAGACTGACATACGTCCTCCCGACGCTCGCGGATCAAGTCGATCGCGGGAAAATCAAGCAGAAACAGCTTCGAAAGAGCCCTCTAAAGCCCATCAAAAGAGCGCCTCAGCATCGAAGTCCATCGTCCAGCCGCGGAGGTCTGGAAAGAGGCGATCCCGCGCTTTCCGGCAGTATACAACATCCCCGCAACCGCAACCTCATCTACCAGGTAAAATGCGACTGGAAATCAACGACAAAAAGGCAGATATTCTAGTGCCTGCCCCCGACCTGGGTTGAACGCTCGACCTTGAAGCGGCCAAAAAAATTAGGTAAGGACATTATGGACATTCGAGGCGACTGCAAAGTGATTTCTCCTTTGCTGTCGCCTCGGATGCGATAGATTCTTCTCTAAAGTGGCTTATGAACCTGCACCCCTACCCGCTCGCCAGCGCTCTAGAGGCCAGCATCAGCTCTGGTACCTTTTAGATAACACAGGAAGCTTCCCCTTGGTCTCGCGGTCATTTTAATATGCGATTCTCGAGATTTCAGCATGGGGGGTGTTGGAGGGGTGTTGGATGGTGCCGGAAAGATGCCCGGTGAGGCGTACTAGGTATGGGCAAGGAGCTCGGGAAGGCAGCAAGGCACCAAGGCATCAAGGTAGCAACGCGGCATGGCACTAAGGCAGCGAGGCATCACAGCACCTAGGCAGCAGCCCCAGCAGGGCTGGAAGATCATTAGAGCTTGGATTAATTCTAGCATCATTACTCGAATTACTCTTGATGACTTAAAACCTGAAGTTTTCAAGCATTGGTCATGGGGGAATTATTTAACACTCGGGTATTAGCTAAGGTGGCAGTGTTTACGAGAACTCATACATCCGCAGGGGCATATCGTTTCCCCAGAGAATATTTCAACACAAAGTGAGTACAGCTATGTCATCCATAATACTGATAACAGTTCCTTTGTTGGGCTTTTGTGAAGCTCGAAATTCCCCCTAGTTATTACTCCGAAACGCTAGAGGGAGTGGGGATCTACTGTTCATCTGCCGAAGTGTTCTTGCCTCAGGCGCCAGGGCCAACAACTCATCGCGAACTACAGATTTCTTTCACTCGACCCCAGCTGATAAATTCTCATTGCGTTGCGTCCAGTTACAAGTGACTCTATCATTATAGACAGCTATCTTCAACTAACGCTCTGTGAAACCAAGAGGCGCCTTGTAACTGAAAAGGTGTTTCGGAAACATCTAAAGCCTACTGTCAAACAGCTGGCCGAAGTTCCTTTCGGCCAAGTTTCTTTGACCCCATCTGACCTACGAGGGGTGCACTGACGGTGGTCGCGGCGCCCTACGCGACTGGGCCTCGAGCGACCGCAAGACAGTGCATATGATTCTCACATCCAAAAAGCGTAAGCTCTATATTATTCCTGGGAGTTGGGTCATGTATGCGCAAAGTACAGACTGTATATCGGCTCCGTTCTTATTGGAGTGTAGCTGGTTCCGAAAGCTTGTTTTGCCGGAGGGTTGACCTTTTTTGAAGGGCTCTCACCTACTCACGTGATTCATCGTCGAGGCTTGGGAATAGAATCTATGCATTAAGATTCAGGATAGGCGGCGTGCCCTACCGTTCTTTGTCTATTCCTCTTATAGAGCTGTAGCATACTCACTGTGTATTAGGAGTGCAATCAGGAATATCGCAATAATCTCAACATGCTGCTAGGAGACGGTTGCTAATGTCCTCACTCAGAACCGCTCTCGATACATCTGTTCCCTGCCATCCCGCGACCAAATGCCTCGCACATACTCGACCTCACCCTCTCTGTTCTTCTTACGCGGTTTTTTCCCCGCCTGCAGGAAAATTGGCGAAGAGCAGCAACGCCTTGGTAATTAGCTGCGGAGGTAGCGGGGAAGTTCTTGTCCAAGTCCGTGACCTCTGCCTTGACGCTTTCATCCGCCAGTTGTCGCTGTGGGAGTTTCTTGAAAGCTGATTTTGACATCTGGACGCAACGTCTCGCTGAACCGGATCTGTCCCGGTGCTTCTCCGTCCACCCGCCTGTTTCCCGAAGCCCTTCCTATTTTCATTTTCTCCTGTAAAGTTGTATCGGCCTACCTAAATATGAGTAGCGCTAGGTTTCCAAACAGTAATCATGCAGACTGCTTTTTCAAAACAAGGCGTGTGAAGTTCTGTTGCTCATATACCCGAGTCGGAAGAGCTTTAGCACAGGCGACGCAATTCCAGGCTCATGCGCACAATATCAACGGATCTCGGATTATGTGCAGCTGCGCTGGCGTGGATAGATTTGGAGAACCATACATAGTGTGGACGTCAGATTTCAGGCATGTGGCTCGACTCGAGTGATTAGATAAGACATGGTGACGTTCAATCAAAGCTCAGGTGAAAAATGAGCCTGGCAGAATGCGCTGGGGATCGAACCGAAGCAGGTGTCTCGTGAGGATTGTATGCGCTATGACACCGTTAACTCGTCAAATAGCGGTAACACCGATGGACACAGATGTCTTATAATCAACGAGGCTTATTTGAACAGATTCCATTGATGTTCAATCTTAGCAATCCACTGAGACAGCCGCATACAGAACAGCATGGCACTGAAGATCCGTCACGTTGTAGGAACTTCCTTCGCAATTGGACCCGCTCCACGTTTCCACCACACAGCCACTGCACCGACCAATGATGTTAGCAAACGTGCACATATTGACTGGAAGGGAGCAGCAAGGGGGATCATAGAAGAAGACGCACCTGTTCTGAGTCACCTGGAGCGAGGTCTTGTCGGACGTGACCGCCATGCAGGTAGAGACATTGCTCTGCGTCACGGCAAAGACATCCTCATTGCCGCCACAGGTATCGTTAGCATACATCTTCACTACGGCAGGGTAGGCGCTGTTCTGGGTTGGAGCGGTGATAACTGAGGCCTCAGTGGTGGAGCTAGATGAGGTGGTTGTTGTTGTTGTTGTCGTCGATCTCGTCGCCGCGGTCGTTGTTTGTGCAGTCGTCGTCGTGCGAGTTGTACTCGACACGGTCGTGGTCAGTGCAGATGAATGATTGCTGCTTGAAACATCTTTGTTCTCGGTATGTGTCTTGTGCTGACTGCCAACCACGCCTCCCACCACAGCCGCCACTATTACCACCACCAAGGCCACTAGGCCACTCAGCACCCAGCATCTCCGCGTTCCAAATGTCCGGGTGCTCGCTTTGTGTTCAACCAGCGCCTGCTGCTGCTCTTTCTGGGCCGCCAACTCCGCGTCGACCACGAAAAGTGGTGGTGTCTTCGACTCAGGAGTCGAGTTAAAATGACCATGGCTGTACGATGTCACCTCCGGCTGGCTGTGAGGATCTTCTTCGATATATGCCCGCTCCTGTTACCGCACAAGTTGTTAAAGGCCCGTCTGGTACGCGGTATCTCAAACGCAATGAATTTCGCAGAAGGCGTACCATTGGAAAAGTCGAGTCTCGTGTGCTAGAGCTGGATTGCAAGTCGTGAAAGAGAGGGGTGAAGGTTGAGTCGAGGCTTTCGACAGACAAGCAAGCAATAAAAGAGAAGAAGAAAAGAGGGGAGGAAGAAAGGAAGGAAGGAAGGAAGAAGAGAGAAAAGAGAGCGGCAAGCGGGATGAGCTGAGCCGCGCCTTTGTACAGTATATTGCGACCGTTGTTTAGCTAGAGCAACCATGAACCTGAAAGTGGAGCAAGGAGCTGAGAAAATGCTAAAGAATGAGTGTCTCGAACAAATCTTGGAGGTGAAGAAGGGTGCTGATGGCCCACGGAAACGTGCGATGATATGCGCTACGGTATTTAGTGCCTCTACTTTGCACATTCTGAGCCAGTCACAGGCGCTGGAGAGGGACGTTTTGGCCCCCAATCAACAAAGGTCAGTAGATTAGTTAGTCTGGCGTACATAGTGGACACTAATGTCGCGACTCGATACCCCAATTTACCTAGTTTGATGGCCCGAATAACTCGGTAATGAGTCTATCGCTTGACTAGGTTAAAATCCCTCACTGTCGAGACCTATAATTGTGTGATTATTATTGATACCAAGTCATAAGTTACCTAGCCTCCGGGTAGACTAGGACCCACTCGCCTACCTTCTAAGCCAGTTACCTTTTATCCCAGCCCAGACGAAGATGCATCCCTTGAAGCCAATGTAGGTTAAGCATCGATGATTATCAACCAGAAAGCCCTTGGTTCGTCATGATTTTACTTGGTTCATTATTAGTATTGGCGTCTCGTGACTACTTCTCAGACTATCAGTTCATATATGAACACTAAATCCTCCAGTCCCGGGACAATGTTGTTGATTCATATATCTCGCCCACAAAAGAGAGACTATTTATCCTGGCCACCCAGCAATGCTATTTCTATCGGAGTAATCTTTTACTCCTTTTCGAGAAAGACAGGATGTAAGATTTGAGAGTCCGATTACTCTATTTCAACGCAAGTAGATGTGGGGACAGCAGGCCGTCTGTCATCGCAGTCATAATCCACACCCACATACACACATGCAATCATTGTTCCTCATTCTTCACCCTTCTCCCTTATCAATCACCATCATCACATTACTAAATAAGACCTACCAGATCCCCTTGCTTTACTACGCTTACCGCCCATACTCCAACGCCAAACTCTGGATCAACCGAATCCCCTCCTTCCGCCAATCATCCCGCTCCACAAAGGTAGTCACATTCGCGTCCCAGACGACAATCTCTGGCGCCGCGGCACGATAAACAGGCCACTGCACCCCGTCCTGGGTGGCGTTGCGACCGCGCCCCAGCCAGGCATTAGGGTCGAGACTGATGACGAAGCTCGCCCACGAGCCGGCCATCAGATAGCTGAGCTCGGCGTAGCTCGCCGGCATCCCCGCAAAGGGGCTTGGGTCATAGCCCTCCCCGGCGAGATTGTTGAAGATGAAGGCCACGTCGGAGAATTGCTCCACCCCGACCTCCCACGCGAGGCCCGCCGGCTTGGTGTTGAAGCGGTAGCAGTACGCGGGTATCCCGCGGGCGGCGCAGACCTCGCAGGTGCGTCGCCGTGAGGCGATGAAGACCTGGTCGCCGTAGTAGGCGGCTGTCTGCCGGAAGCTGGCGCCGTAGGGCTGCGGAAAGATGATGTTGGTCCCGCCTAGCTCCTCGGTTGAGGGGATGCCGAAGGTGGTTGTGTTCAGGTAGAGGGTGAGGAGACGGGTTGCCATGGTGTCGTTTAGGGCTAGTTGGTAGCTGGATGTTTCTGGATCATAAGGTTGTCTAATTTAGCACAAGCCTGCCCCTTTGTTTATCTGACAGGGTGAAAAGCACATACCAGTCATCCAGCCTCTCAATTCGAGGGAGGTATTCACCGGCTTCGGACACTGCGTCGTGCCCTCGTCGGTCGTCGTGCCGGCAATGATCGGCACGTGCACGAATGCCCCATCTTCCAGCTGCTGGCTGGGGTAGCGGGCCACAAAATCACCGTCGATGGACGGTTCCCACCCCGTGTTGTACGTAGTCGTATTGAGGATATTGTTCAGGGTGGTAAAGGGGAGGTCGCGCAGACAGTCCAGCTTGGTGGAGTTCTGGTCGCTTCCGCAGCCGGCGGCTGCGACAATCCCATCAAACCTTCCTTGATATTCGGAGGTCAGGTTCAATGGGCCCTGCGGAATGACGGGGCCAGACTCCATGATTCCCGCCCGGAATAACCTATCGTCTCGTCCGTTGAACGCGCGGAGATGGTAGCCCACGCTCTCCGACCCGGCACTTTGTCCGTAAATAGTGATTCTGTCCGGGTCACCTGCGGATTTCAAATATCTTGTGTGAGATGATCCGCATACTTCTGCTATGGAGGGTAGACAGCCATAAAGGGTATGAGAAGAGGGCAAAAGACAACGGACCTCCAAATCCCGCGATGTTCTCCCTGATCCAATGTAGAGCCAGTCGCTGGTCCTTGAGGCCGAGGCTCAACGCCCCGCTGGCAGCCACCTCGTCGCCGTTCAGGAAACCAAAGGGTCCCAGACGGTAAGCTAGACTCACTGCAATGATGGGTTGGTTGATGACGGCGGAGTTGTTGACAATGAAGGTTAGGTTATATCGCTTATCCGGAGTACCTCCTTCTTTGAAGCCACCGCCTGCAGGACGAACAAGGTCAGCACTCACAAGAACGTCGCTTTCTGCTCGCCAAAAAAACACACAAAAAGAAAAAGGAAAGGAAGAAATAACATAAGTTACAGGCAAAAGATAGACATGGCCGACGCTGGTAAAGTTGGATTATCTTACCATGGATCCATACCAATACTGGCAGACTGTCATTCTCGTAGCCAGACGGTCGGATTACGTTAAGATAGAGACAATCCTCGCTCTGCAGGTACCCCTTCTGATCACCACCGTAGCCAATACACTCCTACAAACGAGCTTCACTTAGAACAAAACAGCATAACATCAACCAGAGGGAATTGCTCACAAAGGCATATTTCCTTGCCGGGCGGGCTCCCGTCCACGAGGTATTCAGAGACTCCGGGTTCGCAAATCGTCGATGTTCCAATGGTGGACGAGCGAAAGGGATTCCCAGAAAGAGATCCTGCTGATACTCGGGGAGGTATTCACCCGAATAAGTTCCATTCAAGGTCTCCCCAATTAGGGGATTTGCCTGTACCGCGCCCGACGTGACTGGAGTTGAGTTGCAAAGTACTGCATACAAAAGGAATAAGAAGAGCGACCACATTGCTGCCTGGGAGAGTAGTGAAATTATTCGTGCTTGTAGACTTCTACCCGGTAGTGAATCCAAGTCTGGCGGAAGAGTTATGTGTCACTCATAGGCCTACGAGGCATGTCCTACGCTTTGCTTTGCCGAGTCTATTCCATTGCCAAACGTTTAACCATAAAATTTCTCGCCAATCTCTCGCAAGGCATTCGGGGTACAATGGAACGAGCATGCATATGGCATGACGAGGGTGCAGTAACCGATGGTACCAGTATTCCGTCCGAGGTCTGCGGGGTGCTCAGGGCTCGTTCTGTGGGGTTAAGGGAAGATGAAGCATGTCCCAGTGGAGAAGTGGGTTTACCCCGCGTGGTGCCTCCGAGAATCGGCAATGTCCGACATTTGTCTCATCTTGAAGAGTATGATACATGATATAATTCAATTTAAGCTAAGAGCACACGAAATTTGCGGTAAGAGCCCCCCTCTCGCTTGCACGTCAGACACTCGGAGCTAAGGGAAGAAGCTTTGCCAACCGACGCCAGGCGTGCGCCACCTGGTCCCGCAATAATGTTACGACATATTGTTATCGCTGGAACGTCGCCCTGGATTGGGGACAGCGCAGTGCACAACACGGAGATGACCTCCCCTTCGTCTTCGACAATGCGCGCGGTACTGGCTACGAGAAGAAACCACTGGATAGGGAGTCACTCGTGGAGCTGGCGGCCGAGGTAAGTGGCAGCTGGGTCAGCTTCGTCGCGACCATGAACCCGAACGCCTGGAAGACGGCTAGCAATAGCAGCATTACTGCACCAGCGACAACCACGAAGGGGAGGATTCCAATCTGGCCGCAATACGAGGCCCCGCATCAGTACGCACTGGTCTTTCAGGCTAACGGGACGAGTTACGTCGAGGAGGATAACTGGCGAGCAACTCCGATTCGGCTAATTAACGGGCCTCCGTCGGGGATTGCCGTGGCATATCAACGGTAGATGAGGGCAGAGTACAGGGTGGAGTGGTTGAAGTTTGGGGAAGCGTCATTGCAGCAGCGACCGAGCGAAAAGATATTTGTCTACGGATTGTATCTAGTTGTGTGATCTGTACGGATGGACTGTTTGGCCTCGTACACCCACTGTACCGTATCTAAAATGACGATAAACCTGATTCCAGAGCTAGTTCTCACCCAGTATGTGTCGAAATCTCCAAAAACCTTACATTTTCTTGATGTATCTGCTTGCATATCCTTCGTGACCGATTAGTGTAGACCGCATATTATCCCCGTGCCAAGCAACGCCGGCAGCGCAACTCATAATCAAGCACGGCACTTCTCCAACCCGCTCGCAAGGTAGTACTGGAACAAGTAATGATCGGAGCGATGGCGGTGCATACTTCCAGGGTCCCACAAATTGTGCGGGGGATCTCAAAGTCGATAAACGAGAACGGGAGCAGAGAGTAACAATGCGGGGGCTATGGAAGATCCCAGGTATGTTTTCTTGGCTGACTGAAGTTGTTGTCAATCCGAGCCCTAATTTCCGGGGTGGCCGCGCGGGAAGACGTCATATCATGGATGTACGCTGCAACGGCACATTAGACCAATCGAAGGCCACACATTCCTGGTGCTAGGGCTCAGCAAGTCACAGACGAATCGTCATTTTCTTGATTTTCAGGCACGAGTGCTGATCTTAGCCGGAGGGAAGTGGACGCACCATCCGTGCTGCAGAACACGTATACATGGCCGAAGCTAGAGTCTTCATCCCGCTCGGTTGACCTCCTACCCACTTTCCAGACCAGCTTGGCTTTGATTTTGCGCGTGTCCGGTCATGTATCTCGGACGGCGTTACTGAATCTGGGAATTGGGATGACTTGCAGTGGCTGGTTGTGAGGGATAGGAGGTGATGGCGCAGGGGAGAAGGCGGGAGAGGAGCTCAGTCCGAATAGTAGGGATGCAAGCCAGAATACACCGGCCATGGGAAGTATAAAGCCTGGATGTGGCTAGCACTTAACCTTCCAATCCATCATTCCGACCGAGACGCCCTTCTCCAGAAAGTAAACCCCAAGCATCTAGGACATATGAAACTCCAACACCATCTGATTGTGGGTTGGGCTGCCCTAGCCGCCTCCCACGGTGCCTTCGAACATGAAACCCTAGAGGCCGCGATGGGCCGCCATCGCCACACAATCAAAGCGCGACGCAGTCTGGAGTCCTGCGCGGGGGACCTGGAGAGTTCAGGCAGCAATCTGCGTCTTCGCGCGCGCCGCGACGAGATCATTGACCATCACCGTCGGCGTAAGCGCTCCACCGTCGAGATTCTGAACACCACCCATCTCCACACCGGGCCGCGGATCGACCCATCCCGCCCGGGAGAGGTCTTTGCGCACGAGCACCATGTGCTTCTGACCCCCTACGGTGACAACGGACCGTACTACGTGCCCGGCGAGCTCATCCGCGAAGACGCGCGAGAGGACCAACTCGGCGTGCCCATCATCGTGGAGGCGCAGTTCATCGACTACGAAAGCTGTCTCCCCGTGCCTGGAATGTTTTGGGATATGTGGAACGCGAACGCGACCGGGGTGTACAGCGGGGTGATCAACGAGGGCAATGGCGACTTCTTGGATCATTCCAACGTGAACGCGACCTGGCTGCGCGCCGTGCAGATGGCGGACCAGGACGGGGTGGCGCGCATCCAGACCATCTTCCCCGGTCACTACACCGGCCGCACCAACCATATCCACATCATCGCCCACACCAACGTGGTTGTGCTGCCCAACGGCACCATCACCGGCGGCAGCATCAGCCACTTCGGCCAGTTCTTCTTCGACCAGGCCCTCATCGACGCCGTCGAGACCACATACCCCTACACCCTCAACCCATACGCGGTGATCGGTAACGCCCTCGACGACACCTTCCGCCAGGAGACCGCCTTCTCCGCCTCTGACCCGGTCTTCAACTACGAGTACCTGGGCGATACCCTGCAGAACGGCCTGTACATGTGGGTGCGCATCGGGGTGAATGTATCTGCGAGCTGGCAGTCTGAGTACAGCTTCACGCATAGTGCCAACGGCGGCAAGTATTCTTGTGGCACAGGGCGGATTGGGGCCAACTACACCACCTCCGACGAGCACTGTGCCGATAATGTCGATGTCGGCGCCGTCCCCGGGGAGACTGCTCCAGGTCCAGCGGTGTATTCGGCTGCGCCTCCTACCGCGTGGGACAACGTCACCGAAACAGCGGAGCAGCAGGCGGATCACGATGCCTTGCAGTCGGCGGTGGCACACGCGGAATTCACTGAGGCGGCGTACTTGGCTAGCATCGCCAGCAGGAGTGCTGCAACAGCCACCGCGCTGTAAGGATGGATTGGGCTTCAGATGTCGTTGAGGTTAGATGGGAGACGCGTGACATTGAGAATGCCTAGATAATTGTGTATGACCTTTCCTGAGCTCATCGGGTCAAGGTGCTGTTCCTTCCGCTTATCTCTTGTCTCCCTACAGAGTTTACAAAGTCTTGGATATATTCTTTGAGTTTTATAGCTCACATGTGGTCGCCGAATCCCTTCCGGTGTTTCTGCAGATGAAAACAAGCCCTACGCTCAGTCGCTTTCTCCAGTATTTGCCCTGAAGAGCCTGCCCTTCGCCGTGCTATCTTACGCTTAACTAGAAAGAGCAGTTGAGTTTATGATATATCTTTCATTCCTGACAACTGGGCTCGTCGGCTATTCTACCAGTCCGCTGCCGAAGTGTGAACAGCCATTAGCCTTAGTATCTTTGTCTTGGTTCCCAAAAGTTCTGATTGTTCACTAAAAAAGTACCAGGCTATCAGGTCTCTGCCCGGGTGAGCACTAATAAGATAACTTACCTTGGGCGTTTGTTTCCTTTGTAAAGCAGCCGGGCTGTGCAGCGCAACGCATGGGTTGCCTAATGTGGTAACCCACCTGGCCACTTAGCCTATTTGGGTAAGCATTGCGATGCCCTACAATAAAAGCCTCGTGTCTTCCCCTTCGGTTTGTCCCATGCAGCTACTCCTCTTCTTCCCCAACTAAGATCAAACATTTGATAGTTTCCTTTCTGAACCTTGGGCTTTGCTTCCAGAGCCGACCATCCCTCTCTTCCTCTACTCTGCATGACATTCAAAGTAGCCATCGTGGGCGCCGGCCCCGCCGGATGCCTTCTCGCGCGACTACTCCTCAACCAGCCGACGGTGGAAGTGACGGTGTTCGAGGCGGAGCCTGCCATCGACTACCGTGCACAGGGGGGATCCCTGGATCTGCATGAGAATGGCGGGCTGGCTGCCCTCAAAGCCGCCGGCCTGTACGAGGAGTTCCTGAAACACGCGCGCTTCGACGGCGAGGCGCTCCTCGTGTGCGATGCAAAGCTCAAACCATACATCCAACTCAGTCCCACCAGCAAAGACCACAGTCGCGGACGGCCGGAGATCGACCGATCCGCCCTCCGGCGCATGCTGGTCGAGTCCCTGCCGCCCGGGACGGTGCAGTGGAAACGTCCACTGCGTCGCGTGGCGGCTGTCGACACAACTGATCCAAAACAAGGCCACATCCTGGAGTTTGCCGACGGGACGACCGCATCCGGCTTCGACCTCATTGTCGGGGCAGACGGCGCGTGGAGCAAAGTGCGCGCGGCGCTCTCCGACACCGTGCCCCGGTACGCCGGCATCGGGGGGTTCGCGCTCCAGATCCCAGACGCGGCACGCACCGCGCCGGAATGTGTGGCCCGTCTCAACGGCGGGTCGATCTTCGCGTACTCGACCGGCTGCATGCTGGCGGCGCAGCAGCTGGGCGACGGCAGCATTAACATGGGGTTGTGGCGGGCGCGGCCGGAGGGATGGGAGCAGCAGGTTGACTACGCGCTGACCGACCCGGCGGCTGTGCGGGCGGCGCAGATCCGCGAGTTTCGTGATTATGCCCCCGAGCTGGTGGATTTCATCGCTCACGCCGGGGAGGACTCGGCTGTGACATCCCGTTCCTTTTATACCCTGCCCGTCGGCTTCCGCTGGAACCACCGCCCGGAACTGACGCTGGTGGGCGACGCGGCCCACGTCATCTGCCCTTTCACCGGGGAAGGAGTGAACCAGGCCCTCACGGATGTGCTGCAGTTGGCGCAGGCGTTGGGAGCGGTGGTCCGCGCCTCGGACCTGGACTCTGCGCTGGTCAAGTATGAGACGGAGCTGTTTGCCCGCGCGGCGGTGTTTCAGAAGCGGGCGGAGGATGTCGCGCAGATGATGTTCTTCACGGAGGGCTCGCCGGCCACGACGATTGAGCGATACACCATGCAGAATATGCAGAACTCCATCCCGCGGTGGGCGTACAAGGCGATGTACCCGCTGCTGCTTACGGGGACCTACGGGTATTTCTTCTGGCATAAACGGATACATAAGTAGACGCGGGTTTGGTCGCACAGAGTTGCCCACGATAGTACCTGTATATAGCCACTCTTGCCTGTCTTATCAATGAATTGTATAATGAGTTACAAAGATGTAGAACAAGCTTCGTGGGGATGCTGCCAAGATGGGCGCCAAACACTTCATGGAACTGACTAGTGAGACTTGACATGACGCCGTAGTGTTTGCACTATTCTTACTCAAAGTGCGAGCCCGCTGGTTCTCCCAAGGGACACTCATGGGAAAAAGCCCATGGACCCCACAGTGGGCTCGCTGCTTGCTTACGCCGACGCGGTCCAGGGAAGACTCTACGAAAGAGATTATTGAAACCACCAACTGCTGTTTCCTCATTCCCTGCACTCAGTGCACATCTTCTGATACCGAACCCGGGAACCAGCAAAAGAACGTGGCGCAGTCAGTCACGAAGAGTAGAACCGCTGCTCAGCCACCGCATCCCATTCGGCTATAGTTGCTACTCACTACTAATCAAATGGGATAGGTCGAATGGGGTGGAGAATGAGTAATTAGTGGAGACGTGGTCATGGAGTAGCCAACCAGTGGGGGAGCTCGTGTAGGTGGGGATTTTGTCTGGAACGGATATATAGCTCCGCAACCCTCTTTCGCTCGTTGCGCTTAATCTTGTTAAATTGCTAGCAGAGACACGATACCTAGAAACATTCCCTCCAGCTTCATGATGTCTCTCGATACCCTTCCAGTCGAAATCCTCGTCATGATAGCCCAGCGCATGGACGACGCAGAAGCACTCTCGTGCTTGGTCCGAGCAAATCGCACTCTCCACCACGCCCTCGTCCCGGCCCTCTACCGAACCTACGGAGAAGACGCTTTGCGGTACACAGTGCTTCACGCCAAGAGCTATCCCCTGACGCATACCAAGGAGCAGACCACCCGCCTTGCATTCAGCCACGGCGATTTCACGCGAGGATGCGGACACGGCCGGGCAATCGAGCTCGCGGCAGCGAAGGGACTAGTGGGCGTGGTGGAAGGCCTCGTCTCGCAGAACAGCCAGGAGATCTACGAGGCGCTTGTCTACGCGGCGAGGCAGCGCCACGCCGCCGTGGTAGACGTGCTGGTCCGGTACGGCGCCGACGTCCATGTCGCCGACATTGAGGGCTACACGGCCCTAGACTGGGCCGCCAGTTGGGGCGATACACCCATCGTCACTACCCTGATCGCCCACGGGGCGGATGTCCATCGGCGCTCCCCGGGGAGCTATACGTCCTCTCCTTGCGGCGGGTAACGGACACGCCGGTACGGTTGAGCTCCTGATTCAGCACGGAGCCGACGTGCACTCCGTCACTGAGGATGGCAGAAACGCCCTCCAGCTTGCCACGCGCAATGAGCGCGCGGAAGTCATTGTCCTCCTCGAACGTGTTGCAACACGACTGACCTCGGTATAATGGCTGTAGGGTCTGAGTCGAAAAGAATCCCATTTCACGGAACCTTGGTATTAGAGTCAGGGTCTCCCTCCCCTTGGAGCATTGACCGGCATGAGGGTTATTCTCTCGGTAACCGCTCCCCCGGCGCCTGCAACCGTTCTTTACTGCCAGATCCCTATCCAACACGGGAGCATACGGCCTGGAGTGACGACCGAGCCTGTTGATGTGGGAGTGACTCGTTCACTCAGGGTCAATATGCTCTTGATCGAAGAGGGTAACAGGAGTTCATGAACAAGAGGGGTAGTACGGTTCACGAACATAGGCAGGATTACGTCTAAACATGAAGGGGAAAGAAAGTAGGAAATGATCATAGCGAAAGACCTTTGACGCGTGAACGAAACACAAGGAAGCGGAAGTTGAAAGCTAGCAGAGTCAAGAACTGATTGATGACTTGGCTAAAGAAAGGATTTGGTGGCCTCATCCAACCCAAGCACAACAGGTCGACTCGGCGACCCATACCCATACTTGGTACGTCCCACATTCCATAGACTGCGCTAGTGGTCGAAATCGAACACCACCTTGGTTGCACTACGGTTGCTAAAGCTCGCGTACGCGGCCGGTGCATCCTCAATCCCGACCACATCACTCACAATAAACCCAGGCCTTGCCTGGCCCGACGCGACGAGGTGAAGCAGCTGCGGTGCCAGATCGAGAGGTCGTGAGATCCCAGCCCCCCAATGAAACCCCCTGCTCCAGAAATCGGCCAGGGAGAGGTTGAAATCGGTGTTGATGGTGGACGCCCGAGGCTGGCTGGCGGTGTCGCGACCGCCGTGGCTGTACACCCCCACCGTTCCCATCCCCCCGTTGACGGCCGTGACGGCCAGCATGTTCTGCAGGATGACGTCTGACTGCACGGTCAGGTTGCGGTTGACCTGCTCGAATCCGACACAGTCGACGCTGCGGGTCACCCCCCCGGGCTCGAGGGCCAAAATCTGGTCCACAGGGTCTGCGTCTCGGAAGTTGATGGGGGTGGCTCCAATGGCTGCGGCCAGGCGAAGCCGTTCCGGTACATAGTCCACACTGTAGACGTGGGAGGCCCCGCGCAAGGTGGCTGAATATGCCGCCATCAGGCCGACGGGCCCGGCCCCAAAGATGGCCACGGTGTCACCGGGTTGGAAGCCTGCGAAGTCCAGCGCCGTCCAGCCCGTCGCGAAGATGTCGGAGAGCATCACGTAGTCGTTGAGCAGGGAGGTGGTTTCGTTCGTGATTGGATCGGTATAATTGACGGCGGGGATGGGGATGAGGCCCTCGTCCGCGTGCGGGACTCGTAGATACTCGGCTTGCGTGCCACCTAGAGCCCCGCCGTTGCCGAAAGCTGCGTACGGGACTGGGGTGAGGGCCGTCTCGAGATGGCCGTCCGGGTTGGTGAACGGCACGATCACCGCATCGCCCACGTTCAATGACCCCACGTCAGACCCGACTTCGGCGATATATCCCACCCCCTCGTGGCCGACGCCGACAGGAAGTACCTGGCCCTCCATCGTGCCTCGATAGATGTGGAGGTCAGATCCGCAGATGGCGGCGCGCGACATGCGAATGACCACATCCGTGGAACTCTGGATGGTGGGCTTGGGGACATCGAGCACAGAGATGTTGAATGGCTGGCCTTGCCAGACCACGGCTCGCATGGTCTCAGCCAATGTAGTCATGTTGGAGAGGGCCATGGTAGCGTGATTGATGAAAAGGTATTGATCTCTGACCAGAAGGGGGGTGTATGCAAAAGACACTTGCAGAAGTCAAAGTTGATGCAGTTTCCAAAATATGGTGCTTGTGCGAGCTTTAAGTATTCAATCCCGATGCCACAGCAATGGCTTATCAACTTTAGGGTTGACTTCTCACCGTCCTGCATCTCCATTGCCTCATCCTTGCATATGCACCAGAAAGATGTGGAGAGGTTGATTACTCAGGCAAATGATGTGCTACCTGCATAGTGATTCCACCAATTCGCAACAACCAGCCCTTAGGTTCCAGGCGCAGTGCCGTATCTAAGTGGACTGATTGTTTGTCTCACTACAGGCAACCCTATCTCGTGATTCATTCCAAATGCTGCAACCCAGTCAACCCAACGGCAGGGCGTGCGCCAAGACCAGCAAGCAGGTCGGAGTTATGTATGCATCCTTCTCTACATCCACTCTGCCTGAGCGAGTACGTACACCGAGCTTGTCGAAATGTCTCAGCTGCAGAAACTGATCACTATCACGGTGACGGATAAAAGGTTCGGCTTTTGTCTGGTGGGTCCATATCTACCATCCACAAATCCACCCAGGCCCTGGCCCCTGCGAGACCTTTAGCTCGGGACGCTAATGCAGGCGTATGACATCGATCGACATGGGGCAAGGTAGCAGGGATTGTATCATACACTACATAGCAGCTTCATTGCCTAATAAAAGCGTTGCCTAATCAAAGTCTAGACCCGAAGCAAGATGCCACGATCTACTGCCGGACTTCAGGTAATGCTCGGCCGTGTGGTTTCGTCTTTGTATCCACGATAAGGTTGAAAGTCTACTGCACCCGTGGCTATAGTACTCATAGTCAGCCGGCCGGGCTTACCGGCTTTATCAGCCCGTTGCTGCAATCGGCTGACTGCTATTTCTTGGCTTCTGCCTTTTCCCTTAGATTTCCGAGGACTTTTGCACTGGTCAAAAATGTCAAGGATAATGAGATGAATAAAACCCGAGACGTTAGCCTAGGGGGTCGTTCTTATACCGTACAAAGATTCCGCATCAGGATGACAACAGGACCAGATATTCTTTTCGCGGTGTAGGAGCACGAGCATGTGGGACTCCTGGACGCCAGACTCCTTCTTCTCCTTTTCAGGTATAATCCACGTACACATACTGCTTGCTGCAGAGGACAGAGGACACCTGGAGATCGCGGAGATCGCGTGAGAAGAAGACAGGATATGTCGCGCACACTTCCTTGATCGTGTTTCCTGAAAGAAGGCGGAAATTATAAAACAAAACAAGCCGTAAGCTCTTTCGCATTAATATGGCATCTTGCCTGGAATTTTGAATTCAAGTTGCACACCCCTACTTTTGCTTTGGACTGTCTCATTCTCCAATATCAAGACCATCAGTATGGCGCCTGCAGATGCAGTGATTCTAATTAGACAACCTGTTCTGGTCGTCCGCGGACGTGCGCGACGTGACACTGGCTCATCTACGCGCGAAAGAGGTGCCCGCTGCCGGCATTCAGTGTTTCTTATCTGCACCGGCCACTTCACCTCCCAGAAGTTTGTTGATGCGCTGCGCGCGGGGATTCCGGGAATTTGCGACCGCGTGCCCATCAAGATCGGGGATCGGTGACGTCCCCGCGGACGTGTACACGGTTGATACATCCAAGTTGCGGAGATCTTGGAGGTTGCAGTGTCACTCGCTGGAGGAGGCAATTGTTGATGCGGGGCGAACTCTTCTGCTGCTTGAAAAGGCTGAGGGGGCCTAGGGACTTCGCTGTGTTGCTGCAAGCGTCAAGAGCCCGATTATCAGTTTCTCCTCAAGACAGCGACTGCTAACCACTATTGTCTTTGTTCTCACTCCCCAGCTTAATGGAGCTGACAGACATCCTGTATCCTTTCCAGTCACCCGGGCAGCTTTGTGGCCAGAACAACCCTTCCTGGCTTTCAGTCTGTTGCAGTGCAAAAGCCTATAGACATCCAATCAAGATCTTTATTAACCAGTATACTTTGCCACTATTGTTGACAAGGTTATGTACGCATACTGCGTGTCTCACCGATACGGACTGGTGTTGATTCATATCCGGAAATTCTGTATCATAGAGTCTCTACTCTTCCAGCCACAGGGCTCCTAGCCCTACAGTATGCTGTCGAATTCTCCCAGTCGAATCGAAGCGTATCTCGTAGTCTTCTCAAGCTTCTATCCAAGGACAGGACAGTCTTACACCGTCTATTCCCATCCAGCTCTAACCGCGCCGCAACCTCATAACCATCACCAACCCCTGTCTCTGTTCATCGACCACCGCCCCGTGGGTCTTCCTCACCACCTCCACCAACTCCTCATCTCCATTCGCGACCAGCGCCTCGACCAAGGTGGCTCGCCCTGCGTCCTCAAACCCCAGCCTCCGGTACAGATTGACCGTCACGTCGTTCCCCGCCTTGACGATCAGCCGCACCTGCACCGTTGCAGGCTCCGCCCGGTACTCCCGCAGCCATTGCAGCGCGGCCTGGCACAGCTGCGCGCCCAGCCCGCGGCCCCGGTGGGCGGGGAGGGTGAACAAGCTCAGCATCTGCCAGCGCTCTTCCTCGCTGTCCGGGCGCGGCGCGGGCGGATTCGCAGCGGCGGGGAGGGCGAACTGGTCAGCTGGGGTGGGGCCGCGCAGGGTGACCTGGGCGATCCATTGCGTTTCGGCGTTGGGGCGGGTGGCGGTGGAGGTTGGGGTGGCCGCGCAGATGAACACCTCGCGGTCTGGCACGGTGAGGCGCGCGATCCAGTCGTCTTCTGTGAAGGCGGACTCGATGGCATGGGTGGAGGAGAAGGAGCCAGGCGAGACTTGGAGGGCTTCCAGGCGGAGGGCGCGATACTGTAGAGCTGATGCACGGATCGTGGCCGCTTCCTTGGAGATGCGGAAGAAGGTATAGACGTAGTCCGGGGTGGCCATTGCGATCGTTGATGCTTTGTATGTTTTGGAGAGGATCACAGGTAGTCTAGGGACTGGTTGCTTCGGGAGGAGATTGGTGCAGGAAACTTGAATTGGACATGATGGTCAATTCGCATCGCTCCCGCGCCTTATCTATCTCAGGGCGCTGTGAGTCACATAAGGCATGCTATGGCCGAACATATTTCCGTAGTACATCTACAATGGCTTCTCCTTTGACATTATGATTTACGATACACGCGTGGTGAGTCATGAGTGGAGGCGGAGGAGGCTACAAATCCCGGAGACGCAAATCCCGGGTAAATCAGTCCCCACCGCATCCTTCCGAGAGGGAGCTGAGCAGCAATACACATGGTCGACAGCGATCAAGGGGAGGATTAATTTATCTAGACAAGGCCTACCAATGGGGTCATATCCATGTTCATTGTCGACGAATTACGGATTAAACGGGTACCAACCACTGTAGGACTATGAGGGATGATCAGAGAAAACAGGTGAAGATAACTGAAGGTGTTTGCCGGCGACCACCTAATAGCACTTACGGCTCTGGTCGATAAGAGACTGTGCAAGGATTTCTGATTATATACATATTAAGATCAATCCTCGTCGTCAACCCCGCTCCACCCTCGTCGTAAGCCCAACGCAGCCTCAATGAGCCCATTCGCTCCCGAGAGATCTATCTCCAATCTGCAGGGGCTCAACCGAAGCCTGAATGAAAGCCACCCATCGGGCACGACCATTGTTGGGAGTGATGTTCCTCCATCGGTGCATCGTAGCTCGCTGCACCAGCACATCGCCCGCTTTCAGGGTCCGCATCTCCCCGGAATCCAACGTGATCTCCATCTCGCCTTCGAGGAGTACCACCGTATCCGACGTCATGGTTCGGTGCATAGGACTCTCCGCCCCGGGTTCCATCGTGATCATGCATGTGGCGGACCCGCCCTCGGGGCAGATCCGACGGCTCCCGGGAAAAAACGTGGTGGTGCGGTCTTCACGATATTGCTCGATATCAGCCTCGCTGGAGAGATCCATCGGGAACGAGTGGCTAGAGGAAAGGATCTTGATCTCGCCGATTGGGATGGGTATCGCCTGTTGTTCGGTGGAACCTTCGGCAAAAATGGCGGCTCCGTTGGGGTCGTGGGTAGTGATGTAGTGAGCCATGGCTTGCTGGCTTGGATGAAAGAATCACAAACAGGAGAAGAACAAGATGGAAGAATGCCAGCACGGGATTTTGAGGTGCAGAGAAGGGCCTTTCTGAAGAATGGGCACAGGACGGAATACGGGACACTTTGTAGTGTTTAGAGAGCCGGCCCATCGGCATTCGGGTCGGACACTCGGGGTCCGACTCCTCCGCGTTCCCCGTGCCGATGATAATCTATATGTTTCCACACTCGTCTTGGAATAGTTGAGTAAGAAAAAGGAGTGTCAGAGAATCGACTAGCAAAAGGTATAATACTAGATCTTTGCGCGATTGCTACAAATTGGCCGAGTAGTGTTAGATGGATGGCAGTGTGGTGGAGTGTGGAGATAGTTTCTCTGCCAACTCTCCTACTGTATAATTCGCGTAGCTTAGACCCTGTATAAGCGATCTTGTCACTGAAAATCCTGTCCACCTGTCCACATTGTTCATTCTTTCACACATCTACAAGTCCATAGAAATAACATGGCATTCCCTAAAACCCCTTCGGCAAAGGTATATTCCTGGTCACTGCTTCCCCTGGAAAGATTGAGTGCATAAAGAGTAGTGGCAATGAACTGGTTTTTCGCGAGAACGCCGACCGAAAATATGATTTTTTAAGGTAGGTTCTCCAGCTGAAAAAGGTCGTACTAAATGAAACCTATAGCAAGATATGATTTTCTTGGTAGCCATTCAAGAGTTCGAGCGGCAGATGAGCTGTTCCGCGCACCGAGCGACAGTTTCCTCGCGAGTGGTGGGTGACTTAGTGTCGCTACAGCCCTAATTTGACCCCGCGACCTCACTCGAAATATTCCGCTGGCTGCCTAACATGGCATGGACGGTATAACTATCTCAGTCATCCATTCTAGAATACTAGGCTATGTCACCTTCCACCGATGTACTCTGAAAAACAACACCGGCAAGGGCTACAATCGAAATTATGCAGGTGTAGAGAATTTCGTGAAGTATACCTTAAGGAAAAGGGTAAATTATTCGGCTGCTGCTAGATGTAAAATGGCACAATTAACTCTAATATACTCCGTACATCAATCCCAATGCAACCCGTTTGCTGGGTGGCTCAATGGCTATTGTGCTGCGCTGTTACCACTTTCGCCATGGAATCTCCAATCCATCTAGCAGGGAACATTTTCTGAGATGTCATTTCAGCATTCAAGTGCCCTGATAGGGGCAGGACTTACCTTGTCGTGGTTTGTGGTTGCCCCACGCCGAAACAAAGCTGGCACCTTTCGCAAAACCCTTCAACCGCAAACTTCATGAACCAATAATCACGCTACGGGGTTATTTGCTTACTGCGGTACCTACAAGACCCTCTGACATTGGGAATACGGTAAACATATAGTGACCATGGTCTTTATGCGGAGCCTGTCAGTTAAACTACCTTGGATTCAAGGCTTGTTGAACAATAAAGAGGTGTTCTTCAAAGGTGCATCACGGAGATCTGCATGAAAAATATGAAGGATCTCATCCTCAATGGCATACTCCAAAACATCTTCCAGCAAGCTCCTTATTCAACACCCAGCACCCAAACAATACATAAACCCCGTTGAGCTGCTAAAGGACCCCACACTTAAACTTCAGGCCAAAAGCCAATAAATTCCTTCAAACACCACAGTGGAACACTGCGTCCTCAATACCAACACAAGATCATCAACGGAAAAACAAAAATGGAAGCAAACAGCAAGAACGCCATCAGCGGACGCTGGATCGAGACGCTCCGCGCGATCTTCCCAGCGAGCGAGGGCTACACCCTCCACGTGACGATCCACGAGCACCGTGGCTCTAAAGACCACGACAGCGACGACACCGATGACATCAACTTCACACTCTACGACCGGCTGGCCGTCTCTTGCTCCGCGTACCAGGGCGAGATCTTCAGCATGGTGCTCGAATACTTGGATGAGAGCAGCGCCGGGGCCCAGGAGCCGCGCAGCAGCGTCGCGGATGATGCGATTCGCGACCGGGCCGAATTTTTGCTCAAAGAGTGGCCAGCAACCTTACTGCCTGTCCCTATGTACGGAGGGGTCATTGCCTTGAATGATGTGTTTGTGTATGGGTTCCGGGCCTATTGCATGGAGCCATGGTGTGACTTGGACTTGGTGTGCGATGACCCGGGCCACTTCAAGAAGGAAGAGTTTGGGCAGCTATTTAGACTGTTCCTGGACTTGGAGCTGGAGGCTCAAGGGGTCCGTGTCGACGATGCGCGGCAGTTTACGGGGTGGTTGGCGGGGTGGAAGGCGAGCCTGGTTGCGAAGGGCCCGGCCCAGAGTCTCTCGTTCCAGACACTGATGCAGGTATCGGGTCAGGCTCCAGAGGTAGGCGAGTTCATTTGCCCTGCACTTGAGGGGATGACCCTAGGGGAGACACGGGAGGGGCTGCCGCACACTCCCGGAGACGTTCTTCCAGAGGCCGAAGAATTCAGATTGCCGGGACCAATGCAACGCCATCTGGACTGGTCCTTGCAGAGGCACTTGCTGCAGGAAATCGAAGACTTATGCCCCAGAGAGGACATCTCACCTGGATCTCTGTCACCCGTTTTAGAGGGCACCCGAGAGGACTTCCTGGTGGAGTGTCTCGGAGACGCTCCGGAGCCAGCTATGGACGGTCCGCCAGACTGCATGGAGCTGGAGCTGGTCATCGAGGAGGCCACTCGGAACTCTTTGCTACAGTTGCTCGGCGAAGAAGACCCCGAGGAGTTTGATTAGACGCCTCCTTGCCGATACGCGCGTCCGCTGAGGTCGTGGGTGGGTGCCATTCTAGATAATGATTCGCATTTGTACCAGTTCAAAGAATGCCAACTTTTGAAATCTTGCCCTTCGCTGAAGTTGTTCTCAGTTCCTCCTTTGGGATGTTTTCTTCCTACCCTGCGGGCCGGGTTGTGCGCCATCTTGCTTTGAACAACGGCTGCTTGTGACTTGTGTCGGGGAGCGTGAAGATGGTGATTCCAGGCCATTTGGGAGGAACAACCTAATCTAGACAGGTGCCGTGGCCGAGGCGGTTCGCTGCCTTCAAGCAATCAGAAAAGGCGATGGTCTTCAACAGCCTTTACATCATGGTTGCCTATAGCGGGGCTTGAGCTCGGAGGGTTTTTGTCTGTCTTGTGACATTCGGCCCTTATCATCCAATGCTGAAGTTGAGTATTGAAGGATTGTTCGAGATAAACCATTCAATCCTCAAATATGATAGCAACAATCCAAGGGAAACACGGACTGATTGACATGATACTGCTCGCAACACGACTTTCTTTGAATTGTCATGGCATTGCCTTTCTTGGTGGCAGGCTAGACCACGCCTGACTCCGGATCTGAGCATCATGAGAGAATCTTCATCTTGTATATCTGTCAAGGATCCGAGACTCTCCGACGTCTTCACATTAGACTGGTAATTTTAAGTCAACACCCAGAAGCCACAACCTCTAACTTGGATGATTCGCAAAGGAGGTGGAACTATTTCAGGCCTGCTGGATCATCTCCTTCAGTCAATCGAAGCGCCACAGCCTCTCCCCCCTCTACAATCTAGTGGCGACGCTCATTTCTGTTCTCTTCTTTCATTTGATACTGAATGCCAGCTACTGCTTCCGCCCTGATTTTCTATGTCCCTCACTTGCTACCGCGTCAATACTCTTTATTCCGGGAATCTGGTTTTGTTATCCCGGTGATAATTTGGCTCGTAGAGCAGCAAGTTCATTTCTGGTAGTCTTGCCCCAAACACAGCGGCAACCGCCACAACAGCAATGGAAGGCAGTCACAGCGATACGTGATCTTCCTTCCCTTCATTCTATCTTTCCACGTGAGACAAGGTCTGGCATCCCACCTTCACAGTAGGCGGTACGTGGAGTGCACGCGACTGACCGATCGCCATGGATATGGAACGGTTGGGGAAGAAGTTACATGGCACCTCCACGGGCACATAGGAGAGGAATTGGTGTTCACTCAGCCTCCTGGGATGGCATTTGCCTTCACCGTACTGTCACATCGGCTCGAGACCCCAACTTTCTTGTAAACCCAAGGAGCGTTCGACACGGTTGGTGCGGCCAAGACTGAAATTTGGAAGGTGGCTTGTTGATCTTGATGTTTGACACCGCAGCATATCACATGAATGATTTGGCGTAGCTTGGAAAGAGATCGGCGCATTGAATACGTCCAGCCTTCGTAGCCAGAGGTAATTTGGGGCGCGAAGTAAGAGGTGAGAACCCGACTCTAGTCTTGAGACAGTGGAAGGCCAGTACTCAGCTATCCGGGCTCGAAGCACATATCTCTGTCTGGCGTAATAGGGACTGGCGGAAGAGAGGGAGAGGTCAGAATCAGGGGTGTCGTGTTTATGCGAGTTTCCGATCGCGACCGCAACAAATCCAGCGCTTGATCTCGTTTCAACCCGGTGGTTCGTCCCTTCGGTCATGGCAAGACATTGGTTGTCTCAGCCACCAAGGCTCACTCCGGGACCGCAAGGCAGAATTAAAACAGACGCACTGGAATGCGGTAGATGCGCAGTGACGGCTGGCAGGGAACGAGGAGTCGTACGATAATATTAAAGCATTGCAGTAGCAAATGGGTATATTGGGCATGTTACTAGGGCAAGCTGGCGCTCAACACACGCGATTGTCCAGTGTATCCAGCTCACACCTGTATCAGACAGCTCTTTTAACACAGCTTCCAGCGTACTGTTGCTTCTCTTTTGGGAGGGAGGGGGGCTTGGTGTCGAAGGGTGAGCCAGACGCTCCCAATTGTCTTGTCTTCGCTCTAAGTATTCTTACTGAATACGAGGCAGGCCGGTGTCGGACATCTCGTGTCGTGAGGCTACCTGTCTCACATAGTGGGAAAGACCCGTTCCTGACATGACTGAGCGGACCCGTGCCATCTTCATTTTTCCATGGGCGGACAAGTTTATCTCGATGCACTTTCTACCACAAACTCAAGACGAACTCTGACGTTGAAATCAGGGCTGTTCTGGGTGGGACCCATCCTCTGGGCTGTCATGCCCACCTGTTTCGATAGTGAAGACGGAAGCCGGCAAAGATAGATTAGTTCAGTACGCCGGGGGCTTGACATCTCTATTGATGATGAGTTCGCGTTTCAGACGGAGAAAAGGTGCTTTTCCTTTTTGGGCGCCTTGTTGACGGTTTCTGGGACTATGGATCGCATCGGTCGGTTGCGACACGGATCAAACACAGGTTTTTCACGACGACTGAGCCATTCCCGACACGCGTCTTGGTCTCGGGCTATCAATTAGGAACCGATCTCTCGTCATGTGAATGAATCTGTGGATGTCTCGTGGGGTTATTGTCTGTTATCCCCAGCGAGGATGTCGTCAGTGCCAGGGTGAAGTGTTGCCACGAACAGAAGCATGACGGGAAAGGATTTACGCTCTCTACCTGTACAATGGAAAGACTCGTAGGATTGTAGTTGACCTGGCCGACCGACCCTCGGCAGGTCAAATGATGTCGAAAAAGAATTTTTCTAGACCGAACCGACAACTGAGCCTGTGGACAGCAACATCTAGGAAAGCTCCGACGGCTTTTGGAGAGATGGTCACGGTATGCCATGCGCTTTGTATGTAAAGGAAGTCGATTCTGGGAGTCACCCCGAGCACCAATCCCTTCGCCAATTCCGTAGCCTTTCAAGGTGCAAGCATTTTGACACACATGAGAGCATGTACTGTATGCGACCAGGAACGGTATATGCAGTACTGGTCGGTAGTAATTTGTTCATGGTTGCCTGTGATCTATCTACGAAGGCTGGACACCGCGGCTACCAAGGGCATTCGATGGGACGCACCGAACAAATAAGACATCTATGCGTACAACACATCAGGGAAAACGCACCCGAAGAACTGTGAATTTCCATCAGGGACTATATCTAGAAATGGAGCAAACGATTGTAGACGAAGTGAAGACTACCTCGATACTATGGGCGAAGGGAGTTGATGCGGTGGGTTGGAATAAATCCGAAGCAAAGGGATCATCATTGTACCACTCACTAGGTCTGCTACTTTCACAGGAGATGCGAAGAATTGAAAATAAAGAGAACAGAGCTGAAAGTAAAGAGAACAGAGCCAGAATCCCAGAATCTTCTTTTCCAACCCGTCTGCGAAACAGAATACCAGCATACTACCTCGAAATGAATGTGATCAAGTCCAGCAACCACCCTTTCCGTCGATCCCACCACCATAAAATGCTCTCCACCATTTCTTCGATCGTTCGGGGCGATTGTTCGTGGCCTATTGCCCGGTCAGATGTCTTTCGACCCTCTTCATCAACGGCCTTTTTGCACTTGTTCACATACCGCAAGGATCTGCACCCTCTCACCAAATCTTGCATTTGGAGCACTGGGTATGGCCACACACGGCTTCGGCGTTTTGTCGAAGGACTTTTTGGGTGCAACTTCTTCCACTGTTGGGCCCTTGTTTGCACATATAGCAACGCCATTGAGGGCTCGCGGTCGACTCGCTGGGCGACAATTGCTTAAGGATGACGGTGCCGTCAGGCTTGAATTCAAGACTCCACGCAGGCACCATGACTGGAGACAATACAGGAGGAATGCGGTATTAGATAGACCGAGAAGGTAAAGACGGTGGATGAATATTGATGACAACAGAACGTTCAGGGCAGTGGATGTAGAGAACGAAACACCTTTTGTGAGTGCCTGAGCAGACATCATGCTGGTTTTATAATCAAGAGCACTTTGGATCGGGCTCGAATGCACTTTCCAAGCCTAGAAGAACTATTGTATAGCGACCCCTTTGACTGCCAGATCGAATCGGCCCACAATAGCGGCAGGAGGGGAGGGGAAAAAAACAGATAAGCTGAAAAAAAAAAAGAAAAGAAAAGAAACGAAGGGCAGAAACTGCAGATAAAATTGTCTAGGAAAACAAGGAAAGACACAAAAGCGAATATCATGTGGTTAGAGTGGAGGTATCGAGAGCTGTCAAACAGTTCTTTGACTCACTGCGTCAAATTGCTCCTCTAAGAATTGGCCTCGCCCGCCCCAAGGGGTAATTTCGTATTGGATCAAGTCTCACGCCAACACAGCAATTTCAAGTCAAGTCAGACCTCAGAGAGCAGTAAAACATCCCTTGTAATACACACTCTGCAGTGGTATGCGGGTCTCTATCGTTAAAGCGTAATTCAGCTTGCAGCTCAGACCCCAATTGCACAAGACTGATGGACGATGGTTTATCTATGAACTTCCCATCGTGATACTCAGTGAGCTTACACCTACACCAGGAACATATACAAGCCGATAGCTATAGGCTTGAGATGATAAGCACTCAGATAGGAACTCAAGGAAGAGCAAGTTTACTACTGATCTTCTGGTAAACAATACAAGACGATGGATATTCCGGAAACGTGTTCGAATAAGATACGGCTAATTCGGCAACTGCAGAAACTTCCTTCGTACATTGCTCAACCCCTCCAGGTCTCCGGCCTTCGTACCCATAAGCTCTATGGGAACCCAGCCTGGAGTGAGACCGTTTTCGAAATCCACCAGCCATACATCCCGGTTGTGATCGATCAGCACGTTATCGGGTTTCACGTCGCCCCAGATACACCCTCCCTGGTGGAGGGAGGAAACCATCTCGTGAAGCTGGTCGAACCACTTGCGTCGTTCAGCCAGAGCAACCTCTGTCTCAATGTTGATCATGCTGCCCAGGGTAGTCGAAGGAACGAACGTCAGTAGGATCCCCGGGAATGGCGACCCGAGGCCGAGAAAGCCTTCTAGCCGGGGCACGCGAAGCGAAGCCGGACATCGCGCCGCAATCTCTCGCAGCCGGAGAGCTTCGTCTTCCAGGATCCCGGTTCCGACTGTCGTGGTCTTGTAGAGGAAGGCCTTGCCCTGGATTCTCACCTCGAAGACCTTATTGGCCTGGATAGTCCGGAAGGACTCCACCTGCGACAGCTCGAATCGCGGAACTTCGGCCATCTCTTTGAAGACGGCTGGCACACGTGGCATGTCAAGGAGGCCGACGAAAAGCTCCGGATGGTCGTGGATCTCGAGGCGCAGGTTTACCTGCGAGCTGCGCAGATGGGCGTCCAAGTCGAGGGTGCGTGGTGGGGTGTGCTCCTTGAAAATGGGCTGTAGGAACGGCATCAAAGTATCCACCAGCTCCTGCCAGCGGTGCTTGTCATGCAGAAAGACACACCTTTCGATAAGGTCCGCCCCATCGGTGAGCTTGTAGTCGGGCGGTAGCTTCTTGTACTCCATGCGCACTTGGAACTGGGTATCCTTGGCCACAAAGCAAATTAGAAGCTCACAGCAACCATCGGGGTAGACCAATCCGGCCGATCGGATCACTTTGTAGGGAACGTCTGGGGAACTGCATGCTTCGGTCTCGGTCTCGGTCTCGTGGTCTTTCGTGTCGACCGGGTCACTGTCATCGTTGTCATTCGGTGGTCGGCGCGAATCAACAGAAGGGCCATCCTGCTCTGTTGGTTCTTCGTTTTGGGTGACATGTAGGCCCCGGGAAATGGGCGAGGATGTCAACCCTAGGGGACTCCAAAGTGGTTAGTTTTTGTTTTTTTCCCAAAGATCGTTTCCCGAAGACAACATGACCTACTTTTCCCATCTGGCTCTCCTGGCTCGTCATTTGAAAGTTTAGCACGCTTGCGATGATGCTCTGCGGGATCATTTTCTCCAACCATCCTGCTGATGTAGGTGATTTGTCGGCGGGGTTCAGGAAATTGTGAATATCAAACGGATATTGGAGCCAGATTTGGGTGACAAGGACGGCGTGAAGTAGTTGCCATGACCAACACCAGAGGGGCAGGGGGGAAGCAGAGAAAGAAAATCAGGTCTGTAAGCTCTGGGAGTCGGCCTTATCACTTTACTGACTACCTGGCCACTCAATTGGTCTTTGTCACATTTAACCTATCATTTCACGGATCTGAGTGGGAGCCCACCACTCATCAGAACTACAACTAAACTTAATGATCTTTATGGCCATCTAGACCGTGCAAGGTTGTACATCTTGTGTGACAGGGGAGAGAAAGAACCAACTCGATTAGCCAAGATCCTTGTCTGTCAAAGAAGAACAACAACAACAACAAGCCATCGGAAAATGCAGGCAAAAAGAAAAAAGAAAGGAATAAAGAGAAAAAGAAAAAAAAAATAAGGAGGGGGAGGGACCGAAGAAGAAAGAAACAAGTCAAAACGAAACAAAAAAAGAAGAAAATAAAAACAAAAAGATCAGACGCGATGAAAGCTGACTAATATAGAGTTTTAGATGCATGCCTGTGTCGACGCGCATTTCAACAAATCCAGTCTAATAAATAGCACAAGACAGAAATTTTACGGCGTTAGTTTGGTCCGTCCAATCGCCCGATTTGCGCCTCTGCTGTGATTGTTATCATTGGGTGCGTGGCTCTTTGTTGTTTCACACATACTAGAGGTCTCAGTATTACATTGTATTTATTGTACGCAGTCTTCAGTACATACAGTACAGGGAAATGCGCGGTGCTGTCGGACGCACCCTCAGCCACCGCCTACATTCGGTAAAAAACGCCCCATGTAAGTTATCGATCACCTCGCAGAGGCTCGAGAGTCTTACCCCTCGGGCTCTAACAAGATCCTTCGAGGTTTCCTGAGGTTCCCTTCCCAAGGGACCTCCTTCGGCGTCTATCGTAGTTCCCAAAATGGGCTTGACAAGGCGGGGAGAAATAAACAAAGACCCGGCAACTCACCATTACGTGACCAAGAATGATAACAAGGAGTTGCTTCCAGAGAATTTATGCCCCAACGTGCTCTCCAGTACAGAAACAAAGCAAGTCCTTGCCGGAAAAACACCCTCAATCAAGAGTGGGATCCATAGCTATGCTATGTGATCGGAAGAGTTTCAACGTTCTCCCATCGTAGCAGGATTAACTGCATCGTAGTATTCTTCTTGGTGGACCCCCGCATGACTATTTACATATACATGATTTCCCCACAAACGTGGTCACAGAGACGAACAACTAGCTAAAAGGAAGATAATAACCACATCACAAGCACCCACTAGAGACATACAGCATCCGAAACCGCGACTCCTCCCGCGCCAGCAGAGCGGCTGGCCGATCAAACTCGACGAGTCGCCCCTCCTCCATCACCGCCACCTTGTCAAACCACGCGATATTGTCATACCGGTGGACGATTGACAGAACCGTGCAACCCGCAAACTGCTCCGCGACCACTCTATCCATCAGAGCTTGTGTCGCTTGATCAACCCTACAACGCCCGATATCGGGATTCTGCGTTAGCCCTACCCATTCCTCAAGAGAGTAACCCCGCCGGAATGCAGGCGCTATTCCAGTTAATTGGGCACGACATACCGACTCATCGCCTCGTCGAGGATCAACACCTTGCTTTGCCGGGCAATCGCGCGCGCCAGCGCTAGCAGTTGCCCCTGGCCCGCGGACCAGCGCGTCGGATCGAGAGTGGCGTCCAGGCCGCCTAGTCGTGCGACGAGGTCGGTGAGATGTGTTGTGTCGAGTATGCGGGCTAGCGCCGGCTCGGAGAGGGTGTGGGTTGGATCGATGTTGAAACGGATGGTGCCTGGGAGGTAGCACGGTTCTTGGGGGACGACGCTCAGGCGGGCGCAGAGGTCCTGCGGCGGTACGGAGGTGATGTCGAGGCCGTCGATGTGGATGGTGCCGGTCCCGCAGTGAGGTCGGAGGAGTCCGGTCAGACACAGCAGTAAGGAGGATTTGCCGCTGCCCGAACGGCCGCACAGCGCGATCTTCTGGCCGGGTTCAATGCGCATGCTTACACCGCTGAGGACAGGTCTAGATCTGGAGGGTAGAATAGGGGAGTCAGTCCTATGCTGTGAGGTGGGTATGGCGGGCAGCCGGGTGGCGGTGCGGAACGTACTTATATGCAGCACCCACGTTCTGCAGCTCCATGGCGCCACGGCTGGGCCAGTTTGTCTGCTGTGGGAGGGCGGTCTTGCCGCGAGATTCGGAGGGGGTTTGAGCCGTGAACGATTGGATCCGTGAGACAGCCCCGAGACAGGACTCGGTCATGGACCAGAATTTCAGGAGCCGGGCTAAAGACTGCGTGAAGCTCATGAGGGTCACGACGGCGGTACCCGATGAGCCCGGGTCGAAGGAGTCTGGCATTAGGACCGTCAGCAACGTTAAGAGAACAATGAGACCGCTGGCAATTAGGTCCATGGCGAGGGTCAGCCATTGCTGGACCATGAACAACGTGTATGTGCATTTCTGTGACGTGTCCACCATCGAAAGATTGGCTTCCTCGAGGTAGGTCTGCCATTTAAACGCACGGATGCTCGCACCACCGCTGAGGGCTTCGGAGAGGTGCTGGAACAGAGGGGCCTTGGCCTCGATGCTGAGAAGGCGGATCTGTCGCGAGGTGCGCAGGTAGCATTTCTGCAGGAGGAAGCAGACTACCAATAGGGGAGGGACCGCCAGGGACATGTACTTGGCTACCACAAAGAGGATGGCTAATTTTAGGAGACAGGACCCGATGGCTTGGTGCGAGCAGCTAGTCAGCAGAGAGATAGTCGTGGGTTGCGGCTCAGACACTACTCACCCTTGGTTGCGTTGACAGCTGCCAGTGGTAATGTCATATCCACAAGCTCCAGGTCCTGACTAAATCTGTTTTGGTGCAGAGTAAGTATGAGTTAACGTGCTTGAGATATGGCCAAATGAGCGTCACCATACCGATTCAAGATATCACCCGCAGTGGTTTCATTCAGCCAGGAAAGAGGAGCACTGAACGTGTTAGTCGTGCTTGTTGTTCAATGGAGCCATGCTCTGTGTACCTCATTACGCTGCTCAGAATGTCCGCATGCAGGCGTTCTGCGCTATTGGAGATCATACGTATCAGGTAGACCCTGTTGGCCATTAGTCCAGACACCAGGTTGTTGACAGGTAGGTGTGAGGGAGAGGGTCCAGGAATTACCAAGAGCCTGCTGCTCCAACCACAACAGTACCAACTGCGAAGGCAATAAAAACGCCCAGATACATCCCTGAAAGTTGGCTTGAGCCTTGCGAATCTGCATTGGACCACCACTTCAACCATAGATCTAGTTGCAAGTGATAGTACAGGGTCAGTTGCGGCGGTCTCTTCATGCCACTCACGAACCGACAGCAGGTGTACTTACTGGGAAAGTCCTGACAGAACGCGGCTATGAGAATGAGAATGACGTATACTGATGCAAGAGTTCGACCAGTACATTTGAGGTAGTAAAAATAGCCAGCCCCATCTTCACTATGGGAAGACTGTGTCGATCCCTGAGAGCGACTGTTGTCGTCGGACGGCAATTCGTCCTCTTGGGGTTCCACGCAACGTTCGGATGCTATCGGCCATTTTTTGGCAGCGTCTTCATCGGCCTCCGTCGAGTGGGATTGAGCTTGTGGTGACTGTGTTGAATGTGAAGACAAGATATGCTGCGCCACTCTACCATCTTCAAGGACGAATATTTCGTCCGCGAGTGCGGCAACCTTGGCTGTTCATTCCCACGCACATCAAACACGTCAGCGCAGTGTACAGAAAAGGCGCAAAGGAGCACTTACAATTGTGGGTCGATAGTAGCACCGTAGTGCGCTTGCGACGAAAGTACCCTTTGTCCGGGCTCAGCAGGCGCTCGCAGATTGTGTCGATCGTGACGGAATCGAGGCCACTGAAGACATCATCCAGGATAACAATCTCACATCTCGAGTAGACCGCACGAGCAAGAGCCTATGAGAGATTTCAACGCGTAAGGCACAGGCACACAGAACCGACAACATCTGGAACTCACGACTCGTTGCTTCTGCCCTCCACTGAGGGCATTCCCCTGCCCGCCAACACGGGTCAAATCCCCCTCCGGCAGGGCTTGGAGATCCTCGCTCACCCCGCACATCCAGAGTACCTGGTGGTACCACGCGGGCTGCATGCCCAGCGGCCCAACGATATTGTCACGGACGGTCCCCTCAACCAGCCAGGGTACCTGGCTACAGTAGGCCGTCGGCACAGGGTTCGTATGGATGCACCCGTGGTCAACGACGGTTTCGCCCAGAATGCTTTCCAGAAGCGTGGTCTTGCCGGCGCTTACAGGGCCCATGATGGCTAGTATATCTCCCTGGTGCGCATCGACATCAATCTCGTGAAGTACCGCAGGTCCAGAGGGGCTCCACCTAACAGTGGCATTCCGCAAGGCGATCAGAAGGCCCTTCTCTGTGCCTGTAGATGGAACCTCTGACCCCCAGCGGCCGAGCAGTGATGTACTTGACGACACTAGTTTTGAGTCGAGTTGAAGAGGCTGTGCGTCTTGGTTGGCAAAATACTTCTGCAACCTGGCGAAGGAGCCCAGGCATTGGAACAGGGCGGGTAGTGCCTGGATCAACGTGAGAACTGGTAGTGTAATCAGGCTCATGAGAGAGAGTGCGGTGAACGCCTGCGCGGGGTCCAGTGAGCTGCTTTTGTTCACGGTCGAGAGTAAGGTGAACAAAGCAAAGGAGGCAGCTGGAGACACCAGCCACGAGAAATTGGCTACAGAGATTGTCAGAATGGGTTGCATAAGCCTTGTACTAAAGTGAGGGCTCTCCACTTACCAATAAAAACCTCCCAGCACAATAAGGACCGAAATTTATGGGAGGTCGCAATCTCGATCGATCGGCAACGGGCGATGATAGACTCGATCTGCGCCCCGAGACCGAGGAGTTTGATGGATTTGATATCGTTGAGCATTTGTCGAGTGACATCAATACGGCGTTCTACTCTCTCAATCCACTCGCGCTGAGCCCGGTTCTTCAGCTCGCATACCTTTGCAATAACAAGTATACACACTTTGAGAGGTATAGGTTAGTCTGTGCCATCACAAACGTAAAGTGGAACCTACGGAGAGATAGCACAACAGGGACAATGCAGGACACGGCCAGCTGTCTTCCAAGCAACCAAACAGCTAGCCCTATGTCGATCGGCGAGGCCCATATCTCGTGCACGTCCCGGAGGCCCGTCGCGATTCGCTCCACGTCCGTGCCCAGCAAGGTGAGTGCAGATGTACTCCCTTGATCTGCAGCCCCGAGCTCAAGGGTTCGGCTGTAGACCGTGGCAAGTAGAGCCCCCCGGACGCCAATCACGAAACGATAAGCCTGTCTGTTGTAAAGGGCCTTGGACGTCTACACAATGTCAATAAGTCTGATCTTGACGGGCGCTGTCTGCAATATGCAGAGATACAGAACGCCACGTAAGACGGTAAGAGAGATAGCACGTACTGCAAGCCCAAGATACACAATCGCCGACGCTCCGATCAAACCATACCCCTTGTTCCGCGTCGTCTGGCTATCGGGTGATCCCACAAATTTGATCATGGCGTTGACCAGAAGGGGTTGCATCAGGGTGAACGCCGAGAAACACAATCGAGGAATGACTCCATGCAGGAATTCTGTTTGAAACGTCCGGAACGCCGTGAAAAAGAGCTGATTTCCACGTGATTGGTACACTAAGGGGGAAAGAAAGACAGAGAGTCAGCCATGGTACCCAAATAAGCCTAAAAAGGTGCGAGAACAGTGCAGTCAAACTCCCTTACCCTGAGTCCATCGTCCCCGCAGCCTCCTCATCAGCTTTTCGGTCGTGAGGCTGTGCCCGAGGGGCGGAAGCTGCTCCAAAGTCAACGGCGAGAAGAAGCCTTGTTTCAGAATTGGGAGCACCCATGTCAGTAAGCACAGCTCCCACAAACTGCTGCTTTCCTCCTTTGTCGTATCTTGGGGCTGCGATGGTTGTGGGCGTGTCTGTAGTGTGGACTCAAGTATCAAAAGCAAAACGCGTAGGCCCAACGCCACACTCAGGATAATGGGCGCAAGGATGGTGTTCGAAGCAAGCCAGAACGTCCGGGCGCGGACACTCTCCAACAGCACCGCCACAAACAAGCAGAGACTGGGCCAGATAGGGGGCCGCACCGAGTGAGCGCGCTCAAAGTATGCAGTTGGAATCGCCGCACAAGTGTCGATTGTCTGCAGGATTTGCGCAGCGAGCCATACCCGCGTCTGCAGCGTCGGGGTATTGTGTCGGATGCCGAGCAACGCCAACTGACTTCCCAAGAGTACAGCATGCAGGGTCTATTGCCCACATTAGCGTCCAAACGGCATTACTCTTGAATCAAGTCTCAAAACCCACCATCAAAGTGATCGTTCGCCGTTGGTTGGCAACCTTGACTGGCTTCGGGAGGAGACAGGCGATACGGGTGAGGTGGATTGCTAGGAAGACAAACGAGGGGAGCGAAACCAGAACCACATCCTCAAAGAGCAAGGTGAAATCAAATTCTCGACAATGAACGCTCACGACGGGGCCGAAGGAGTTGTCACTCCCTCTCGGGCAAGGAAAGACAGCCATGGCGGATGATCGACTTTAGTTTACTGCCAAGGGCCCGCATGCCATCGAATATATAATGGAGGTAATCATCCGCCTGGGCGCCGAAAATGCAGTACATGATCCCATATTGAACACATCCGATTCTGAGCACGGCCATTGCACAAAGCACGCGACGATGGCTTGAGAGACCTGTCGATGTTGTCGTCGCTTGAGCATTCCAATTTTCTTTGAGGTGCATACTGCTGTAAAGGATTAAGGTTGCGCGACCTGCGTAAACCCCACGGCAGCTGCCGATTGGATCAACAGGCGGCCTGCCATGGAGTATAGCCTTCAATAAACCTTGCACAGGTCACGACGCTGGCATCGATTATCACCATGGCCCTGTGGCTGATGAGAGTAGCCCCGTATGGGAGGTTCGACTGTCGTGTGCTCAGTTTCCATAGATAGACGTGGAGCCCGTATCTACCCTGCATGTGCGCCACGCCCAGGAACACGAATACGGGGGCTGCCAGGAACCCCGGACTAAGCCTGATGTGGCTGCGATTTATGATCCATGATGGACACCAACCCAGGAGTTTCAGGATGCTTGTTTTGACGGCAATTCCAGCCGATGCAGGGTGAAGGGCGATGTCCTCGTTATTTCCGACCGGCCGGTTGGAGGGTGTCGTGAGAGGGGTCGGGCAATGATGGCCCCAAGCGACGGTGAATGTGTATTTAAAGTGCCACGAGGATATCAGCTACGCCTCATGGTTGAAATCAATGCCGTTTGACCAGACGAGCTGAGAGTCTGTTTTAGTAGTAGCATTTCGGCCGACTGGGGCCTCGACCCGGCCAGCTGGTTCCTGGTTCAATTGAACCAGCTTCGGCAGGCTCCGTCCCGGGAAGTTTCCCGTCCAGTGGGAGCCGGGGAGAACCGGGCTAACCCGATGAAGTCTAGCTAAGCGAGGCGAGGGCTCCTGCTGCTGCTGAGATCACGTGCCCGGGCGGTCGGAATTAAGTTTTCCGGAAAAGGGCAAAGTCGGCGGATGATGTCACCGCGGTAACCGAGTCTCATTCATTCGTTCGTCCCCCTTCGATGAATTTCCTGGTCCAGCGCCCCCAAAAATAGCCTCATCTCATCCCTCATCCCACCCCTACCATAATATCATTTCGTCTTGTTGGGTGTTTTTTCTTTACCACCCCTGTCTCCTGCATCTACCACCGTAGAGGGGAATCATTCTACCTATACCTTATGTTCCAATGACCTCTCCTCTCCCCAAGAAACCCCCGGCCGGTGGGCGCACTGGCCACTTCGACGGAGAGGGGACGACGACGACGACGCCGCCGCCGACGCCAACGCCAGACTCTGCGCGGGACCATGGCGCTGGCCGTCGAGCCCGTGAAGTGTATAGTATCTTCCACCCACAGAGCCTCATTTCGCCCATCGAGGAAGAGGCCGACCCGACATTGCCACTCCCTCCGGGCCAAAGTACCCCGAGTACCCCGCATCATGGGGGTGGGAGCTCCCAGCGTTATTCTTCTGTGGCTTCCCCGGCAGGATCCCCCCATCTGCATGCAGTAGACACCGAGTATACTGTCCCCTTGGTGCTCGAGCCTCATCTGAGCCACCACAACGAGACCTTGACCTCCTTCGCCCAGTTGGCCGCTTTGCGGCTGGATGTTGAGCGCGTGCTCATCAGGTATGTCTGCAATGCATACCTTTCTTCTTCGCCGGGCCATATACGATTACCGCCGCTGGCTTAATGATTCTACGCGCCTCCTTGTTTTTGTTTACCTTTATTTTTTTGGGTTGATTATTGTTTAGCGTCTCCGATCAGGACTCGCAGTTCATCATCGCGCAAGCCGCACAAACAAACCAGGGGGATCTGGATCTGCAGGACCTGGGTGATGGAGTGTGGAATGGGAATTCCAGGCTCTCCCTCGATGAGTGGATCATGTGCAGGGTATGGCTTCTTTCTTCCCCCTTTTCTAACGTGACACTCTCGTGGTTCGAATGTATCCAACACCTCACCGACATCTACAGGATACCCTGGATCTCCCGCCCTCGAACCGGGAGAAAGGCACCTCCTCGTTCATCGAGGTCAACGACCTCAGCACCGACGCGCGGTACAAGAATCTCCCGTTCGTCCGCGGGGATCCCGGCTTCCGCTTCTACGCCGGCACGCCGCTGACCGCGGACAAGAAGATCAACATCGGCTCGATCTTCGTGCTCGACAAAAAGCCCCACCCCACGGGGTTGACCGGGGTCGAGAAGAACGCCCTGGTGACCGTGGGCGCCCTGGTCAGCGAGTATCTCGCCGTCAGCCGACAAGCCACCGACGGGCGCCGCGCGGCCCGACTCTCCCGCGCGCTGAATTACTTTGTCGAGGGCAGTTCGGAGATCGGGGAGCGGGCATCGACGGCCCCCAGCACGCCCGCCGCCGTGGGCACCGCCTCCATGTCGTGGTCGCCGCCGCCACCAACGCTGTCCAACCGATCCGCGCTGCGCTCCGCTGAGGCCCCGTCCGTGAAGAACAGCGAGACTCGCTCGCATCGGTCACGCAGCTCCCGCGGGACGTGGAGCCAGGGCCGCCGATCTTCGGGGGCTCGATCCACGTCGCGCGACAGGCGCGGCGGGTCTGCGGCGTCGAGATCTGAGACCAGCACGAATCGCACGCCCGAGGCCTCGTCGTCGGGGGACTCGTGGATGTTCCAGCGGGCGGCCAACCTGATCCGGCAGAGTCTGGAGCTGGGCACCGACGGTGGAGTCATCTTCCTCCGCGCCGACCCCCATATCCTCCACGAAGCCAAGTGGCGAAGCAGCAACAACATCAGCGAGAAAGCTTCGCGCGAACCCACTCTACCCCATGTGCTGGCGGCGTCGACCGCGCACGAGCCCTTCGCCGCGCGGCCCGGCTCCAAGACCACGCCGCCGTATCCGGCCGCGGAGTTGAACGTCGAGTTCCTGCACCAGTTGTTGGACCGCTACCGCCACGGCAGACTGTGGTCATTCCACCGGGACGGACTACTCTCCAGCTCCGATGACGACCGACCCTCGCCCGCGCGCGCCGACTCCCAGCAGAGCATCGACGAGTCGCGGATGCAGAAGGCCTCGGAAAACTCGACCCTCAACCGCTATTTCCCCGGCGCGACGCAGGTGCTGTTCGTGCCTCTATGGAACGCGGCGGACTCGCAGTGGTTCGCCGGCTGCTTCTGCTGGAACACGCTGGAGACGCGCGTGTTCAACCCGACTGTCGAGCTGAGCTCCATGCTGGGGTTCGGGTCCTCCATTATGGCCGAGTACATTCGCATGCAGTCGGTCGCCGCGGACCGGCAGAAGAGTCATTTCATTGGTAGTATCTCGTAAGGACGGCCTCTTTCCCCCCACACAGTTTCGTATTCAACCAAATCAAGAGACACTGGAAGATTGACTCAACGACTTGATGCAAATCACAGGCATGAACTACGCAGCCCGTTGCACGGAATTATGGCCGCCGGCGAATTCCTGCAGGGCACCCGACTGGACGAGTTCCAGCGCTCCTTGCTGGACACCATCTCCAAGTGCGGCCGCACACTGCTCGACACCATGAACCAGGTGCTGGACTATAGTAAAACCGTGTCATCGGAGCGCGGCCGTGCCCACGCCAAGCGCCGCAGCGCCAAGCGAACCAACTCCGGCGCTTCCTCGTTGCTGGACACTTCCGTGGCGACGGACCTGAGTGCCCTGGCCGAGGAAGTGGTGGAGGGGGTGTATCTGGGCCATGCGTATGGGCAACGATCCACCGCCCCGTCGGACTGCCCGGAGAATATGGCGCAGAAGTCACTGGTGGACGCGCCGCAGCCGACCCAAGAGAAGCTGGCCGTGGAAGTGGTACTGGATATCGCGCAGCACAATTGGGTGTATCAGACCCACCCTGGCGCGCTGCGGCGCATCATCATGAATCTCGTAGGAAACGCTCTGAAATACACCGAAGCCGGTAAGGTATCCTTGGAGATGGACGTGATCGAGGCGGCGCCCCGAAAGGCGGGCGGTCCTGCTGCCAAACCCGGAGAAGCGCTTGTGCTGAGGGTCTCCGACACGGGCAAGGGAATCTCCGAGGAGTTCCTGCGTAACAGACTCTACACCCCATTCGCGCAGGAAGATCCGTTGGCCGTAGGCACCGGCTTGGGGCTTTCGATCGTGCGCAGTCTGCTCAAATCCCTCGACGGCGACATCACCTTCGACAGTCGCGCAGGCGAAGGGACCTCTGTCAAAGTCACCATGCCTCTGACCCGACCGGGTCTCGAGGACGCTTCCCTCGATCGCGATCTCCAGAATTTGACGATCCAGGGAAGCAAGAGCTCCGGGCCGATTAGCAAGCATGCCGGGCGACGAGCCAGTATTCTTCTCGAAGGAGACGCGGAGGATATATCGTCGTCCTCGCGATGGACGATCATCAGCCGCTACCTGGTCGGCTGGTTTGGGATTGAGCTCGTGCCGCACGACTCCACCTCGCCCGTGGACTTTATGCTTGTGGATGGAACCACCACCGTTCCAATCGAAACAGAGACCGTTCTCCCCCCGATACTCGTCGTATGGGACCCATCTGCATCTCCATCGAACCCTCTTCCCGGCTGGCTGTCGTCGGCGCCGACCGTGAACTTTGTCCGTCTGCCGTGTGGGCCGTGGAAGCTGGCAGCTGCCATTGAGCGCTGCTTGAACCAACAGTCGGAGACAACGTCCGTCGCACTCCACTCGAGGATATCACCTGTTGCGCACGACGACCAACATCCAGCCGCCGCCGCAGCCGCTCCACAATCACAACCCTCACTGTGCCCACAATGCCAGAGCGCATCCACACAGCAGGATGCGGCAATCGAAAGAACCGCGCGAGGCCCACGAGTCCTAGTCGTGGAAGACAACCCCATCAATCGCAACCTCATCCTCACATTCCTGAAGAAACGGAACCTGGCTGCGCTCGAGTCGGCCGACAACGGCAAGCGCGCCGTCGAAGCGGTCGAGCAGGAGAAACATGGCTACGACCTGATCTTCATGGGTATTCCCCTCCCTTCTCGTCCTTACAACCACATAGTGCTAACCTTTCCTGCTTAGATATCTCCATGCCAGTGATGAACGGCTTCGAAGCCACACGCGCGATTCGCGCCCTCGAGCGGGAGCGGGGCAGCGGCGTCTCGGCCAAGATCATCGCTTTGACCGGCCTCAGCAGTGCGCAGGATGAAACCGAGGCGTTGCACTCCGGGATGGATATGTTCGTGACCAAGCCCTTCTCGTTCGAGAAGTTGTCCGAATACCTGGAGAAGTGGGAGCAGAATGAGTTATGAGGGGCAACAAACATCTCAACCAGCATATTTTCCTATTCTGTCTGATCAGGTTGCGATTCGGCCTGAACACGTGGCCGATGCCATTAGATTTCTTTTTGTCCAAGGGTTTTGATTGATGTGTCACGTATACGGTTTCGGCGCTCGATACCCCCTATTGCATGAGTCTGCTTTGTTGTTTAGCCATATGAAGGAATGTCATAACGATTTAGTTCCGTCGTATCATCCAGAGATCCTCTGTATTGTCTGCGCAAGAGTCCTTGCGGCTCACTCGGTAACTCATAGGCTTGTGGTGTGGATAATTCCATATACACTGTTGATCAGAGTAGGATCCGTGTATCGAATTTGAAGAAGAGCGCAGCTCTCCTTCCTCGTCTTAGGTTGTTGCATGGAACCGATTAGGATCCACACGACCTGTTTTCAGTACGCCAATAGACCGTGATTGATATTCACAGTCTACCTGAGACCCCAGAGTCCCCTCAGCTCAGCCGCACGATCGGAAGTCTTCCACCCGGTTTCAGCATCGATCCGCGAGAGATGTTTCAGCAACAAGATCTTCTCGGTGGCGTATTCCTCTACCATGGTCGATTCATGAGCGGCAAGGACTTCGCTTCCTGCAAGGTTCATAAGGTCTGGACTCACTGGCTGCTGAGCTGCCGACCGATAGCTCGCCACATTGTGCGACTGGGTGTGCTTCGAGGGTGGAGAGGTCGTGCAATACCCCGCGAAGACAGTCCCGGCGATGTATAGGGGTTGCAGATGGTTGACCCAGTTTGCACTATAACTCTTTTGGTTAATACGAAGATACCTCTCGAGACCGGTACGGCTGGTCTGTCGCCAGCTTACAATGTATGACGGGAAGTGGGAACTCACTGAGAGGAATTACAAGTTGAGATGCCCATCAGTTCACGTGCATGCCAAATGGCATCGACCTGCTGGATTGATGTAAGTGACCAGGCTGCTGCTCGCGCAGGCTGCGTATACGCACAGCACTTTGGGTCTCAGGAATAACCGGCACAGCACCCGTCTGCAGGAGCAGAATCGAGCCCGCATGATAATACGTATTGCCACAAACTAGACAGATCCCTACATCAGTGCGGGTTGTGTTTTGGACCCACAGAGAAGGTTCACTCACTGGCCGATGTCCGAGCATGTAGGACCGTAGGAGAAACGGTGCCAGGGCAAGGCTCCTGTCGCAACAACGGGTAGACATCCGGCGGCCGAAGCCGGTACCAGCGCTGCATTTCATTCCACAGAGCCGCCACCGACTCACCCAAGTCAATTTCGCTATGGCCAGCAGAGTTTGCCAGGAGGTTGACGATCTTCGCCAAAATCAGGTTGGCCATGTTACAATAGTCATCCACCTTGCCTTTGGCGGCCAGCGACGCAAGGGACATATCGTTCATCCAGAAGTGGGCGGGGATCAGGGTCGCAGACGTCTGTGACAGAAGGCAGATGGCAGGGGTCCTACGTCAGACGATTTCCCACTGATTATATCGAATCTTCAAGCCGGTAAAGCTTACCTATTCGCGCAAACGCCCAGAAGCAAGACTTCATAATATCAGGGCTACACCCATTTTACTTCTTCAACTGGAGCAGACCGGCACACCCCTAAAGTTGTCAGTAGCTTGACTTCCGAGCATCCGAAAATAGATAGTTGGTGAGAGAACCTTCAGATGGCGTCGCCACTCATCGACACCTGATGCCATCATCTCGTAGACACAAAGTAGCGTGCATGTCGCCAGAATAGAAGAATCAGCACGGGCGGGGTCTTGCCGGAGCAGCAGGCGACTGGTGTACTGGTATAGCTCCAGTGTGACGGAGCGATGTCTACGTTGAAGGTGGTCCAAGTGCCGCGAGGCGAGAGACATTGCTGCTGCGACGAACGCCGATGACTTCATCATCTCATGGATACTGAACACCGTGAAATGCCTATCAGAGTCGGTGGTCTCGCACCAAGTTCCTGTTCCCCGCAAGTAGAAGCTAATGAGCCTAAGTTTCTCTGACTCGGAAACAGGAGACGGTGGTTGGGGCAGGACGGAGATGTCCCCAGAACAAGCCTTGCCGAGTGAGAAAGGCGCAGCGTGCGTGCCAGCGTTAGGCTCTCCGGTCGCGATCGGGCTGTGTGCGTTGCCGGTGCTCGGAGTTTTGGAATTGGACGATTGTGAGATGGCAAGCCACTGGACATTCATCACCCTTCCTCACTGCATCATAATAGGATTCACCCATAGCTGTGGCCGACCTCTACCTTAAGATGAATACAACCCTTGAAGCGGGTTGTTGTTGTTATTGAATTTATTCTCGCTTCTAGCAGACATAAAACCCGTATAACAGCAGACGCAGCTCGTAGTCTGATATACTATTCTTATTCAGTTATAGATATAAATATTAAAATTATATATACTATCTTCATCTAGTTTGCCTGCAGATATATACAACCGATCTGAATTTTTATAAATTATATATATAGATGTAACTAAAATGTTTCTATATAAATAAATAGTAATAAAACAGCTTTTTATACTGTTTTTATTATGATTTTATTAATATATAAAGTATTTTATTAATACTATAAATATCAGTTATATAAATAATAAATCTCTTAAAATCTAGTTTTTACTATGATCTGTTTAAACTAATAAATATTTTTAGTAGTTTTATATATTAATACTACTCTAAGCTGTCTTATATCTAATATCCGGATATTATAGTATATATTAACAAAACTCGAGCTTAATAATAGTATCTAATCCGAAAATTAAATCCGGGGTCTTATATAGTAAATTTAATTATTAAGCCTTGATATAGAAAAACAGTCTATATTTTATACAAATTAAGGCACACCGGAAAGCCGCCCTACAAGCTCCCCAGCCAATAAGAATTAAATATCAAGGCCTTCAGAGTGGATGAGATACTGCATGCGAACGCGTTGACCGTTCGGCCATCCACCCGTCGGACGCCTTGAAGCAGGTCTCATCGGTCGAATACGCCAACAAGGTCTTGGTCTATCCGCCTACTTTGATTTCTGTATATTCCCCTTCTGTGCGCCACCTCATTACAGCATATCAAGATTTCAACCATGCCCTACGATAGACACTGCATGTGCAGGAGAATCCAAGTGTCGCTGCAGCAACAACCGTCTCAGTCATTTGTAATGCCACTGGTAATGATGAGCCCTCCAAATTGATTGAACCAGGGGAAGTACAACTCTAACTGTTCTGCATGTGATTTAGTCGCAACTGCGGGCGATCCGGGGGCGGTAAGAAACACGAATTCGCGACGCCTGATACTTTGTGGCTGCAGCGATTGTTGACTATCAACTCAGGGTCGTCCATAAATTACGTATTACAATCAAAGACCCAAGGCTATCTCTGAAGAGTCACGGTGATTATCACACACAGAGCGGGAATATTGTCCTAGTAGGAGTTGTCATGGCTGCCATGGCCTCAGCCGAACGGCGATTTACTTGAGATACCGTCTCTGAATGTCCCAGCGCCAATTTTGTAGCGAACGTGGAAGGTGAGTCTCTGCCATGATCACATCTCAATAGCTCTTTGTTCTGGTTCCTTGCACTGACACTTTAGTGTGTAGCCCTATCTCGACTAAGAGCCCCGAGTTCCCAGGGAAGACGCTGCTCAAAGCCTCGCTCTTCGATAAGATATCTCGTCCGATTTAGGAAACCTTTACAACCAGACGGCAAAGCTGGGAGCCCGCGATTGAAGGAGCTAAGCAAAACTAGAGTGGTGACAAGGGCAACGTGTGAAAAAATGGGCTGAACTACAAATCATAGAACATCAATCAGAGGTCAAGCAGTCTACCATAAGATGCATACTAGACAATAATTCGCATAAATGAGCATTTGCTAAAGCTGTCTGATTAGTGGCCCGAAAGGGCTCCACGATTGGGGCTCCGATATTTGTCTGTATAGTTCTCTCATGGGAAAAGGAATTAGGGCCTCACGCATAAATCTTTGAAGCGCTGTGGGATCTGCCCCCAGGATGGTGAATTGCACCAACAAACTAGGTTTATGTTTCTGGTTCCAAGGCAGTCTCGAAGCGCCCACCGATCATATCACAGAATCAGAGTTTCCTACGCCCCTGCTTAGAAGCCCCTGTATTTAACATGTGATGCGTAGAAGAACTCTCGTGGGTCGACTGAATCATAAATAGCAGGAGTCTGTCACTTCACCGTGAGCTTCCTTTTCATGCTGAACATTCAATCCAGCCCAGCCCGATACTCCCCTCGTGAAACATCCACCACAATTATAACCAGCAAGATACATCATGGGTTCTCAGAGTATGAAAGCCCTCAGGCTTGTGCAGGTACCAGTCACCATCTCCTCATTTCCCAGCTCACAGTCTCTCATTTGCCTCCACATAAAAGAAAACGCAGAGACGCATAGCCTCCACCCAGAAGAGACTGACATGATACATTACTTACCGCATCAAGTACGGAGCCCCATAAAAGCTAGAAGATATCTCGATCCCAACTATCAGCGATCACCAACTCCTGGTCAAAGTCGGGGCCGCCGGCTTCTGCCACAAAGATCACCAGATCTACAATGGGGTCTACAATTCCCCCTTGCCAGTGACTCCGGCCCATGAGCCCGCGGGAACTATAGTGGCGGTCGGACAGAATGTGACAGGCAGCTGGAAGCCTGGCCAGCGGATCGGGATGCTGAATTTCCGGGGCGCGTGCCATGCGTGCGTAGGCTGTGAAGTCGCGCGCGACCCCCTTCGGCCCAATGAGCCGGACACACGGTTCTGCGAGAACAAGGAGAATGCCGGCGTCAATGCTGATGGGGCGTTCGCGGAGTACATCGTGGCCGACTCAGCCACTTCGGTGCTTTTGCCGGATGAGGTGTCGTTTGAACAGGCTGCTCCTTTGATGTGTGCTGGGGTAAGTTGACGACAACCTTGTCCAGGGGGTACGCTTTTGGCCTAACTATGTATCACAGGCTACCGTCTGGACAGGCCTCGCAGGTGCAGGGATATAACCTCATCTCCCCATCGGAGTGATCGGCGTCGGCGGCCTAGGCTACCTCGCCCTGCAATTTGCGGCGGGATTAGGGCATCCGACCGTTGCAATCGACAACCGACCCGAAGGGCGGCAGCTGGCGAGTGAACTGCCGACTCACCTGAGACCTGGTAAAGTCGCGGACTACAATAGTCTCAAGGCCACAAAGGAGGTAGTTGAGTTTGCAGGAGGAGGTGGACTGGCGGCTGTGCTGGTCTGCACCGACAGTGTGGACGCGACGGAATGGAGCCTTAAGCTTCTCCGGCCTCACGGAGTCTGCGTGCCGCTGGGGCTTCCCGTGGAAGGATTTTGGCTCTCAGCCTGTGACATAATATTCAAGGAGCTGATTGTTCGCGGGAGCTTGGTTGCGAACCAGCGCCTCTTGTCGGATATGATGAACTTCGTCGCGGAGAAGGGGGTGCGATCTCACGTACAGACGGTGAAGCTCGAGGAGGCCATGGATCTTCCAGACCGGTATATGGACCCTCATCTGAAGGGACGGTTGGTCGTTGTTCCTTAGGTCAGGGGCTTTCTCATTATTTGTTACTCTGCTTCCCCAAAAAAGGACCTTTCACGCGGCGGGGGGGGGGGGGGCAAAACTATGTTCAGGGTACAGCTACATGAAATGTGCTGAGTCTGCCTAGTATCAGTCACCAAGCATAAAGTGTCAACTTCCTTTCTTGCATTGGCTCTATACATAGGTATTTCAGATTCGTGTAAAAGATCTCATTGCTACACTGCGAGACACAGTTCAGATAGCTTGATCTAGTAAAGTTCTAGCTATCACGTCTGATGTTATTCAAAAAGACTCATCGAGGACTATGAAAAAGGCGCAGAAGTCAACCCTTCATGTGCAGACTCAGCCTCTGGGAGCTACACACCCAATTAGCAAATCTTCAAGATCTCGTTGGTTACCTTCTTGTAGAGGTCGCCGATGGCTATCTTTGGCGACCACTCCGCCTCGACCTCAAACCTCCTATTAGCCACCGTACCATAGAATTTGAATACAAGCGGCTCATTGTTGACCAGAGCATGAGTGTGGACACCGACCACAATCTTCTCGATGTGGAAGACGGAGGAAATCTTTTTCTGAATCTCGTTCACAAAGTCCTGGAGCTTCTGCATGCCATTCTGCCAGTCCTTTTTGAGGGCCTCTAGGCCCGCGTCCATCTGCTTGATGGCATTGTGAACCTCCTCATGAACCTTGAGCCGGTAATCGTACTCCCGCTGGAGCTTTGCGAGCTCTGCGTCTTCCTGGATGCGGGTGATTGTCTCATCTGCGGCGCGAATCTCTGCTTCCAAGTTGGGTCCTTTCTTGTCGAGGATGCCTTGTGCATCCCGAATCGCCTGCTGATACTTGCTGTTCTCACTTTGCATCGCATGAAGATTGTTGATCGCTGCTTGGATCTTTCTATCCTCGGTGTCCACAAATGCCCTCACGAATCCGTCGAATCCTCCACCTTTGATAAGGCTATCGATACCCTTGGCAGCGTTCTCTGCTGCTTCAGCTGCTTTCTCTATCCCGGTAACGACACCCTGAAATGCATCAGAGTTGATTGTGGCATCGAATCCCTTGGCTGTTTCATGGTAAACGGCGGTGGCTGCCTTGACGATTTCGTGGCGTGCCTTCTCTGCCTCCAGTGCCCCGGCCTAGTGTAATCAAGAATTAGCTTCCTTTCCTGTATCGCCTGCCCAGGCCTTCCTCATATGCATGTAAACGTACCCAATAGGCAATAGTGAGCCTACTGACGTTAGCTCTTGATCTCTTCGAAGGCAGTATGACAGGGTTGCATACCAACTCGCCTTGCATTTCTCCCAATACACCGCTTCAACCTGTGCCCAAGAGGCCTTCTCGGCCGCCATCTTCTCATACCAGGCGCCCTTGGCCAGTTCTGCCCGCTTGAGAAAGTCCAGTCCATACCTATTTGCTTGCTCCTTCTTCAGTCTCTCAAGCTCCTTGCGATTCCGAGCCTCCTCCTCCTTGGCTGCTTCCAGTTTGTCGTTGTACTCCTTTCTCTTCCGTTGAATGAGTGCCTCTTTGTCCAATTCCGCTCGCTTGACCTTCTGCTTCAGCTCTGCCTCGACTTCAGACTTGTTCTTCTTGGCGGTAGCCAGATTCTGTCTCAAACGTGCAATCTCCTTCTCAGCCTCTTTTCGCTTCTTTTCCTCCTTCTCGATCTCCACTTGACGCTGGCTACGGGTTGCCTCGAGCCTTATTCGTGCATCCTCCAGCTCCTTCGCCAGCTGATCCATCTCAGCCTGCTTCTCACCGATCTTGGCTCCAATGAGGTTTTGCACGGACTCAATGCCATCCGTGCCCAGTTTCTCAATCGTTTTGATCATATTCTTGATACTCTCGCAGATCATGTCAAATAGATCGCCCTGGATCTGGGCCTGGAAGTAAAGGCCCTGGTGGGCCAGATCACGGACACTGCTAAAGTCCGCTGTTGTGGCCTGCAGACTGATGGTAAACGCCTTGGTAAACTGTACGGCAATGTAGGCGTTGAACGAAGGGGTCTCCGTGCCCAGCTGAATGTCCACGAGGGTGACCAGCCCGATGCCGAAGCAGGTCACCATGCCATCTACCTTGACAATCTGCTGCTCTTTGGTCATGAGCACCACCATGCTCGCCCGGGGTTTACCACTGGCCGACGAGACCACGAGCGGACCCAAGCTGAAGTTGTCGATCGCGCCCTTGAAGCCCAGTCCCGCAGCACCAATGCTCAGCTCGAACTCGGCCTTCTTGCCGAATGCCGTCAGTTTCCCGCCGCCGGAGATGCCTCGCGGGTACTCCTTCTTGCCGATGGTAGCCCCCGTGGAGACGTACAGCTTGGCATCCGTGAACACGAACAGTTCCTCAGCCCCCGTGATCGTCTCCAATTCTGGGATATTGGCCACCTTGCCGGCGACCTGCACGATTTTGATGAAGTCGACTTCGGAGATGTTGACCGAGATGAGCTGATCGTCGGGAAAGTGGCTGATCACCATGGCTGCCCCGGCCTCGAAATCTCCGACTTCGAGCTGCCCGCCGAGGCCCATTTTCCTGATTTCGCGTATCAGTATCCCCGACTCAATAGGTCTGTGGCCACGAAGCACATTGCAAACTTACGAGGGACCGACTTCCAGGAACTTGGCATATTCAATCAGTAGCTCGACCCGAAAGTCTGCGATTGTGACCTCCTTGCTGATGTTGAAGGGGTTCACCCAGGGCTTCTTAGTCGCACTGGAGGAATTCGTCAGCATTGTGCATATACCCTCAGTCCGACCAACCTACACATAAGCGGAGGCATACAGGGCCCCTGCTCGGACCATCCCTTCGAGGACTAATGGATCCTGACCCGATTCCATCAAAATAGTCAGAACGCCCTCGAGCGACAAGCTGGGATTTGTGCTGATCTCAATCCCGACGCCAATATCGCCCAGCTTCACGGTTCGGGAAAAGTGGATCTGACGACAAAATGCGTCAATATTGTGTTACAACCTAAGGGGGGGAACGACCTACATCCATCGACGAAGGCAAGCAGATCTTGAGCTCCAATTTCTGCTGAATGGTAGCGCATAGGACTAATCCATCCACCTTCTCCTTAGCAAGGATGTTGAGCTCATCAAGGGGTGGTATAGTCGCGCATAGCGAGATTCCTACACTCGGGTTAGGGCTTCTGTGTCACTAGGGAAGGGCCTAGAAAGTGAATAGCGATCGCTGACCTACCTTTCCGGACGGGATACTTCAGGGTGTTCAGCTCTTTCACTGACTTGATCTCGCCAGATGCGGCAATCACGGCGACATTCCGCAACCTGAGGTTTCCAATGGGGGTGCCTGCAAGCGTGTCACAAAGCTCTGCCAGGCAGAGGTCCGTATCAGCCAGACCATAAATCATCCACTCGCGTTCAGAAGCCTTCTTCGACTTCTTGTTTGTCTCTTTACGCTCGGTGAGGAAGGCGACTGTCACAGTCACTCCACTGAAGGTGACCTTGCCTCTGATGGAGAACTTGCTGGCCCGGTTGAGGAGAACCTCCTTGTCCTTGCCGGTATCTTTCTTGACAAGGTCCTTTCCCACTGAGCTGTCTTCTAGGGATGGTTTCGCAACGGCTGACTCGGTACCACCGGCGTCAGCGTCGATCGAGGAGCCCTTTTTGCCGTGCACCTTTAGTTTTTTGTCGGTTTTCGGCTTTGCTCCGATAAAGATATCAATCCGGGCCTCCTTGATAGTGATATCAGCGTCCTTCACTTTGTAATCCTCCACCCCACCCTCGATGGTCAAGCCGGTGCTGTCATATTTGATCAAACCGTGCACGCTTTTGACGTCGTTGAAGCTCACTTTGCCGGAAAGCTCAAAGGACCATTGTGTATCCTCCTCCCCCTCTTCCTTCCTGGCAGCACTCTTCTCGTTAGCCTTGGTTGCTGCTTTGATTTCAGTCACTGCGACAGAATCTCCTTCCTTGGCCTCGTCATTTACGCTCGGTTCACCCGCAATCTTCTCGTTTGCAGAGTCCTTGTCTTCAGTCGGTGCTTTCTCGCCGTCTTTGAGCGTCTTCTTTTCTTTATCCTCATCACCCTCCTTCTCATCCTTCTTCTCATCCTTCTTCTCATCCTTCTTCTCATCCTTCTTCTCATCCTTCTTCTCCTTCCCCTTCTCCTTCTTCTCCTTCTCCTTCTCCTTCTTCTCCTTCTCCTTCTCCTTCTCATCTGCTTCTTTCTTCTTCAGCCTCCGACCAATATTGAGGTGCAGCTCCTCGAAGGTCAAATTGTGGTCCTTGATGCCCTCAGTCTTGGGCTCGACTCCGTGGATATGGGCGTAAATCTTCAAGATTGATTCGAGCTTCAAGTTGCCCACCTTGGCGTCGAAATGATAATCCTCTGTGTGGGGATTAGTAGAGCTCTGCTGCAGCTAAGAGCCATAGATAGACTTACTCCTGGACAATTGGCCTTTGATCACCAAGGTGGCATTCTTCGGCTTCTCCTTCTCTGCATCGCCTTTCTTGTCGCCACCCTTTTTCTTATCTTCACCCTTTGACTCCTTTTCCTTGGTCTGGCCTCCACCCGCGGCTGACGGCTTCGGCTTGGTGTTTGAAGCCACTTTGGCGTGCTCTTTGATGTCTTTCTCGGCCGTTTCTGCGTTGGCCTTTTCCTTTTCCTTGTCCTCCTTCTCCTCCTTCTCGAGGCTACCCTGAGGAAATTCGAGAGAGCCAGACACAGTCAGCGTGCAGGTCTTCTTGAAATCCCCTCGTTTGAAGAAGGCGCGCAATTCCGCTTTCTTCATCTGTTTATGGATAGTCATGTTAGCACAAGGAATTGATGGTATTTGAGTCGAGGGAATTCTTACACTGAGGTTTGCGACACCGCAGAAATTATCCCACTTGCCGACATCAATGACCACTGCCAACCACGTAAGTTCGATCCTCCACCCTGCCTGGGCCAGGTGGACTTACGTTCATACTTGCTTCCACCACCTTGCTCGTCTTTTTCCTCCTTGCTTTTCACGGCCTTCTCGTCCATCTTGTCTGTGTGATCAGAGTCGGGTTTGTCTGCTTTTCTCTTACCTCCGGCAGCTTTATCATCTTTCTTGTCTTCTTTTTCTTTCACTGTCTGGTCAGTCTTCTTGTCTGTATCCTTACCGTCCTTCTTTTCGTCTTTCTTGTCATCTTTCTTGTCATCTTTCTTGTCATCTTTCTTATCGCCTTTACTGTCTTTCTCTCCTTTCTCCTTCTGCTTCCAGTCACCTCCCCGGATCCAGTATCTTGCCTCCAGAGTTCCCTTCGACTTGGGCAATTTGGTGATGTTGAGTTTGCCAAATAAGCCGACTCCCAGTTTCCATTCTTTCTCCTTGTCTTTCTTGCCCTTGTCCTTGGACGATTTGTCCTGTGTGCAACGTTAGCAAATTCGGGAGAGTTGTAAGTAAATACACGTCTTGCGTACCTTCTCGTCGAGTGCTTTGGGTTCGGTTTCCTTTGACTTGGGGACTTCCTCTGGACTCTTAGGGCTGGAGTCATCTTCGAGCATATTCACCATGGCGGCCACTTCCGAAGATGCAGACTCGGCGCCTTCTTCAGGCTGGGCATCCTCCCCCTGTCCCTTTTTATTCTCATCTTTGTCGTCTTCCTTCTGCTTAGTCTGCTCGCTCTCATCGCCCTCATTGCCCTTCTCACCTTTCTTTCCCTTGCCACCTTCCTTCTTATCATTCTTTTTCTTCTCCTCCTTCCTGGCTGACAACTCGATGCCCACCGTCTTGAACTCCAGGAAATCCCACTTCGGCAACGTCATATCAGCATAGGCCTGCAAGACCAAACCCTCGATCTTGGGCTTCTTGCTCCAGTCTCGCTCTTTGGCAATCAACGCACTGATCCGCAGCTTGGAAGGCAGGGTTGTTCCCTTGTCGGAGCCAAAGACATTCTTGAGCCCGTCCGAGACGAATTGCAAGCCATCCTTAAACTCCAAGTCACCCTCGAGTCGCAGTCCTACCGGGAAAAGGCTGTCTTTCTCCTTGTTGCTATAGGTAAACTCCAGGTTCTTGAGCGGAAGCTTCTGGATTGTCGACTGCTCGATCTCGGGGAAGAGGATGCCGAGCGGGGAATCCATATCCTGGAGTTTGACCTTTTCTTGGATCGGATCATCCTTCTTGTCACCCTTTTCTTTTGCCTGTGCATCCTTATTGTCCTTGGACTGGGAATCCTCCGCCTTCTCTTCCTTGGGCTTTGATTCAGGATCTTTCGATCCGACCGGAGGCTTTTTGTCCGGCCGGACCTCCTTCTTCGCCTCGTTCTCGGCGCCGTCCTTCTCACCCGCTTTCGTCTCCTTCTCGTCATCTTTCTTCTTGCTATCCTCCCTTCGGAAAGAGTACAGCTTCGCCTTCAGCCCCTTGATGCCGAAGAAATCCTTGATATCACCGCTGAGAACGTAGGAATCGACCGCAGCGGCGCCGACCTTCCCCTTGGCGGCAGCCATCTCTTTCTTGACCTCAGGCAGCGCGACCGGCGTCGCCGTCTCGGGGAACGCAATTTCAGCATCATTCTCCGCCGGCAGCAGCAGCATGGGCTGTGCGGCTGTTTTGCCGATCGAGGCGACCAGAAGCGAACCCCCGCCTCGCTGCACCCCGGAGACCGGGACCGGCATGACCTTGACGTCGCTGTACAGATCGTGGTCCTTGTGCTCGGGCGCCGGATCGCTCGAGACCGACTCCCCGACCACGAGGGCGACGTTCTGGACGACTGCGCCGCCGATGATCAGCTCGTTGGCGGGCGAAGCCGGGATCTCCGGGGGTGTCGCTGACAGCGATCGGGACATCGTGGTCCAGCCCGATAGAGGGAGGAATCGCGGGGCTGGGGTTGCCGGAGGCGATACATCTGGGGTGGTTACGAGGTTGCTGCGCTTTTCGTTGCGGAATGTGGCGGTGGAGAAGACGTCGAGGGACTGCAGGGAGGAGAAGGCCCCGCTCGCGATGAGGTCTTCGCCGAAGCTGGACAAAGAAAGGAGTTCAGTATCTCGCGCCATTCTTTCTACTTTGTGATTGAGAGGATGAATGTCAACTGTTGTCTGAGTACGAACAGGAAGCCGTACATCCAGACATCCAGGAAAGCAATCCCACTGCCGGGATAATCGGCACATCATATACCCCCGCTGCACGAAACGCCCCCACAGGCGGCAACAGCAAGTTCGATTCCCTGATTTTTCCCTTTCAGCTCAAGGTCCCGCAAATGGGGATCCGCCCCAGCTCAGCTCAGCTCGGCTGCTGATCTCGTTCGTGATGGGGGCCTGTGGGGAGATCCGATCGATGATCGACATCAACCTTGCCCAGTCTGGGCTTCTTCCGATGTTGAGGGCTCCACCTGAAGTGGGGCTGATAATGGCCAGCGTCGCGTTCTCAAGCCAGCCACGCTCGTCTTCAGTTTTGCTCTTATCGCTGGACAATGGCAGTTCCTTGGTAAACCCGCCAATAAGGCCCACGGGTGACAGGTTGACGTAGTGCTCACCATTGGTCTACTTATTGACTTCTTGAGGGCTTTGGCAGGACATACGGTGGTGCTGTGGCCCCGATGCCTGGAACGGGGTTGTTTCCCGCCTGCCTGTCCGCGATTTCGGTTTGGGGTTTGGGTGGCTCCAGCTCTCTTATCCGCTTGCATCTTTTCCTTTTTCTGGTCTTGTCCTACGCTTTTTGTTTCCTTGCCTCGTAATATTATCACCATTTCGTCTTCTTCTGAGCTTTGCCGGCTTGCCCGCGGGATGGTAAGCCTAGACCAAGGAGATGTAGTAATGCCCGTACATAGTATATACCCCGCAACGCCAGTTGACTGCCAGCATAGTCGACTTGGCCCACGCTCTAGACCAGAGATCACAATAGAGAGTAGTATCTCTGTCAGGGCTGGGAGTCCTACAATTCCCTATAGGGAAAAAAGGTCACGTACGCGCAGTCAATAGGATCAATAGGTCCGCTGTTAGGGCCGAGTGAGGGACTGAATCGGAACTGCGCGAAATGATGGCCGAACGGCCACCTAGTATTGTTTCGAATGAATCCTATTGTTCCTGCTCTACAATTCCATGATACCATATCGCACAGCCTGGAAGGGACCATCTTCGATCTGCGAGGCGTCGCAGTCAAACAACACAGAAAAGCCCTCTCCCAGCCCCCGGAGGAGTCCTCGACCAAGGTACCATGCGACGAAACCAACAATGCAACCCCAAAGTTGTGTAACAGTTGCAGCTGGACATGCACGCACCCTACCATTCATTCACGACTGTACACCCTCAAGCCAATCGCAGACCTTCTAAACAGGAATCGGATTGAAATACGCGAACCGATTGTCCGGATCGTACGCTCGTTTCAAGGCGCGCAGCCTCTCCAATCGCCACCCCTCATACCCATACATCGACTCCAGCGACTCCGTGCCAAAGGCATAGTTGACGTACGTCGTCGGCCGCCGGGTGGGTTGCCCCTCATTCCACAGGTCACGGATACGACCCGCCCACTCGATCGCGATATCATCCAACGCATCATCGGGTACGTGGGTGACAGCGGCCAACCTTCGCAAAGGCTCATATTCGCGACCTGGCATACTTGCCTGATGGTTACAGCCCCCACACTTTGGGTACTGTAAGAGAAGGCAAGAACATACATGAGCAGAAAGTCGTCACGGAACGGATACGCCGACGAGGCGGGGTCGACGGCCAACACGCCCTGGAGGGAGTATCCCTCCATGAGCACGACGGAGGCATTGAACGCGGGAATGGAGCGCAGCATCTCGCTGAAAACATCATAGATCGCCCGCTGCGCGGTCACGTTGTACACCTGCAGGCCCGCGGTCGAGACCATCTGCGCGAGGCCGTGCGCGCAGATCGAGTCGTTCACGCCTGTCTTCTGGGCGTTCGGGATCTCGGTGTACGGGACGTTGCCGTCGTCGACGCGGAGCGGGTGCAGGGCGTCGAAGGGGGCCAGGTACGGCTGCGCCGCGGCTTCGGGGCCGGAGTAGGCGAAGGACCAGAGGATGATTGCCTTGCTCGGGGTTAGTACGGTTCAGATTGAAACGGTGATGAGGATTGTGGGAAGGGCGGGTGCGACCTCCGTCGCGCTGACCGTGGGGTCCAGCTGATACATTGTGTATTGCCACGCGATGTCGACCGGCTGCGTACCGTTGCCCTGTAGCCGATTCAATTCTTCGAACAACGGCTCGAGCTCCCTCTGCGAAAAGACATAGTTCCGGTAGTACCAGGTCTCCTCTTGGCGGGGGAAGATGCGCAGTTCGAAGCTGGTGACTACGCCGAAGTCGTGGCCCGCGCCTTTCATGCCCCAGAAAAGGTCTGGGTGCGAGGTGTCGGACACTGTGATCGCGGTCCCGTTCGCAAGAACCACGTTCAGGCTGAGGTAGTTGTCGCTGACCATCCCGTGCCGGCCCTGAAGACGGCCGTGGCCTCCGCCGAGACCGAGACCGACCATCCCGACGCAGCCGCAGCTTCCGGTGGCTTGGGAGATTTGTCAGCTGTTCAGTTTGTCTGATGCAAAGTAGGATGGGGGGGGGGGGGGGGGAGGTGACTGACTTGCTACATAGCCCTGTTCCCACAGCACGTCTATCACCTCCTGGGCGAACGTCCCGCCTTGAAAGCGAGCGGATTCGCCATCCGGATTGATATCAATTCCAGTCAGCAGTTGCATGTCAATCTCTAGGCCGTGGAATTGGCCCGGGGTGGTTGTCATGCTGTGAGCGCGGTTGACCGTGAAGAAAGGCAAGTCGTTCTCATTGGCATATCGAATCTGATATTCGCGTTAGCCGTGCGTTTGTTATTTGCACGCTTCCTAAGCATTATGAGAACGCGAGGGGAGGTGTCAAGACGTACAACAGTGGCGACGTCCTCCTCGCACCCTACCCGTACGACCACCTTGATCTTCGGGGGTTCGTACGCCTGGTACCGTGACGTTGCGTTCGGCCACAGCGGGCTGTCAGGCCCAAACACGCTGGATTGGTGCGACTTGGTAATTGGGGTTGGTTTGTCTCCACGGAAGACCAAGCCCATGCCAGAGGGCTTAGAGCCGCGAGGCAGCACGCCGCCTGATAAAATAGTCGAGCCATTGTTATGTATTCGAGTTCTGCACGAAGCGTCTGGGTCGATGCGTATGAGAATGGGCTCGTTTAAATGTGTTTTGATCACTTGTTCCACCAGGACTGACCTCGCTCGGTGTAAACTGGTTCTGCTCGGGATCACTCAAGGCAACGCAAACCTTTGACCGAGTGTGTAAGACACCAAGACCGGACGGGAGATGCTCCCGCTATCTTAGCCGTACTTCTGTGATGCACGAAGCCTTTGAACTTTAGAGGATGAAGATAGTCTTATTTGACCGCGTCTGGATCTCTTGTTCCACACAATGCGGAATTGCTGGATGAAAACTGGTGCAGGTCAGGGTTATACAAGGCAGCGCAAACCTTTTAGCGACGGTGTAAGACACCAAAGCCTGGCGAGGAATGCCCCCGCGAACTTAGCTGGTTATGAAGTCATCTGAACTGCATGAGGAAAGAAGCAAAAACTGACTATTGAGATTTAGTGCAGGGTTGCAATATCAATGTATGCATGCAGGCGAGAAGGCGCTCCTGAGTACCTAATTGGCCGATAGGCTGGCGTGGCATTATCATTCCTGTTCGCGCGGGTACGCTGATAGGGTTGATTGGTGGGCAAAAGGAGCGGGAGGATGAGGGGGGATTTATGGCTGCAGAAAGTCTATGCCAATCAGGGCACAGTAACGGACCCGAAAGAAATGCCTTCCATGAATGTGGACCTTGATGGGGTACGAGTAATGCTTATCTTGATCCTCCTTCTCTTCCTCCTCGTGTTTTTCACGATCTGGGTAGTGGCAGATTCAGTCAGATAATTCAACACGTCAATGATTCGGCGAACTCGGTACTCTTGGCATGCATAGTGATGCAATAGCTCATGCACGGACTGTTCAATCGGGGGTCTCGAGCACTGATAGTCGTACAGCCTTCAGTCAAGCATTCCAGTTACCCAGTGGAGACAAGAGTAGATTTGGGTTCATAATTGCTCTCTATCGCCAATATATGTAGTTGTGATGTGCAGTATCGGCCACATGACCCACGACATGCCGGTGGATACATGCTTATCTCGTTGTCACCCGAGGTTGAAGGTGAAGTCATTTACCAAAGGGAAAAGCAGAGTAAGTATGTAGCAGGTTCTCCCAAGCTCCTCCAGGTTTGGAGATGGTTGAGCGTTCATACTGTGGTTGTGTGCACGGGTACTGTATGATCCTGCAGCTCATGTACTGATCGTCACGTGACTGTCGACTCTCTCGCCCTACACTGGACACTTCCACCCATGCACCAGGGGTTGAATGTTTCTCGTCAAATCATGGTAGCTTATCTGATTCACCATGTCTGACCCCTTATCTCGGAATATTGGAATAAAGGGCCGTAAAGACAAAGAATTCTGAGCAGTATATTGCGCAGGGTGGAATGGCAGCACATTCCTTAAACTGTAATCTGACCGCTGAGTAGGTCATGGAGGCTCGATGCTCTGGTTTTTGTATCTGCGGACAAGAACGCCCTTGTTTGCTACTGCGATGACAGGCGCACACGAATGGTAACGCTAGCCAGAAAGCCGACCTGAACCGGACCGTTCATGCGGAGGATTGCGGGTAACGCCTGTCTTTTGTTGTCAAGGTAAAACTTCCGATAAAAACTTCGCCAGCTTCCAAGAGCTTGTCACTCATGCGAGACAGCATATCGACAATATCCCAGTGCTGCCGAGTAACTGCCTCACGATATAGGCGCCTGATGATCCGTGGATCGGCCACAATGTCCGCACCCGTGTCGACGAGCAAGCGAAACTCGGCCAACTTCCCAAGAACCAACGCTCTCTCCAGGTGGGAAGCTTGCATCGCCATCGTCAGCCCGTGCTCGATGAGTAGTTCGATAAAGCGGTAACTTTGCTCGCGCTCGAGAGCGCACCCCAATGGGCCCAGGGTAAGGTTCGGAGTGCCCGGTCGAGGAGGTCCTGGCCTGGGAGATAGTGAAGTATTCGGACTTGCGCCGTGTTCCAGCAGAAGCTGGGCCATCTCGGGCGACCCGCAGGCGGTCGCGGCTGCCAGGGCCGTGGAGTCATTTAGGGGCTTTTGATAGTCGATCTCGGCGCCTCGTGCAAGGAGATCCCGCACGCGATCAAAGTTGTCTTCCCGGGCTGCGTACCACAGCAGCTGGTGCATTTCCCTTTGACGGACCCGATGCATCGACGGGTACTTGCGCTGGAGAGCGTCGTCCAAGAAGTCGCCGATCTCGTCGAAGCCCCGATGCGCCGTAAGGCCCATTGCGCGTCCCCCGGAGGCATTGACGGCCAGCAGATTGGCCCCGCGCTCGACCAGCATGCGAACGGTCTCGAGGTGACCACGATAGGCGGCGAGGTGGAGCGGGCTGTTGCCTCCCGGGTCTTTGGTATTGATGTCGGCGCCGTGCTCTAAGAGCTTCGCCACAACGCTGGTCCGGCCGTTGCTCGCCGCAAAGAGGATGGGATGCAGCTTGAACGTCTGCCGGACCTCCGGTGTCATCTGCCGGTGATATGGCGCATCGGGGTCCGAGCTGGTGCAAGACCAGTATGGTGTTTTCCAGCTCACATCCACCCCGGAGTCCAGAAGTCGTTGCACCACCTCGTCCGCGCCGTGCGCGGCTGCACTATTGATCGCACCTTGGGAGCCCCGCGTTCTGACATATCTGGCGAGTAGGTAGCCGTTGAGGAAGTGATAAAGGGGATCACTTTCCAAGAGCACAACCACTTCTCTAGCAGTCAGCAGGTCGGCAATCATGAAAAGCACGTCATTCGGCAAGCGAAGTAAAGACATTTCTTGAGAATATGTCTGAATCGGTACAAAGGCGTCTTCAGTATTAGTATGTAGTGTCGATGATAAAGTAGGAAATGGGCAAATGGGGAAATGGGGAAATAATGCTTTCGGGAACATGGCATGGGGAAGATGGTGGTTGCAGGTCAGCTGTACTGCTTTTTCAGTTCACATAAAACAAAAACTGCTTAGTAAGCAGTTTAGTCATATAATTTCTAAGTAATCCTATTACTCATATAAACAAAAAATTTTATTTTATACTATCTTTTTTAATATTTTTATATATTATATCTTCTATTATTAATTATTTTTCTCCCCTTTCATATCCGTAACTATAGTATAACTAAGTAAAAATTTAATTATAACTACTTATTAAGTTTTTATTTATTACTTAAAATTATTTTAATAATAAAAAAATAATAAAAAAGTAATTTTTTTAATAAAAAACTAATTAATTTTAAATAAAATAAATCTAGTATTAGTAGTATAAATATAAAATTAAAGCCGGGCGCCTTATATTATCTAAATATATTATAATAAATTTTTAACTATTTTCTAACTGATTTTTAACTACTTATTAAATAGTTATTAACTGTTTAGAATATTAAAGAAGATATTAAGATCTACTATAATAAAATCTACTATTATATAAAAAATTATAATAAGTATAAAATAAATATTTTCTAACTATTTTTTAAATATTTTACTAACTATTTTTAATTATTTTAAAAGTTTTTTTTTAATATTAATAATTTATACTTTTATATATAGTACTATAAGAGTTTAAATTTAGATATAAATAATAAAAAAAATTAAGCCAGCCAGACGGAGATAGATATAGCTAATAATAAATATTTATAAACTATTTTCTAAATATTTTAAAATTAATTACTAATTACTTAGTCTAATATAAAAGTTTTTTTAATAAAAAAAACTGAAATAATCTTTAGATTTAATTAATAAAATAAAAACTAATTTTATTTTTAGTTTTATTTCTAATTCTGCCGTTAATTTTTTAGCTAAGATTATAAAAAATAAATATATTTCTAAACAATCTTTATTACTAAAAAATAAAATAGATAAGATAAGTTTAAACTATTTTTTAATTATTTTTTAAATATTTATTAACTGCTTAATCTTATATTATTAATATATATAAGATTATTTTTTATTTTAAAAATATAATATTTTATAAGAACTATAATAATAAAAAGTCCTACTACTATAATATTTAGAAATATAATAATTTTATATTTTTTAATTATAAAAATTTATATTCGGTTGCTGCTGGTGGTACTAAAAAAGAGGATTCTAATATAGTTTAACTATTTAATAAATATTTTATAAATAATTTAAAACTACTTGATTTTCTAAAAGAATTTAAATTTGGAATATATATCTAGTTGGTATAGAAATACTTTAGTAATTTAAAACTATTTTTTAAATATTTAAAAAAATCTAATCTTAAATTATATATAAACTAAAAAAAAATTATAGACTATATAAACTAGTATTAGAGTATTTATATATATTTCATATAAAAAATACAGTAAGTAGAAAATATTAGAAAAAAATGTATAAAAATATTTATAAAATAGTTCTAAAATATTTTAAAATATTAAAATTTATATATATTTTAATTAATACTTCTAAAATATTTCTTTTACATAATATTTATAAAATATCTGGTAGTATAAAAAGAATAAAAATATATTATAACTATTTATTAAATATTTTAAAACTATTTAATAACTACTTAGTTTAAACTTTTATAAATAGTAGCAGTATTTAAAAAATCTAATTTATATTTTTTATTTTATAAAATCTTTTTATATATTTTTTTTATTTTTTAATATCAGCTTTTTATTTATTAATTTTAGTTTAAAGCTTTTAAATTTTAAGCTTCTAATAGTTCTACTTTAAACTTAAAAAATTAGTTAAAATAGTTTAATAAAGATTTTTTTAAGAAAATATTATTAATTTAAATAATTTATAACTAATTAAAAAGTATTTAAAAAAAATTAATATTTATACTAAGTCTTATTAGACTAGAAGAATATCTAAAAAAGTAACTATACTATAATTCTTTTTAATAAAGAAGTTTAAAAAATAAAAAAAAAGATTAATTAGAATTTAAACTTAAAAATATAGAATAGGTTTTTTTATATCTTACTAAAATATTATTAATATATAAATATTTTATAAATAGTTTTTAAATATTTATAACTATTTAAACTTAACTAATATAAAAAGTTTTTTTTAATAATAAAAATATAATATAAATAATAGATATTAAGATTATAATAACTATTATACTAATTAATATTATTTTAATTAAGTTTTATAAAATTAGAATATAGATTAATATTTTAGACTTTTTTTAAGTAGTTTTAAAGTAGTTAATAAATATTTAGAAAATAATTAAAAAATATTTACTTTTTTATTATCTCTATAAGATTTAGATATTTCTTAAAAATATAAGACTTCTGATAGGATTATTTAATTATATTAGTATAATAGTATAACTAATTATAAAAAACTAAAGAAATTTTAAAATAGACTTTAATTAAGTTTATTTTAATAATTATACTTTTTTTTATTTAGTCTAGTTAGTAATAATATTATTTTTATATTTTATAAATAATTAGCAAGTATTTTGTAACTGTTTAAAAAATAGTTAAGTATTTATAAAATATTTAATTATATTATTAAACTCTTATTTAATTTTATAGTTTAAAAGATCTAGTATCTGACTATAAAGACTTTTAGAATTAGAATTTTTATTTTTTATTTTAATAGTTTTTAATATTATATACTAAAAATATATATAGTAAAAAATAATAAAATATTATAATTATTATATATAATCTTAATACTAGAGGTTAATCTTAGAAAGATGATATCTAAGTCTTAAGTAGTTAGTAAGTATTTATTAAATATTTAATAAATAGTTAATAGAATTCTTATTATTATATTATTTAGTATTTATATTAAGAATTACTCTATAAAATCTTCTATAATAAATAAAATTAAAAAAACAGGCTTTTTAATAATTCTTTCTAAAAACTAAAAAACCTGTTTAAAAAGTAGATAGTAGCTGTTAGTAGTATCTAAAGTTATAAAAATATAAAAAAAAATAATAATTATATTAAAATATTTAATAATTGCTTAGAAACTATTTAAAAAATATTTATTCTTATTCTAATTTTTTAAAAATATTATAAAAAGAATCTTATTTATACTGCTTAATCTAAGCTGTTTATATAATATATTAATCTTAAATTATTTTAAAAAAAATAGCTTTAACTACTTTTTAAAAATACAAAAAATCAAAGTTCTGTCTATATTATAATATTATTTTTAAATATAAGACTAGATTCTAAAAGTTAATACTAAAAGTATTTAATAAATATTTATAAACTATTTATAAAATATTTATATTAATTAAAAAATTAATATTAACTAAAAAAATTAGCTTATTAAAACTTTATCTACTTAGATTTATTAAAAAATATTATTTTTAAACAATAAGTCTAATTTTATTTTTATTATAAAAGCTTAGATATAGTTTAGTTAGTATAAATATATTAAACTAATAATAAAAATCTTTAAGCTGCGGATTTTAAAGAAACTAAATTATATAAATATTTAATAAATAGTTTAAAACTATTTATAAAGTATTTAGAAAATACTTATTTATTATTATATTTAGATTATAAATATATTAATTAAGCTATTTTATTTTTTAAAAATTCTTTTTAGTATTTTTATTAGCAGCAGCGGAGGATGTTTATAAATATTATAAAAAATAAAAATAAAATAAGAATATAAATTTAAATTTTTAGAAATTAAAGTAGAAAAGCCTATATTATAAATAGTATAAATTAAATACTTTAAATTTTAAAAATATTATTTTTTTATAAATAGTTAGAAAGTATTTTAGAACTATTTAATAAATATTTATTATAATATCTTTGTTGTAATAATAGTAGTTTAAATATATTATATTTTTTTATAAATAATTTAATATAATTATTAAAAAGCTTTTTAAAAAAAGTAAGATTAAGAACTATATAATTTTAAATAATAGTTTTTTAATATTTTTCTAAAAAATTCTTAGTTTTATAAATATAGGCTATATAGAATATATAAATTTTATATAAATTTTAAAATAGTTAATAAGTACTTTTTAATTAGTTTATAAATAGTTAAGAGAAATTAATACCAGCTGGATAGAGTATTTAAATATAGGTTTATAAATTAAAAATTTTTTTATATAGAATTTTTAATTTTTAAAAAATCTGTGCTTTGCTTTATAATAGCTGGAAAGTAATTAGTAAGTATTTATAAAATAATTAAAAAATATTTTAGAAATATTTATTTATAAATATTCTATTTGCTAATATTAGTCTTTAAAATCTTTATATTTAAATATATATTTTGAAAATACTTCCAAAAGTCTTTATTAATAAAAGTATAATAATAAAATAAAAGAGACTAGCTTAAAAATTTATATTAAAAAATACTAGAATATTTTTAAAACTATATTTTAATCTAATATTAAAAAAAAGTAAAAAGACTGCTTGCCTTAAGCTGCTTATTTAATATTTATTATATTAAATTTATTAAACAATTAATAAATAGTTAGTAAATATTTAGTAAGTATTTATAAACTAATATTATTAATTAGAGCTCTGATTTTAGTATTTAAAAGTTCATATAATAGAATTATATATATATATTTATATAATACAGTTTTTAGATATTTAGAAAGATTATTAATATATTTTATAAACTAAATAGTTAAAAAATATGTTTTTGTCTAAGTTAGAAAGATTAAAGATAGAGGTTTTTAGAAATAAATTAGTTTTTAAATACTTAATAATTAATTTAAAAAATTATTTAGATTAAGTTATTCTTTTTTATAGAACTAAGTTTAATAATATTATTAAAATCTATAATTAAAAGTATTTATAAAATATTTAGTAAGTACTTAATAACTGCTTGAAAAACTATATATAATAAAATTAGAAAAATATAAAAGAAAGTTAAATTTTAATAATAAAAAATAGTAATTTATAAGATTGCTTAGAATATTCCTGCTTATGTAAAGGGTTTGGCATCACGTGCTGCGGGAATGTTCCACATAAACTCAAAAAAGACTTCAGATGACCTGTGTTCATGGGAAGATGGCCGCGGGCCGAAGTGATAGTATGACACATGCAAATAGCATAAACCGTCGAAACATGACAAATCTATCGATCGGGCTGGAAGCTCCAACACATCCCAGATCCGAAGGATCCTGACCCGTTGCGTTACGCCGTAATCGCGTGTATCGTCGAGGAACTCCACCGAGCAATCAACTGGCGACTTAGTCTGGGCCTACGGAGGGGTGGTGAACACGTGTACCGTGAAACGGACGAGGATCCGTGGCCCCCATACGTTGCAGAAGAGTTGCGGGAGTGGGCGAGGAAGGTAGCTCCGATTGACAAGGATCTACTCAGACGGTCTGTGCCGCCAGAAAAGCTGGATACGGATGGAAACCTAGTGCTCGAGGAGAACGGCTTGAGTCCCACTTTTGCCCGGCGTAATATCATCACCAACACGGGCTGGCTCTACACAATCTAGCCCAAGCACGCTTCCAGATCCTGCCCCCCCGGGTGTCCCTGATGTCTCCACTCAGCTCCGCGTAGTCCTGCCCGATATCATTTGAAGATATCCTCATTGTATTTCTGCTGGTACTCGCGCGAGACCCGTTGCATGGTCTCATAGCTCGGGAGGACATCGAATCCGTTCATGTTCATCCTCCGGACTGATTCTTGGTCAAGCGGGCCTTTGTTGCGTAGCTTCAGCGCCTTGAGCAGCGCCAGGGCGTCCGGCATGGATTCTCCTCAGCTTTCGCTCCAGTGCCCACTCCAGGGGAGCGGCCAGAACCTCAATGTTTTCCCCGCTGAAAAGCACGATATTCTGTTTCTCGGCCTTTCCAAAGAGAGTCTGCCGGGCCTTCTTGGTGACGAAAATGGCCATGTCCTCGTTGATCCATTTGTTGGTGAAGCCCTTCTGGTGCGCAACGGACCGGATGGCCTTTTGCAGGGGCACTTGGATGTGCTGGTCCCCAGCGAATTCCGGGTCAATGAGATAATCAATATCCCCCGTGCTCTCACGGCTCCGGAGATATGTCACGGCAAGGAACCCGCCGGCTGCGATCAGTCGGATTGGGGCCAACGCAACAATGAACTCGTCGGAGCCCACCTCTCTGTCCCGCGCCGTGAGTCCTTGAGATCCGAGGGAGTCATTAGCGGCGTCCATTCTGCAAAGCCGTTACAAAGAGTAAACACTATCTTAACCTCGAGAAAGTCGCTCTCCGTCAGGAATTCTTCCAGATCTGCCATAGTTGCAGGTTTTCTTGTCCCGAAATCGGCATCTGCGACGGATGACTGGAGGTGAGAAGGAACAACAGAGATGATGAGAAGAGGAATGCGAAGTATTATTCAGCTGGCGAGGGTATGTTTCGTACTGGGCCCGAGCGCCCTTCCCTGCAATCATTCCACAGTGGTGTACTGGTTCGAGTCCTTGTTGGTAGATCAAAGCGCCTCAGAATGGCGTGTTGGCGCCTGCCATTCAGGTTCAAGCACCGATCATAATTGGATTGAATTTATGTACATTCACCAGGGCTATGGTCAGAGCCCAACCTCGGATCCTTGATCCTGGCCCTTATTCACCAGTCATTGGGCCAGGCCTCGAAGCTCTAGATGTGTTGATCCATTCCTCATTCATCAGCTTCGAGCACCCGAGCACCAAATCCTCTTAGGAAACACCCATTGATTCCACTTGGTGGTACCTCCATCCATGCTCCATATCCCAGAGCAGTCCTTCGCCTCCACGACATAAACCATTATCCTGTGTGGAGCGGGTGGAGCAACGCGGCAATTCCCGGGCGGATCTGAATGGGACGGCGGGGTATGTTTATGGCCTTATCTCTCAGGAAGCAAGTATCCACTCTACCTTCCGATACTGTAGCACAACTGCTCCATTCGTTGAACCGGAAAGACCTTTGTATCCTCCCTGGAGCTTTGCAGGAGAGCAGTCGATCCTCGTAGACTTCGCGTTGGATGGGATGATACCACCATCATCATCTCTTCGACAAGTTCATTGACTCCACAAGCCGACCGATGCCTGCGCCTTCAAGCTCAACCCTAAAACTTACATATCGCCCAGACGGCCACCCACGGCCTACAGTCTATCTCCTCCTCATCCTGCCCCAGCCTCCACACCCGATCCAAGGCGCGCTGGTCTCCGGGTCCACGGCGCGGGACTGCTGCGGGGCTGTGGGGTCGAAGAACCATGGGCGCGCCCGGTCCAGGTCGCTGCGTCGGGATAGGTGGCGTGTGCGCACGGGCCGTAGATGTTGGCGAGGAATTAGCGGGGGATATGCTGCTATCGGTTGTCCCAGGGGAACAGCCTCGTGGGGTTGTGAGGCGCTCGGGGGTAGTTACAGGGTGGCGGGATGGCGCGGTCCGGGGGGAGTTACTATGTCTAGGGTCTGCTGGTCGTAGTTAGGTTCCAGATATACTTGACTGCAGCAGGCTGTCTACTCTCTCGTTAGACCTCTCTATGCGCTTGTTTGTCCACATCATCCACCCTATTATACATGTACTTATGCGGGGACTCAGAGGATGATAATGCCGGCCACGGCGTGCAACCCTTATTTATATACCAGCCTGTGGTTTTACATTATACTCGAGTAGGCTTGCAGAGTCCGTACCTGGCTCAAGGGTAGTGCAGTAAATACAATAGGTCTGGCTACATCTATTTCTATACCCCGACCATCTCCCCCCCCCCGTCTAGAACATACTGAATGTGCATATTTACAGCAGCCTCTTACTTGGCGATCTCCACACCATTCGTCGCACCTAAGCGTCCAGAGTCAGTGTCCGTGATCCACCAACAAAGGTAACCGAACTTACCGAGAGCCTTCTTAATGTCACCGTAGATGGCGAACTGGCCGGCCGTGAGACCACCGATCATGAATAGACGAGTGGGCAGACCGGCGAAGGAGCCACGAATGCCGAGCTCGCCCGCGATCTTGACGAGACGGGAGACGGTGCTCTCGCCGGGGAGACCCTTGGTCTTGTTGATCTTGGACAGCATCGTATCGGCGGGCTGGGAGATGATGGCCGCCGCGAACCCGGCAATGAGACCCGATCCCAGGTTGACGCCGGTCTGGGCGCCGTTGGACAGCTTGGACTTGTCCAGACGAGCGAAGACAGCCTCGGAAACCTTCTCAAAGGCCACGAACTTCGTCACGGTGTAGGGCACCCTATATCGTGTCAGTGACTGCTGTTACTCTAAGTCCCCCTATGGCTCAACGTACTGCTTCAGGAGAATCGGGCCGAAACCACGGTAGAAAGCGCCCACGCCCTCGTTCTTGAGGATCTTGCCGAACCCGCTGAACAGGCCCGTGGCGAAGCCAGGCTCGGAGACGAGACGGATACGCGTCGCCTCGAGGGGGCAGAGCGCGATCGAGGCGAAGAACTCGGCGCAGGCGGCGGAAACCGAGTAGACCGCGATGCGGTTCTGACGGGCCTTGTCCAGACCGATGACGTTGATGGATTGCTGCTTGAAGAACTCGTAACCTCCAAATTTGAAGGCGCCCTGCATGAAGTACCCGGCGAAGGTTGGGCCGAAACCGGTCAAGAGAGCCCCCGCGCCCTCATTCTGGATCACCTGCCGGAAGCCACCAATCATACCACGGTTGTAGGTTGCGGGGTCGAGCTGGATCCGGGTCTTGACGCTGTAGGAGGGGGGGGTGTTAGTAAGTGATGAAGGTGAGATACTGGAGATGGAACGACATACACATCGACCGGAGTGAAGGCACCGTGAGTCACCGAGCAGCAGACGGCACCGGCAAAGGCGAACCGCGCGTAAAGGCCAAGGCCCTCGGCCTTGTTCTGGGCAACGGGAGACACAGCCATTGCGGTGCTGATGAAGACGCGCAACAGGAAGGATTAGGGGATGGGAAAAGGAATAATAGGTGGTCCTGCACGGATCTTGGATGAGTGAGAAAAGGTTGGAGAGTAAGCAGAGCAGGTTTCAGGGTTGTTGACAGTTTGCTGTTTGCTACTGCGGTCAGCATCGGACTAGCGGCTGGCACGTGTTTTGGGGGGTTGCACCGGCGATTCCTTCGGCGTATTTATGCCCGGTTCGGCGTTTTACACTTTACCTTCGTAATTTATGGCTGTGGGCAGTGGAGCGATCATACAACAACGGGTGGCGCCTCTTCCCGTCACGGGTGTTACTAGTGGGTCCCGTGACCGCCAAAGCACGCCAGGGTTGTTACTATAAATAGCACAGACCCTCACCTCATCTGCCAAAGAGATATCTGGTAACTGAGATATGATATTTCTAACCTGTATTTATGTATATATCTACCCTAGATCTTATCTAGTGTGATCGTGATATCTCGTGAATCCCCTATTCCGGCAGCAGTAACTTTGATGCTGTCGAACAAGTGATGTAGAAATATATATTCAGGATTAGATCTGATCTGGACAGGGCGAGGATCACAGCTCAAATGCACAATACTGCAACACCACTGCTCCATCAAGCCCTCGACTTGGCCCCCTGATCCAACCGTCCATCCTCCACCCGCAGCGCTGGGTTCCTCGAAAAGATACTAAGAATGGACAGGTACGCGTCCATGACCACCTCCGCATCCCGGGGCCCGTACCGCTCCGCCTGCAACTTGACCGTGATCAACGGGTCCTTGGACGGGTCATCGCTCATCTCCAGGGTGATATCGTACGGCGATGCCGCGCGCGGGGTGCGCGAGTCCACGATCTTCGCCTCCCCGATGGTGCCGCTCTCCGCCTGGCCCTGCTTGTAGTCGAAGACGGCCTGGAACAGCGGCGCGTGGGAGTGCGGGTCCGCCGCGGAGGGGGCGGGCAGCCCCAGCCGCTCGAGCATCGCCCCGTAGGGCACGGCGCTGTGCAGCAGCGCCGCGCGCATTTGTTCCTTCGTGGCCATGAGGACCTCGTTGAAGATCTGGTCCGCGTGGTAGTGCATCCGCACGGGCAGGAAGTCAGCGAAGAAGCCCATCGTGGTCTGGTCGGCGCCCGTGGGCCGGTTGGTGTCCGCCACGCCGACGACCACGTCCGTGCCGGAGGACAGGCGCGCCAGCAGCACCACGTACGAGGCCAGGTAGTAGTGCATCGGTGTCACCTTGTGCTTGCGGCTGCGGTCCTTGATGCGCACGGCGACCATCCGGCTGAGGCGTGCGGTCACCTCGTGCTCGGTCCAGGTGGTCGGCGTGGTGCTCGCGTTGGCCCCGGGGACGTTGAGGGTCTGCAGTCGGGCGGGAAGGGTCTCGAACAGGCCGCCCCAATACTGCAGGTCGTCGTTGAATGCGCCGGATTCGAGCTGCTGGCGCTGGCGGAGGGCGAAGTCGGCATAGCTCGGCGCCGCCTCCAGCTGGACGCCCTCGTACAACTGGCCGACCTCGACGAAGAGGCGTTCGGTCGTCCAGCCATCCCCGACAAAACGATGGTAGGCCATGATCAGAAGGTGATCGGTGGGCGACCACTGGAAGACGACGGTCTTCCGGGTGTCGCCCTTCGCTATATCGTACTTGTAGCTTTCGAGATCCCTGAACCCTTGCTCGGCGGCGGCTTTGTCTGCCACTTTGACCACTTCGAAGTGCACTCGCGGGGACCGCAGGATGGCTTGGATGGGCTGCGCCGCGCCGTCCGGATCGGCGATGAAACAGGTACGGAACGCGTCGTGCCGCTGCAGTGCTTGATTGAATGCCCATCCGAGGCGGTTCAGATTGAGGGGTCCATGCATGTAGATGCCGATGGTGCTGTTGAACGTCGCCGGATCCAAGGGAAGTTGCTGTTGTTTCCAGGCGTACTCCTGCGTGAGGGAAAGTGGGACTTGACGTTCAAAGCCATCTTCATCGCAGGAGCGCGGAGATGGGGGCGTCGCAACATCGTCGTAGTCGACGACAGAGAACGAGGATTCGTCGGACGCACCCACAGTCGACAACGGCGGGATAGGCTGCGCCTCAGTGGCAGACTGTCCTGCAATTTCCAGCAACGTAGAAATGGCCAGGGGGATAGCTTCAGGTGTCAAGCGGGAGACAGCCTCGTCGATCAGGTCAGCGACCGAGGCACCACCAAGGATCTTCAGAAGGGGAATGTCGATGCTCAGGTTCTTGGTGAACCATGAGCCGACGGTAACGGCGCTGAGCGAATCCACGCCCTGATCGATCAGAGGCACGGTCAGATTGAGCTCATCCGCCGCAGTGAGCTGTAAAGCTCCCCGGATCCTGCCGGAGAGGCCGTCAAGGATGATGGCGCGAACGTCTTCCATAGTTTCGGCCTTGAGAAGTTGGTCTTTGACGGACCCGACCACCCCAGCGGCGTCCTCGCCCTTGGTGTGGTGATCGGACAGCTTGATATACGCAAAGCGTGGGTCGTCGAAGTAGGGGATTCGGTCGTGGTTCGCAGGATCCATGTAGGGCATACCGGTGATGACCTCGACATCCGTGGTCTCCCAGTCGCGACCAGCAACCACGGCCTCTGCAAAGAGGGAATGCAGCTCCCATTCGTTGACCTCGTCGAAGATGAACTTGACGACATCGTACTCGTGTTCACGACCCGCTCGCGCAATGAAGCCGACACCGAACACGGCGCCAATGTCGATGGTCGATGCAGCCATCCCCCGAGCGCGTCTTTGCTGAGCAAGCGCGTGCGTGTATGCATTCGCAGCGCTGTACGCGGCCTGTCCCGGATTGCCGGAGACCATGACGAAGGAGGAAAACATGACGAAGAAGTCCAGCGGGTTGGCAGGATCCGAGAGACGCTCGTTGAGCAGACGAGCCCCCGTTACCTTGGGCGCAAGCACCATCTCCAGCATCGACAGGTCCATGTTCTTGAACATGACATCCTGGAGGACAAGTGGTCCAAAGGCCACACCGGCAATCGGCGGCATAGAGGCCCGGACTCGAGCGAGACCTTCGTCGACCGAGCCCTCGTTGGAAACATCCCTCGAATCCAATTAGCAACATCACCCGCCGTGAAAGTTGAAAAGAACTTACATCGGTAGAACCATCACGTTGCCCCCAAGCAGGGTGATGTCGTCGATCCAGCGCTGGTCAATCTTCGGAGAGCGACTTGACAAGACCACATGGCGGGCGCCGCGCTCGACCATGAAGCGAGCAATCGAACGACCCAGATCACCAGCAAGGCCAATCAGCAGATACGTCTTATTGTCCACGAATAGCTGATCGGTCTCCATCGAGCGGACACGGCTGGGGATGATCTGATCTGACTTCCAGTCGACAACTGCATTCACCTCCGGACCCTCTTTTAAAGACAATATCTCATTACCCTTGAGTATCAACCCACCGTGGCTGTTGCTGGCCTTGTTTGCTACCCTGACAGCCTCCGCCAGACACTGAGACGCGGCTGCGCTTTCGACGGAAATCGGCGTAGCAACGTTCTGGAACAAATGGTCGATTCGGCGAATAGAGCAGCTTGACGGGAGGCATCTCTTCAGCCGGTGGTTTAGGCTGGCGGGATTCTTTTCGGGAGACAAATCATAAAACACTGAAGCGTTCAGCGGCAGATCCTGGCGAAGGTTACGCAGTGTCTCTTTCTCGTGCAGTCGAATCCACCGGATACCGTCCACTTCCGGAGCAGCCTTGGTGGATACGAAGGCGAGTGGGATACCAGCAGCCGCTGCGCGACGGCCCAGAGGCTCGACATAGACCATGGGAGGCTCAAAGATCAGTACGGATGACCCTGCAGCAAGATCCGACAGCAGGGTCTGTGCGATGAGCTCTGCTGCGATGCCTGGCAGCACAGAGGTTGTCGATTCCGCCTTGCTCGTGATGTAAACAAGCCGGTGGGAAGCGATTTGAACAGAGGAAGCGTTGGTCTCAGAGAGAGCCACCACCGTGCCGTCGAATCCAGCAACCCTGCCCTGAATCAGATAGAAATAGCCCAGCTGGCCGGTTCTGATCGCTTTGGCAAGAGAGTACTCCACCTGGACCGTCACAAAGGTCTCGTCAACCGCCAGGGGCACAAAGCGCTCCTCATGGAACCTGAAAAAAGGCTGCTCGTCATCGTATTCCAGAGTCAGAGTCTCCTGTCTCGGATCCAGATCGACCAGAATGGGACGACGGCCAGAGTTCAGTCGATTATTCCTGTCGACATCCGGCTTGAGCCGCGGCACAACAACCTTGCCATCAGACAAGTACAGTTCCGGCTCCTCTGTCCACAGAATACCGCTCTCCTGCCAGTTCGTACCATCTTCCAAGCGCAGAATGGTTTCGACCAGCACCTCAGGTCGTAGACTTTCCGCCTTCTCCACATCCAGCACCTGGATATGCACGTCCGGATATTCCATGCGGAGCGTGCGAAGGAAGCCGATGGTCATGGCCTGCTGAGGATTCTCAACCCAGGCATCCTCCGTGACCCACAGGACATGGTTGGCGGCGTTGAAGATGGTCTGGAGGGCATCGAGTTGCTCCTCATCGAACCCCGCAAACGTATGGTGATCCAGCTCCGAGAGCACCATAAACGTGGACCCAGGCTGATAGTCGAAGTCGATGATCTCCCGGATGGAGGGGACGGTCTCCCATGTGCGCGCTGGCAAGATGACTGGAAGCTGAGCCACGAGCGCACTCGTCTTCGGCGAGGAACCCCCAATCACCACCAGCGGTGCGTAGGATTCCTTGACGGGGGCCGCCAGTGGCGAGTCCAGCCTTTGCACCAGGTCGTCGACCGCGTGAGTAGCGAACACGCCGTTGGGGAAGACCCTGCTGTCCGGGTCAAGCGTGCGGCTATCGACTCCCGAAAACCCCGTCTTCCTCAGCAGTGTGTCCCACCGGTCATATGAGATAAACGGTTCAAGGACACGCCCTTCGTCGTGCCCAGCCCACCAATCCGGGAATAGACCGAAGATGAATCCAATACGGGTGTGCTCACGGTGTGCCACTTCAATGACCACCAACCGGCCCCCGGGCTTGAGCAGTGATCGCACATTGGCCAGAGTCTCTTCCAGCCTCGGCGTGGCGTGGAGCACGTTGGAGGCAATGATCAAGTCGTACGAGTTGGGCTTGAAGTCCTGCTCGCTTGGCGGACGGCGGATGTCGAGCGGGCGGAAATCCATCTTGTCCGCATGCTGCTCGAACTCCTTGGCCGCTTGCTCGAAGAACGCGCTGGAGATATCCGTGAAGGTGTAGCTGTTGAACGAGATTTGTTGGTGATTCAAGAAATACCGTGTCGCACCCCCAGTACCCGCGCCTTTGCTTTGCGTCAGTGGCTGCATCGAAGTGGGATACGCTTCACTTACCAATTTCGAGAACATCCAGGTTCTGATACCGATGATTGATCTGCGCAAGGAGTCTTTGATAGTAGTGGTAGGAATGCCCGTAGCTGACGGTGCCGCCGTAGAACTCGGTGAGCAAGCCATCGTGGTCCATCAGGTCAAAGGCGTTCTCGTTGTTGCGAAGGGTCTCCAAGGCGCCTTCACCGACTCTCTGGATGAGGCGGACGAAGGGATGCGCCACGTTTCTGCGTCGTATGTCAGCCAACACTTCTTTCTTTCCCAGTAGAGAGAAAGGCTCACTCTCGAATCATCTCTTCGATATCAGCTTTCGTGTCTTGCTCCCAGCCTGGCTCGTACCACACATTGCGGCCCGCCTCCGTCTCGGCGATGATATACTCGCACCACTGGATATGCTTCGTGAAGTGAAAGGCGGCGTGCTCGCGGTCTTCCGCCGTGAGACTCGCGAGGAACGCTTTGATGTACCAGTACGTAATTCGCTCGATGACTGCCACGTCCTTCCTGTCCTGCTCGGTGGCGTGGTACCTACTGTCATCGAGCAAGGGCTCGGGGTTGATGGGACCCCAGCTCCACTTGGAGAACATTTTATGGTCATCGGCAGCCGAGAGCGGGGAGAATGGCTTGAAGCTGAGGCCCTCGATGTGGATCATGGTGGCGTCGGTCTCCGGGTCGAAGACTTCAATGTCTCCTGCCACGGTGTTTCCGACGCTCACCGCACTGGTGGAGATGAACTCGACCTGGCTGGACAGGGCGTGGATGCGATCCGCGACCCACGGGTTCAGCGCAATACGGTCAATGCCAGTCGGCACCAGGAGAGATCGCAGGCGTCGGTCGCCAGGGGCAGTGTATGCTCCGATGAAGCTTTGGAAGGCCACGTCGAGGGTGGCAGGATGCAGGACCATGTTGCGGTGGTTGTCCTCCAGACGGTGGAAGGCGATAGTGCCGCAAGCCTTGCTGTCGCCGCGTCTGAGGTTGCTGACGCCGCGGAACTGCTTGGTGTACCCGTACCCGATCTCACTGAGCATGTTGTAGAATCTGTCGATGCTGACATTGTTCAGGTGAGGCGGTTCGCCCTGTTGGGGAGGAAGGCTTTCAGGTGATCCTGATCCATAGGTCACAGCGACCGTCCCAGCCGCCGAGCGAGTAAGACCGGTTTCTCTGGCAAGGCAAGAGTTGATGACGAAGCTGTACACGGCGTATGTGTCTGTGGTCTGCGATGGGTCGACGTCTAGACTGAGATTGATTTCGACCATGCTGTTCTCGTCCTCAAACGTCACGGCCTTGTCGATCGAGAGGTTCAGGACTTCCAGAAGCTGAATCTCTCGATCACCGGCCTGCTTGACGGCAGCCTCCATGGCCATGACCACGTAGCCTGCGCCCGGAAACACAGTCTGGCCCTGAAGGGAGTGGCCATCGAGCCATTCGATATCACGCTGCCGGATAAAGTTCTGCCACTGGATCGATGAAGGACTGCTGTGGACGAGTTGCTTGCCGAGCAGAAGATGGGGGCGTTCTGCTCCAAGCCAACTGCGAAGCGCGCGGGACTCCTTTCGATACGAGCGGTGATGGTATCAAGAATAGCATGGAAGTTCTTTGGACAAGTCTTGGGTATCGACATCCAATGAGAGACTGCTGTACAGGCTATCGACATCGACAGCAGCTGAGCCAAAGCGCGACCATATGTAGCCCAAGCACGAAGAGTAGGCTTCGATGTCATCCTTGCTCCGCTCCATGCACCCCACATATGGAAGCGGAGCACCGGCGCAGTTTTCAATGGTCTGGAGACTAGGATTCTTCAGAGCTGGGTGAGCTCCCACTTCGACGCAAATATCGAGCGGCATGTGCTTTACCAGGGCCTGTTCGACGGCATAAGAGAAAAGAACAGGAGAGAGTAGGTTAGCACTCCAATACTCAGCCTTGAGATCCTCAGTCTTCATGGGCTTGCCTTCGTAGACCGACGAGATCCAGGTGGCCGTGGGTGCGACATCCATACTGAACTCGTCGCAGCCACAAGCTTTGAGAGCTGCAACATAGGGCTCGGCGCAAGGACGCATGTGGTGAGAGTGGTAAGCCTTGTCCACCTTGAGGAGGCGGTTGAACTTTGACTCGTCGTTGAAAATCTCTTGAGCCTCGAGGATGGCATCTCTGTCTCCGGACAGGGTAACACTTTCCGGCGCATTGCTTGCTGCCACAGTCATTCTGCCCTCAAAGGCCTCAAGAGCGCATAGGTCAACTGCATCGTCAAAGGAGGTGCCTGCGGCCATCATAGCGCCCTCGATGCCGTTCGGCCCACCTGCATGCCTTGACGTGAGGCCACGAAGGTATGCAATCCGAATTGCTTGGGACGCCGATATAAATCCGGCGGCGAATGCGCAAGCGATCTCTCCCGAGCTGTGGCCAACGACAACCTTGAACCTCACTCCGGAAGCTCGGAGAAGCTTTGTGAGCATGATCTGGACGGCACAGCAGAGAGGTTGCGAGAAGGTGGCGTCATGTACATTGGAGTCTGCCCCCTCGAGGAGGAGCTGATCCAAGAGCTTCCACGTGGGTCGGTATTCCTCTGGCAAGTCCTGCAAGGACTGGTCCAGCTCTAGGATAATATCGCGAGCATAAGGTACTTCCGAGATGAGAGCCTTGCCCATGGTCGGCCACTGGGCGCCCTGACCGGTGAAAATACCAAGCACTTCGGGCTTGGTCTTGACATCCGAGACCGTTGCGATGCTCTGCTTCCCTTGCACCAAAGCGGCATCGCGCTCGAGAGCCTCGCACAGAGAGTGCACCGTCTTGGCTGGGATGACATGGCGGACTTGAAGGTTCGATCGCTTTTTTAGCAGTGTCCAGGCGAGGTCTTGTAGGCGTAAGCTGGGCTGGCTTTTGATGAATTGACTTAACTCCTCCATAGAGGCCTTCAGCGAGGCTTCTGAATTGGCGGAGAGCGTGATCGGGGCAAGGGATGGGGTTAGGGCTGCATCAATTGCTGGTTTCGAGGCGGGAGTATAGGACTCCACGATTACGTGGGCATTGGTACCGCCGAATCCGAACGAGTTGACACTCACTCGTCGCGGTTGGTTGGACTTGAGCTCGGGCCAGGGCTGGAGTTTCGTGACAAGCTGGAGGTCTGAGTAGAATGGAGCCACCCGTGGGCTTAGCTCATTGAAGAGCATATTTGGCGGTAGTAGACCATGCTGAATGGCCTGCGAAGCTTTGATCAGGCCGGCAATACCAGCCGTACCCTCAGTATGCCCGATGACTGTTTTGATGCTACCCACGTACAGAGGTTCTTCATCGACGGCACGCTGCCTGTCCCCGAAGAAAGCAGAAGAGATGGCTTGAGCCTCTTGAGGATCCCCTGCCGGAGTACCTGTTCCGTGCGCTTCGAAGTATTGGCAGCGGTCTTCGGGCTTGGTCACATCGAGGCCTGCTCGCTTGTAGACTTCGCGAATGAGAGCTTCCTGTGCTGCATGGTTCGGCATTGTGATTCCCGCAGTTTTGCCGTCTTGGTTGATGCCACTCTCACGAATAACACACTCGATAGTGTCCCCGTCTGCGATCGCCTGACTGAGAGTTTTCAGGACGACAGCGGCAACGCCTTCGCCTCTAGCATACCCATCCGCGGCGGCATCCCACATTCGGGAACGGCCAGTGGGTGAGAACATGTTCAGCTTACTGGCTGAGATAAAAGGAACTGGACCCAGGATCAAGTTCGAGCCAGCAGCAATGGCGACCTGGCTTAAGCCCGTTCGAAGGTGCTCGATGGCGTGGTGGACGGCCACGAGGGAGGAGCTGCAGGCGGTATCAAAGGTCATACTCGGACCGTGCCAATCGAAAACGTAGGAGACTCTGTTGGAAAGAATAGATGCGGATGTGCCGGTGGCAGCATAGATGTTGAGGGCATCGAGATCGTAGTTTTGGTGGTCGAGGAAATCACGTTGCATCATACCAACGTAGACGGCGGTGGGAGAGCCTCGAAGGTCTTCTACCTTGAGGCCCGCAGAGGAGAGACCTTCGTAGACAGTCTCTAGGAGGAGACGCTGTTGAGGATCGATTGTGTCGACTTCATTGGGTGGAATGTTGAAGAAAGATGGGTCAAAGGTGTAAGGGTCTTCGTCAAGAAAGTAGGCAAATCGTGCGTTCGTGCGACCATGGTGGGCTCCATCGGGATGATAGAAAGCATCCACGTTGAACCTCTCCTTGGGGACTTTCCTCCCCAAGTCCATTGGGGTCTTCAGAAGTTCCCACAGCTTAGAAGGGCTGCTGGCACTCCCGGGGAAGCGGCAGCCGCTGCCAACGATTGCAATAGGCTCATTGCGACGTGTTTGAGATTGGGTCATGGCGGCGAGAATGGTCTTTCACCGGCCTCAATGTGTTGAAACTATGAAGTTGTAAGTCCAGACAGCGTCTAACTTTATCCTTTAGTAGGCCCATCATGAGCTTCACGAGAAGCTAAGATCTGACCGGGCCTTTGGGGGAGTGTCCCGGGGCCAGGTTCGGCGTATAGAACAATGCTAGTCGTGCGATAAGCCCGTTTCCGAAATAGCAGTGCGTTCACCGAATTAGGCCATCACCGGCATTTTGTGGAAAAAATACTCTTCCTGAAAATTCTGTGGCGCCGATACTGAAAGGCGAGAAAGGATCTGAGAAACTAGCTTAGGGCAGGTACTGGCTCCGCCGTCCACCGTAAGCGGTCTCGCAATGATGGACAGGATCTGTAAAAACAAAACATCGAGAATACGGAGAAGCAGGCCAGACAAAGCTGCAGATAGGTAATCATTAATCTTCATTCTTAGTCATAGGCATCAATTACATCATTCGAAATACATGCATGTTCACCGCTGAGCCTTTCTACTGGGCTCCCTGTCCACCTCAATTACTACTCAACTTGCCATGTCAATTGCAGACATTTCCGACAGTCTCAGGATGTGCTTCACCACCTCCCCAACCTCGTCCTTTCGTGTTGGCAGATGATGGGCGGTGTCCGTTCGAATGACCTGAGCGAAGTTCGGCCGATAGTGGTTTCTCACGAGCTTTCGTGCGCGACCAAGACAGAAGTCTCTATTGCCGTGTATGTGAAGCGTGGGAACGTCAATGTAGGCTTTGCTCAGGCCATAAGCCTGGGCCCTTGCGTTCAGCCACAAGGACGCTTCGTTCGGAAAGAAACAACAGCTCATCACGGCAAACCGTAGCTGTCCTATCCATGGCACTAGACCCTGTTGTTGCTGCCAGAGCATCATTGCAAGGGCGAGTGCACCCTCTGAGAACCCAATCGCCCCGACGATCTCGGCATCAGGATGACCTGCTTGCCATTTATCCACCGCCAGCTTGACAGAGGCGTTGATCCTTTTCAAGCTCTCGTCGATAGTGGTGCCGTCGCCGCCAAACCAACAGTAATATGGCTCCTGGCCGCCAAACATAGGCAGGACTCCGGGTCCTGCAGCGCATTCCATCGGCCCGTCAAGGAAGATGAACTCGAACGCGTCTCCCAGTAGATAACAGATTCTCGCCATCTGAACGTTGAAGATGGCTCCCTTCGAGCCTGTCCCATGGAAGCACAGAAGGGCTTTGGAGGGTGCCCTAGTCATTCTGATTCCCTCGTTAGTGCATGATCAAGAGTGAGGGCAACAATCTGCGACTAACATGGTTGCACGAAACCGGCTCTCGTGTGTCCGCGTTCTAGCTTTTTTTCGTTGATTGTTGATGAGAGCCACCTTGCTTCGAAGAAGATTACCATCGGGAACCCCTATCAACAGACACATAGGGAGATCGGGAAATGTTCGCTTCTTTGGAAGTAAGACGGGGCCCCTAAACCGAAACGCCGAAGAAGGCCGAAGGGCGTGGCAGATTGCCGGTATGCTCTGCGGGCCGCCGGCAATCTCCCGCTCGCTACCTACCAGATAGTGTGTGTGTTCCCTGCGTTCTTCGGTCCACGTGGGCATAATCAAATGTAATGGAGTAGCAGCCACTGCGCACTCACAGTAAGGCTTCGGGCCCTCGATAAGGGAATTTGATAGACTTTCACTAACACTGAATCCACAGTCGCGTTCCCTGGTACTACCTGTTCAGCTCACGATTCGGAAGGACGCCCATCATTCTACTGACAATGGGGTCAATTGAGACTGCGGCACTCGTGCCTCCAGCAACTCAGCGTGCGGTGATCGTGGAGGCTGGAGATCAGGTGCGCGTACGAGACGATGTGCCCTTCCCTACGCTTGAGAAAGACCAGTTCTTGGTCCGGACGGAAGCCGTGGCTGTCAACCCCAGCGACACCAAAATGCGCGGCCCCTTCGTGACTCCTGGTGGTGTTCTGGGCACTGACTATGCCGGAACGGTCGTCGCCTGTGGCCCAGAGGTCACAGAGGTACAGGTTGGCGACCGAGTGTGCGGAGCTCAGCATGCCATGAACGCCAACACTCCTCATCGTGGTTCATTTGGAGAATACAATATTTCTGCGGGCAAGGTCTGGTTGAAGCTACCTGCCTCCGTCAGCACTGAAGGAGGTGCTACCTTTGGCGCCGGGATCAGCACTGCAGGACTGGCGTTGAAGCTTCTAGGGCTGCCTCTGCCCGATGCTCCAGTCGAGAAGCCGGCATACATTCTTGTGCATGGCGGCAGTACCGCGACCGCAACCATTGCTATCCAGCTGCTGAGGCTGTGAGAGAACACCATTCATTCCCAGGCTGATATCGCGAAGCTCGTGCTGACCCGTCTAGCATAAACATGATTCCAATCGCGACCTGCTCGCCAAAGAATTCAGACCAAGTCAAAGCATACGGTGTCGAAGCGACCTTTGACTATCGCGACCCGGACTGCGCGATGAAGATTGTAAGGCCACCTGCTTTCCATCCCACCACGTTGGTCGCTTTCGTCTCCACACACCCAGGCTTACTGACCGATCGTCCTCACACAACCAGAGAACCTACACGAAGAACAACCTGCGCTACGCGCTCGACTGCATCACGACCGCGGAATCCACCAGTCTCTGCTACGCCGCCCTGGGTCGAGCTGCCGGCAAGTACGTTTCCCTGGACCCGTTTCCGCAGCACGCCGCCACGCGCGCCACGGTGAAGACCGACTGGGTTCTTGGCCCATCCATCTTCGGTGACGGGTCGACGTGGCCCAGTCCATATGGCCGTCCCCCGAGTGAGGAGATTCGTGCCTATGGCGAGAAGCTGTGGGCGGCTGCCCAGAGGTTGGTGGATAGCGGTGATCTGAAACATCATCCCGTGCGGATCCTTGAAGGTGGGCTCGACCAGGTGTTGGAGGGTATGGTGTTGGTGAGGAGTGGCCAGCTTTCGGGGGAGAAATGTGTGGTTCGTCTAGTCAGCTAGTTGGTTGCATAGGGTAGAAGTTGTCGATAATCACCACACCTAACACTGCAATATATCAGAAGAGATTCCCAAGATAAGGAGGTAGATATCCTTACCGCTCTGGTTTATTGTGAGAAATAGACGAATTGGAATATGTCTGTTGAGGTGGTGTCTCACGATGTATTTTATCGACGGGTGAATGAGTGCAACCCTCACCTCGATATACCCTGGTGACTCCTGGGAATATGTAATCTATCGGCTAACCCTCGTTCACTCGGGTTCCTAATCTAATTCACGGAATTCAATAACATGGCAATAAAATTTTCAGATTGTGAGACAACTACAATTCTCCTTTCGAGGCATAAATAATTGCCCCAGGCCGTTCTATATTATCCGATCGGGTTTGTAATATCTATTTTGCGATACAGACACTTCTTCAGTTGTAGCTTTTCTCTCCGTTTCTTAACCTTTTAGATCCGCACAGGGTGTGACTGAGATGCTGAAAGGTGTTCATCTTAGGCAATTGAAAAGCCTATTGACAAACAGAGAGGTCCCTTGGCTCGTAAAAATATCATTCCCTTTTACTTTTCAGGTCACGCAGACTCCGTTCGTCTGGTAGACATCCTTCAGGAACAATTCCTAGCCTCCCTTTCTCAAGCATCCCCTTATAGAAGCTGATCCATGCTCGCGCCAGGCCTGAAAGCAATCTTGGCCTCCACGCCCTCCTGCTTCGCCAGCACCGTCTCCTTGATCTTCCATTCCTTGGCCGGTTCAACAAGTTGAATCTGTGGCCGACTGTCAGTCTATTGCCGAAACAGCGAACAAATAACTTGCAGCAAAGACTCACATCGAAGAGGAAATACAATGTGGCAATGAGCTTGTACATTTCACATTTGGCGATGTTCTTGCCCATACACGCCCGGTCGCCGGCGCCCCACGTCAGATCGGCCTTGTTCATCCTGTGTAGCCGTTCAGCATACTCATCGTCGCTTTCCGAGGGACGTTGGAGCCAGCGCTCGGGTTTGAAGTCGTGCACATCATCGCCATAGGCGTCCTTATCGAAATGCGTCGACCACCCTGAAACCGCGACAGCGGTGCCCGGGGGCAAGATGTGGCCATCCTCGAGCGTGAGACCAGGACCTGGGGGGACCGCGCGTCGCGATAGCATCGCTCCAATCGGATGGCATCTGAATGACTCGCGGACCACCGCATCCAGGTAGGGCATCTTGTGGATCAGAGCCCAAGGGGGCGGCATCTGGAGCCCGGACGATTTCAGCTCCGCGTGCAGCGTGGCTGCAACCTCCGGATGCTTGCCCAAGAAGTAGCCGACGGAGGTGAGGCCGATGGTCACCGTGTCCGCCCCGGCGAGCAGTGGGGTGGTCGCGTAGCCATGAACCACCCGCTCATCGACAACGTTCGAATGCTTCGTCTGGGTGTCCAGGATCTGGGAGAGCAGGTCCTCGCGATCTGCGGCGCTTGCCGCCCCGTTGGCCCGCCGGCTCTGGATGAGCTCCCGTGCGCGGCGGGGGAACGAGCCCATGCGTTTCTCGAACACTTTCGTGATGGGACTGCCCTTGAGCACAGAGTGCACCCACGGCATACACGCGGCCTAGCGAAACGTCAACCCTAGCGCGTACCTTGATACAATAAGCGTCGCGAACCATCGCTCGGTATGTTTGGGCTGCATCGACACCTCGAAACATGCCCTCTCGATCAGCTTCGCCCCGGATGAGGCCGAAGTCGGCGGAGACCGTGAGCTTCATGATTGTGTCATACGCAACTGTCACATTCCTTCAGTACCCCCTCTCACGCCAACAGAATTTTTGACCTACAAAAATGCATCCATGTAAACACGGGCAGTGGCTTCTCTTTAGCCCTGAATTCTTGGTCCAGCGTCTTGACCAGCTGAAGGATACATTCGTTGATGAAGCTTTCCGACTTGGTAACGTTGGACATCGAGTAGATGCCGGAGATGGGCCGTTTGAGAGCAGCATGGGTCTTGGTATCCTCCGTGCCTATGAGACTTGGGTAATGGACGCCTTTAAGCTCGGTTCGGAGCGGCCTCCAGTGATGGCTCTGAGGGAGGGGGGCAGTTAGAGAAGCTGTGAGCTGAAGAGTGCATACGGCCTACCTTGGGGAAGGGTGCCCTCGTGGCATAGACTTTGTCTATCATGGATGGGTTCGAGAACATCACGGTTCGTGGACCAACTTGCACCACGGGTCCATATTCCTTGTGTAAGCGCTGAATGACTTGGCAAGTTCGTCCATTGTAGGCATCAAGCGCCTGGAAGACGTCTAGAGCAATGTTAGGCCTCCGAATGAAGGGATGACGTCTTGGATTTCACCTGTATAGCGCCGCCACCACGGCCCCGGAATGCGCCATAGTCCTGTTCGAAAAGGTGTCCCAAGAAACCAGGCAAGACCACCGGTAGCGACAAGCAGAAGCAAGACCCCAAGCATCTTTGGATGGAAGGAGACAGGCAGACACAAAATGCGGGATGAAGGTCTTCTTCTTGTGTCGCAAGTGTATTGTACAGTACTTCCGAGGCTATATAGGGCGGTGGCAGAGGATCAGCCATCCTAAATTACTGAAACGCCGAATCGCCGAAGCTCGGCCATGAATCATGATTGCTGGTGCGTAGTGTGGCTCTTCCGGTGACAAAAGTTCCTCTTTGGACAGACTATCATGAACATCAGGTTGCCAATTCGGTAGACGTCGGGGTTGGTTGTGTGATATGTGATCCGTGACTACTCAAGGAGGGGACATGGTCCAGACATCCTGTTAGCCTAGCTGTAATATAGTTCTATCATACCCAAATCGAATACAGGGTAGGGGATTCGAGCAAGGGACTACTAAGCACATCTCGAACTAATCAAGGGGAGTTATGTTCTCGTAGTGTAATAATAATGTAGACAGTGAATGAACATATATACACACATAAATCTACTCTAGTGTATGGAGTGAGGAATCCTAGTACATCCCACTGAGATCCGCCCGTAAATAGTTTTTTCATCACCATTTCAGGCATGATAGAAATTGACAGTGGTTTGCACGCAGCGTCAAGAACGATTCTTTGCGAGGCCCAAGGTTGCGGCACGACAGCGCCGGAAGTACATGACAGCAGATTTGTTGTACATGCTTGCCTCATCCTCCCATATCAACGCGACGAAGCGAGCTGGCAATGATGATAAAGAGGATTTCGAAGCGCTTCTATCTCGCAGTGTAGGCTGGTCGAGCCCCACCTGCTCTGGTGAAGCCCCGGACGGCATGCTCCCACCTCCCAGCTCGGGCGGTATACCAAGCAGCTGCTCCATCCTGGCAATCAATTTGCTCCCGATGCGGAGCATGTTGATGGCAGAATTGAGTGCATGTCCGAAAGGGTCTGGGGGAGCATACAGGTCTCCAAGTCGGAGACTCTTCGGGATCTGTCTCGTGTGGGAGAAGCTGTCCTCTGGCGCTCCTAGAGCTTTCACGTTTTTCATCGTCTCCGAACTACCCATATTCCCCGACGCAGACGGTTTCGCCGACAGCGGCAGTGCCAACAGGCTCTGGAGCACCTGTTCCGATAGGACCGCCATAAGCTTTATACACAGGACATAACACTGCGCTGCCATCGACGCTTGTTTGCTCCGCAGGTATTCATCGAATGGGCTTTGGGGCGTGCGCGACGTGGTGATTGCTGCCATACTATCGAGCGCCAGCACTTCCAACAAGCCGTCGAAGTGGCTAAAGATTTCTCCAATCGGATCTGTTCTCGACCTGTCAGCTCCCGTGTCCCAGTCTTTTGCATTGCAGATGTCTTGGTGTCATGGTCATACAATCTTGGGCGTTCTGGCCGGGATGATCCCGTATCACCTTCCTAAAAGCGGCTTCCAAGGCCTGGCATGCGCTGGCGAGACAGCCAGATAGGTCCGATGGCCCGCTTCCAAGTACCACCGCAGCATCGATTGGGCTGTTCGAGGAGGGTGGTGCGATGCTCATGGATTCTTCGGAAGTGCTTGTGTCCAGGAACTCCGGCAGAACAAAGCTACCAAGTGAGGCTGGCTCGACAGTAGCCCAGGAAGATGAACTGCCCGGGAAAATGTCGTTGAGGTGTGACAGATCGGGGGCAAACGCCGGATCCAGCTCGCTCAGGGGATTCGATGCTGGAGTCACAGACTGGGTGGGCATGTTGTCCCCGCCCTCCACCATGTTCTTGTTTGACTGTTTGCTGGACCTGACACTGTACACGCACTCGAGTCCGGCCCGTTGGCAGCGCACGCATTGGGTCAGCGAGGCTTTGTCCCCGACACATCGAAGCTTCTGTTGGTGGCATCTGTCGCACGACTTCCGTAACGTTCGGCCGTCAGCATGTTTTACAGCCGAGGGGCCTGCCCACTCTCGGTCGTACTGGTGTCGGGCAGCCGGTTCCATTTTACTTCCACGTTGGTTGTTGAAACTGAAGAAGCAAAACCGACATCATTAAGAAGGTCCAGAGATAGGTGAGAAAGGTGGCGACTCCTGATTTCCCGATCGACTGTCCCCCCTGATATATAAGAGACAACCATGTGCTTTTCATGCAAGATTATGAGAAACCAAAATGTGGCCTATTTTACATCCCTGTCGGTCTCAGAGTCAGCGCTTCATGCGTACATGCCACTACTGTTAGACCTGTCTGTAAAATGGAGAAGGCTGCCCGCCCCCCACAACTATGACATCCATTACATCTAGTCCTCTAGGCATTGTACAATTAACAGAGAGTGTGTCACGTTGGAGATAACGTTACCACCTTAGGCAGTAGTAAGCACTTAGGTATCATGCATTCAGTTAGCCTGATTTCCGTGCACTGCTCGTTTCGGGCAGCGATCGACTCGCGTTTTCTGTTTGGTGCAGTGCCACTTCGCATTGAACCGGGAACTGGAAGAACTGCGATCCTTCTGGATCCCACCACCTCACTCCGTCCGGAGTGGATAGTTCTTACTACAGGCTGGATTACGTACGATCTGGATGATCTGAGGTAATCATTAAAGGTGGGTGTCAGAAAGCCACTGCGAAGGTCCGATCGGAGATAACTGATATCGACAGCGGCAGTCTCTCCAATACGACCGACACTATACCAGATCGAAGCAAGCGGTATGCTATAGTCAAGTATTAGTATCGTACCTGTAGATAAAACAACCACTGCACTCCGTATATGAATACGAATCCAGGCCTTCCACCACCGAAATTGCAATTACTGTTTTCAGAAGCCTAGACAAGCCGATCCACCCGGCCGCACGGCCGTTCTCGGCGCGGCAGCGCGCCGCCCACCGCAGGCCATGGCATATGCACCCTTCCAGTTGACATGCAAATTCGTCGAACTAGCATATCAAACAAACAAGTGGTAAGAAACTGCGTTGATCACTTTAGAACACCCATTTACTAACCAATCAGCGTTAAAGGAAGGACGGGTAATGTCACGATCCAGGGAAAACCATCTTAAACCACCAGAGGTGACGGTTCGTATCGGTTTCACCCCCCACCAAGCCCTTCCCGCCCGTTTCTCCGCTCAGGATTCAGTATATTAAGATGTTTAAAGCTGGCGCGGAACCACTGCGACGAGGCGCCACTCGCGGTGGAACTGTAGGATTGCTTTCTGATTCTCGCACTCCAACTACTCGGAATTGCTGTTAAACTAATCATCTAACTCGTTGAGATATTCGATTCAACGAGGTTGGTGGTGTGCTGAGACCGGTTCTGCCGTTTTTACCAGTCTGCCTACATTCCCTTCTATACGGACGTTTCTAATGCACTTCCTATTTGAGTAAGCAGCGCAGCTCGAGGTACCTAGTAGCCCTAACGCCGATCGTATGGGAAGGACTGCCACTGCCGGTGTCCAGATCGATTCTCGCGGTCGGTAATCTCTGTGTAGCAGTTCCATACCTTTAATCGAGGGTTGGAGACCGTGTTCCAGCCCGTGTGAAGCGTCGACCTCTCAGGTGAGCCAGATTGTGGAAGGATTTATTGGGGGCTATTATGGACGCTGATCCTGGTTCACGCATGCAGCGAGCCCAATCGTGTACGGTGATTGACCCCGTGGGACTCGGAGTTATCTTGCCATATAGTACAGTAGTGAGCGAGAGTTTCAAACAGATGCCCGCTTGCTCTGATAGGTCGGTCGGAGTCTCGCTTACGAAGAAGATGATCCCTGTGTAGCGTGTGAATATTAAACGAAGTAGCGAACCATCAGGGTCAACTGCTGTATGTAGGTTCCTTTGGTTAAGTGCATATACGAGGTGTTAGTAAGTGCCTTAGCAGAATCCTGGGACGGGGCTGTGCGAAGGACAAAGGATCTGAAGAAGACACATGCGTGCATGTGTTCAGTTGATAGATATAGCATGATATGCTGCCAAATTACTCCGTATCCACTCAGGAGGTGCAGTCAACCGAGTCTAGGTGGAAGTATTTTGTAGACACATGATGTCCAACAATGGCAGGCTAGCAGCATCCCGCAAGACTACCAGTAGTAGGATGGATCTACTGCGGATCACCTCTCTGGAGTCGTGGGGTTGCAAGCGAGGGGAGGGTGCATTTGGCACGGAGACCTTGCACTTGAGGAAGGTTTGACCCGCCCGAGACTAGACGGGCCACGCGCTTCCCGAACGCCACCCACTATCAAAACGGCTGCTGTTTTGATCTATAATTTGTGCTAGATATATTATATTCTACCGCGGCATCTTTCAGATGGATCGTAATTTATAGATTTGATTTCAGTTCTTGAATCATTGAGAGGAGTGCTTCATAAGGCCTTATTTGCTTGCTGGGAGAGGCTGCTGTGTAAGGTCTTACTCGGTTGTGTGCTTGGAGAGGTACCGTGTGAAGCCTTGCTTATCTGTGTGCTTGGAGAGGGGCTGCGGGGAGGCCTTACTTGCTTGTTTGCTTGGGTGCTTGCTTGTATGGTGCTGCATAAGGCCTTGTTTGGTTGTGTACTTGTAGACGTGCTGCAGGAGGCCTTACTTTTTTCGCTTGTTTGCTCGCTTACTCGCGTGCTTACTTACAGGGGTGCTGCGTGAGGCTATGCTTGTTTGTATGCTTGTATACATGTCTAGAGGTGTGCGTTCTGTACTTATGTACTTGTATACTTACTTGCAGAGATGCTTTTTTAGGTCTCGCTTAGTTGGTATATACATGTGTACGGGTACCATATTAGGGCTTGTGTGATTCTACAAGTACACAGAGAGAATAACCCGCAATATAATCTGATTTGGGTGTTATCGCTTACTGAAGAGATATAATATCGTATCCATTGTTCATGGAATGCTGATGTTTTCATAAAAAATGTTGTATGGGAGTTCTGGTGGTCAACACGGCCATTCCGGAAGTGCATGGCTCCCCCAGAAGTTGAGAGCAACGCTCGAGATTCCCACTTGTGGGGGTATCCCCAGTTCAGTTCTAATTGGAAGGGTTGGGCGTAGTCTAAAGTGAAAGGCGGTCTTTTGCGAACTGGAACTTCGGCAACCCCTCCCAGATCTACATGTAGTTAGTATACCCCACTGCGACTCTCATCATTGGCTTCATGGCAGCTCGACCTCGGCCCGGCCACGTAGGAGGCTATAATGCCAGCAGAATCTTTTATCCGGGGAGGGCCACGCAACTGGGGATTCCAAATCGCTGACAACCTCTATTGATATTGAGGCCATGGTTGGCCGGAAATCTCTCACCTGCCACTCATTGGCTGTCCTTGGCCCACAATTGCCCGCTGTCGTTACTTGACTGAGCTGCAATGGTGTGCCACTGAGACACCTCTTTATCGGCCAATGGCCACTATATTATGTCGAGACAGCGGCAGTCATCGCTACTCACGTACCTACACAGTGCCTAGTGGTGTCCAACTGAGCCACTTTGCTACCGCTCCCATTCGCCAATCGAGGTGGAACATGACTCGTTCTGCTGCCTACTAGGTAAATACCTCAATATCCTATAGGTAGAGACTACCCCGCACGGAGCACGGAGTATAGAGTACAGTACCTACCCTGTAGTGTAGTTGGTATTCTCACCATGGATTGTCCCTGGTTCACACAACTCGCATGGCAACATATTGGCTTCTGTCACGTCATCTAAGCTCGCAATACAGCCACTAGGTGGACGATCGATCATAAGCAATATTAATTAGGCCCCCTATTGCCTCGCGGGGAAAGCGTGAAGCTATTTGATGAGCCGAGAGGCCGCTGATGGGAGGAATGCAGCCATCTCAAACACAACTAATAACATCATCACAATCCCGTGGCCTGGCGCTTTTATGTCATTGGAGATCCAACATTTGCTGGGATATCGCGCAACCTCTGATCCGGCCTCTTTTTAAGCCAGATTCGATTATGCTTTCTCTCTCGGAGTGTCTGAAGCGGGATTCGCGGCAGAGGAATTAACAAAGAGCTACAACATACCTTCCATCCGGCCAGCTCAGCCATAGAGGACCTCGTTCGCTGGCGCTTTGCACCCAGAGACTGGCATTGGCGCGGAAAAACCCGTCCAAGTGTCAAGGCGCCAGGATTGTCGGCCGCGAACACCTCTTGACTGCCTGTGTGTATCTGCCGAAGGAATCTTTCGGCTTCCCGGTATCTCCCTTGCCACATAGGCGTCGAGGCTACATTGCTATAGTTTACTAGCGCCTAGGTTTATCAACTCCGCCCCCTAATGTTTCCCCTGATAACCGAGCATCAGGCATAGTCCACCAATAGTAATTAGTATGTGATGATCAATTCCACTCATCTTCTTCTAATGTACTAGGGCTCTGCAGTACAACATCTCAGCCTCCTCAGACCGTTCCTGGAGCCTCACTATCATGGCCAGCTTATTGGCACTGGCCAAAATACTAGGATGGTCATCTCCTAGATTCTTTACGAATCCCGACAATGCTGCTTGATACAATCCTTAATCCTACCTATTTTTGCTGTCAAAATACCTTCCCTTTGACACTTCCATTCACTTTACCCATCTGAATGCATTTCATAATTATAGCCTGTTTGGGGATTTGACGGATCTATTGTTTGAGATATTCGGCTTGGAGGTGGGAGTCCGATCTTCGGCGTTTCGAAGTGGGGCACCGAACCCTATGCCGATATTGATACCCGCAATTGTAGAGCCCCGAGTATTGTTACGGCCGATGAGTATAATAGTAACTAGCATTGAAGGGTCTTTGCTGCGACGCTACCTATCAACTCCCTTGAGGATGACCCCTTTGCTGATACAAGTTATGCGCCTTAGAAGCGACAACACAAGGGCCCTCAATCTATCGACCCAACTTACAGCCAAGACTCTCAGTATCTTTCCTTCCACCTGAAATATCTGGACGAGCACCATTGGTGAAAAGAATGGCCCGACGATGGGAGAAACACCTCCCCAGTGGAGCGGAAGCATACTGGTGCCAGCCATCCGACGCCAATGCCAGAGGTGCCAAGAACTTCCTTCTCTCTGGCTGTGATCAGGTTATGCCCAAGGTGCACGCGCGAATGTCGATGCATTATCCGCTCCCCAAGTCCACCGGGCAATCCCGCAGAGACATTGTCCAGCTCCTCAAAACCGGACTTGAGAAACTCGCCTCTCAGGTCCCATGCCTAACTGCAACAATAGCCTTCGACGCCGCATCAAAGCGTGGCACCATGAAAACGATCGGCGATCACGATGGAGTTCTTCTTGTCGTCACGGGCGCGGACGCTGTTCGCACCGATCTTCCATCATATGCAGAACTTGAACGCAAACGCTTTGCGCCCTGGAAGCTTCCCAAAGGCAAAGCGTTTCCCGAAGCGTTGATCAATCCGATCGCAGCAGGGAAAAGTCATGATGGCGGCTTACCGGCCTGTATATTCCAGCTCAGCTTCATCGAGGATGGCTTGATCCTCACGGCTGCCTTTCACCACTATCTCGTCGATGGACCGAGTGTTGACCTACTCTTCCGAGCCTGGGCCGCACACTGCCAGGGGAAAGACGAGATCCCGCTCTACACTGACCGCTCCATCCTGTCGAGTCCCAAGACGCCCGATGCGTGTGAGGTTCAGCGGCTCGAACAAGCCATGACTGCGCGTGGCTGCATGGTCAATTCCACCAAGCCAGATCCGGCTAATCCCTGGTCCAATCTCATGGCCCAACCCACCAAGTCCGCTGTGATCAGCTTTTCTCGCGAGGCAACGGCGGCCCTGAAAGCCGAGATCGCAGCCCAGAAGCCATCCACGCCCGTCTCTACAGCTGACTGTGTGCACGCGATCTGCTGGACTGGACTGACCCGCGCGAAGGCCGCTCTTGCCGAGGGCGAGCATGAAATGGACTTCTGGACCGTCTTCCCCGTCACATTCCGTACCCGTTCCTTCCCCGAGTTTCCAAGGAACTTCATCGGCAATACCACCTTCATGAGCGGAGCTGTCCTGCCGGTTGGAAGACTTCAGGCATTGGAAGGACCAATCGAGGCTGCGGTAGCGCTGCGGAAAATCATCGATAGCGTGGACGCGACATTCCTCGAGGATGGTCTTGCTTGGGTTGACAGTATAGATGATTTCTCCAGCCGATCATGGCTGTCCAGCCCACCCCAGAAGATTGATTCAGGTTTCACAAGCTGGGCTTGCCTGCAGTACCAGAATTGGGATTTCGGATTTGGAAGTCCAGCTGCGTTACGTCCGCCAGCGTCCCCGATACCGTATGTCTTTCCGTTGGCTGGGAAGACTGATGCGCACGGCAGGGAGGTGATTGAGGTCGTGATTGCTGCCACGGAGGAGACGCATAGGTTGCTGATGCAAGATGTGGAGCTTCAGCGATATACAACGGATTATCACCTCGAGCCTTAAGTTGGGCAACTACTGAGTTATGCTACTATGTCATTAGGGCATAGTAGCGGGTAGGATTATTTGTCTTACAATATTAGCTTACTGTTATCAAACTTGACCTCTATCCATTACCTAGACTTGTATCCTCAGTATGTGCATGGTATGTGGTACAGATTGCGCCACACGGTTGTTACGCCAAGCGTTCATCAATCACGTCCACCAGAGAAAATAAAGCTCATTGACGGGCAAAAGACTGGAATAAGCAAGACCGGTAATCTGAAAGGCTAGAGCGAATCTAGAGTTTTAAGTGGCTTGCTTATCCATCTGGGAATTAGGAGGCTCGATTCAACTACTAGCTAAACTTTTTCAACCAAGGAGCAGTTTTCCACCGAGAGCCCTGCTTTCACATTAAAGTCCCCCTTCATACGGTATCTTCTTCTATACATCACGCAAAACCTTCTAACACTCAACATGTCTATTTAGTGATATATGCGACATTCAAAGTACTTACAATCTACACTTCGACCAAGTAAACCTTCAAGCAAGACGCAGCTTTTCCAAATCCTTCCTCTCTTGCAAGACTGACATCTCACTCAAAATCTCCTCACTGCCACCGCCAATAATGAGCACGCGAAGATCTCGACTGATTCTTTCTACCCGCGCTCCCGGACCGGCTCGTGTATATCCCAGTGCCCCGAGGATCTGCTGACTTTCCCGCACAGCCAACTCTGTTGCCCGAGCAGCACTGACTTTGGCAAGGGCGCACAGGCCGCCGATATTCGAGCCCAGCTCGTCAATGTTCGTTGCTCTCTTGAACGCGCTCTCTCTGACCTGTACCAGCGACTCGACCAGGGCGTATGCGCTCATGATTTGCATGCCAACATTGGCAAACTTGAGCCGGATGGCTTGACGATCGATGAGCGGCTTTCCGAAAGTGTGGCGTGTGAGCGCGTGTTGATAAGAATCTTCGAGACAGATGCGAGCAAGGCGCAGGCAGTTGCCCGCTATCCAGAGACGTTCATGGTTGAGGCCTGAACAGGTTAGCCCTACTCGGATCAGACGCACTTGATGTGCCAGAGGCCAGTGGTACACTTACTGGACATGATCAACTTGAACCCTTCATTCAAGTTGCCGATGAGATTCTCGGCGGGAACCTCTACGTTATCAAATTTCAGTGTGGCGCATCCTGGGCATATCCATCAGCAGCGTGTTACATTGACTCTAGGGCGCAAGGCATACCGCTTGAAGCGACACCAGAATTGTGTATCTCAGTCCGCGAAACCCCCTTGGAATTCAATGGAATGACCAGTAATGAGATTCCGGCTTTTCCAGAGCCGCCGGTCCGGACGATCGCTGTACAGTAGTCCGCAAACAGGCCATTCGTAACCCACTGTTTTATCCCATTGACGATGAACACATTGTCTTGTTTTTGCGCTGTGGTAGAGATGCTAGCAACGTCCGATCCGGCTATCACATGTGAATCATGTTATTCGGTGAATTTATGCATCTTCAACGCTGGGAAGAACTAAAGAGAAGAAACTGAGAATTCTCGCAACTCACCGTGCGGCTCCGTAATGCCCAGACAAAACCTGATCTCTCCCCGAATGACAGGAGGCAGCCACCTGGACTTCTGCTCTTCGGTCCCAAAATTGATCACCGGAGGGCAGCCAATCGCATTTCCACACCCAAGCGCCCATAAGACCCCAAGCGAGCCGCAACGGGCCATTTCGTCGATGGCTATCAGGTCATGGAAGCTATCCCACTCAGTCGCCGAAACCCTGCCTGGGAGGTTGATGTTGTCTCCAACATATTTCTCAATTGCGGCCGGATTTAACAGAATGGCCGTATAGCCTAGGTCTGAGTGGCGTTTGAGAACCTGGGATACTATCAGCAAGGTAACATATCGGCACATGCACCAAGCCGGAGTCTCACTGTTTTCGGAACTGCACGACTGGCCTCCCACTCGGAACAAAACGGCTCGATTTCAGTGTCAACATACTGGCGGATTTCATCCCGCAACCGCCTGTGCGAATCAGTATAATGCGGATTTCCTGAGCGGGAGTACCACAATGGCTCCGCGAAAGGGGTGCTGGATCCGAAGAATTCTGCCATTGAGGAACATAGGATTCGAAAGCTGACGAGTGACAATCTAGCTCAGCAAGATGTGGTAGCTTTCAAGAAAAAGGCCCCTCGTGGTCTCTTTGTCCAAGCTATGTAGCTATGCTATAAGATACAATTTAAATTGTTGTCGACAGCTGAAAGCAGCAGGATTCAGCAAAGCGAGGGCTATCGCCGAGGCAGCAAATGCCAAACGCCGGCGCAGCTAGGGCGAATCGCCGACGCCGCCAGTGCGGATCACCGATGCAGCTACCCAGACTTCAGCAAAATCATATCTTGAAACCTTGTATACTGGAATAGTAACACTGGTCTTCGGTATAAATGTGACGGTTGCTGGGTGCACATTGCATTTGTATCCCTGATGCATCTGCAAACCTTGCAATGATGCAATATCTCAAACTGTAAGTCTTCACGCAATCCTTCTGCTCGACAAGAGCCTCATTACGACGATACCATCTAGGCCTTTTTGGAACTTCTTCAGCACTCGCGATGACGAGCTCGCCACGAAGCTTTGGGCAAGCACTGGCAGCGATGAGCAGGTCACGAAGGTCTGGGCAACAATGCAGAACCATGAAGGATACCAGGTCTCCCGTAACGGCGGCACAGTGCGGCTGTGCTTGGACCGACCTCATCATGGCAACTCTTTAACATTCCCCATGATCAAGGAAATAACCTCGCTATTCAAGCATCTCTCAAGCGACGACTCTGTGCACCGAATCATTATTACGGGTCGTGGCCGCTACTTTTGCACGGGCATGCACCTGAAGGAAGACCTCTTTGTCTCAGTTGCGGAGCGGTGCAATGCGCTCCAAGAACTCTTTTCCACTCTCGATAGTTGTCCCAAAACCACGATGGCGGTCATCAACGGGCCCGCCTATGGTGGAGGTGTTGGCCTGGCTACCGTCTGCGATGTACGCATAGCCGTGTCCACTGCCTTCTTTTGCTTGAGCGAAGTCAAGCTTGGCTTGTGTCCCGCAACCATATCGAAGTTCCTGGTACGGGAGTGGGGAAGCAGTCTCGCGAGAATGGCGATGCTTACTGGCCGGAGAGTGAAATCGCAGGTGCTGTACGATGCAGGAATCATACATGCTCTTGCGATTGATCTTGATGATCTGGAGAAGGTGGTAGAGGGGTTCTTGAATGACCTGAAGCTTGCGGCTCCTCGAGCTGCTGCACTATGTAAATGGTTGGTTGAGGAGGCCGTGAGTGGCCATGATGCCGCCATAGACCAAATGGCCGGCGAGGTATTTGAAGCCATGTTAGCGCAGGGATCGGAGGCATCGCACGGTATTGCTCAATTCAACATGGGGATCAAGGATATAGTCTGGGAGGACGTTGTTAGAGATGATAAATTAACGGCGTCATGAGGCAATGCATTGTCCACTATAGCTATCAGTATAGATCTTGTTCATTTTCACCACTGGAAAATAGAGCGAAAAGGCAGAAAGGGCAAAGAAATGGAAACGATACCCAGAGAAGCCACTCACCTGGACGGGGATCGGGTATTGTGGAGGCTAGAATGTACCATCTATTGCACTTAATGAGACAAGTTGATAAACGCCCGCACTGAATGGCTGGTTGGGTCGGTCGATGCGACTACGAGCGAATGTTAGTGAGGGTCTGCAGGGCAGTGCATCTTGTCTTTCTGTGTATCTAGCGCATCTCAACACCGTTGGTGGCACCTAATGGTAATCTATACGGGTTGTCGTTTGAAATCAACCTTTTCAGCGATATGTAGGGCATCTCTGTCCTTCACATCCATATACTCATATACCTTGAGATGAGACTACACATAATGAATCACCGCTGTCTGTAAGCCCAAGAGAAAAATGCATCTAAAGCCCTTTGTCATCACCTCCGGAGCATACGCTTGAAAAGGGCCTCGGAGCCAGCATGGTCTCGCAGCCAGCTTCGGCGGGCTCGAATAAATTCACAGTGTTAGTTAAGCACAGGAATAATTCACCTTCATCTTTCTGAGTATGATGGCCGCCAATGTTTTGGCGTGTGTCAGTCAACGGTGGGCATCGGATTCGGTACAGAACTGAAACACCGAACGCTAAACACCGAAATTCCAAGCCGAAGAGTGAATGGCACTCCATTTTGTGAGTGAATCAGATGGTATCTATGAATATGTTATGATAACTCAGCCACCCGTGTAAGATATAACCAAAGAGGAAAAGCCGATGGTAATCAATGCCCGGATCGTTCCACCTTCGGATTACGAACTCACCCGCGAATCTCCCAGGTGTCCGGCTCGGTTGAATGAGCACGAATCGCCCGTTATATAAGATAATCCATGTGGTTAAAGTTTAGAACAAAGGCAGCCCAAAACCGATTTTAACCCCTGGTGTTGTGAATAACAGCAGCCATCATGTTCCGAGAGAACATCGGACTAATCTTCCTAACAGCTTTGCCTGCTGTGTTCCTGTCCTACTTCCTGAGTGTCGCTCTCCCGTCGCTGAGACTCCGATGGAAAACCTCTCAGTTTCCCGTGATAAACAAGAAAAAAGGCGAATGGTCCGATGCCAATGCCGTGAAACGATGCGCCCACAATGCCCAAGCAATTCTTCAAGAGGGATATGAGAAGGTAGGCTCTCAGCTCGTTCAAGGATTGCCAGACCAGATTATTGACCAACAACACCAGTACAATGATCCATTCCAGCTTATCGGCTCCTTTGGAAGGAGGATTGTTCTTCCTCCGGAAATGGGTGAGCATGTCAAAACGGATCCTCGCTTCACTGCCAGTGAGGTGGTAAGGCAAACCATGGCCGGCTCCCTGCCTGGTTTTGAAGGCTTGCTGCCAGTCATGGAAGCCGGCGCGCCCAATGTGTTCATTCAGATGATTCGCTCGAAATTGACCTCAAACCTTGGTATATTGCTATTGAGAGACCACCGGTGGGCATACGACACTGACGTTCTCCTGCAGGCAAGTTCACTCAGAACCTGGCAGAAGAGACCCAAGAGGCTTTCGATGAGAGGTGGGGAACAAGCACTGGTAAGTCACCACATGGCGCAATGCATAGGATGCCTGACTGATAAGGGGGCTAGAATGGCATGAGGTCGACCTGTTGGCCAGTCTCCGCGACATCGTCACACAGGTGTCAACGCGCATCTTCCTGGGAACCGAACTCTGCAAGAACAAAGAATGGCTGGATAATACCCAAGCATACACGGATAATGTCTTCAAAGCCGTGCGATCGATCCGCCGCTTTCCCGCATGGTCTCGCCCCTATGTCCAATGGTTCTTGTCGGACTGCGCCAAAATCCGCCGACAGGTTAAGCGCGCCGAGGAAATCATCGAACCTGTCATCGCCAAGCGGATCGAAGAGATTGCCCTAGCCCAGAAGGGTCTCGCCGAGATGCCTAACGATGCTATCTCATGGATGCACGAAGTCGCCACGGGCAAGGGCAAGGAATACCACGGAGCGCACATTCAACTGTCCCTTAGCATGGCATCGGTACACACAACATCGGATCTCTTTTCCAATATCCTCCTCCAGCTCTGTCGGCATCCGGAGTGGATTGAACCGCTGCTCCAGGAAGCACAATCAGTCCGTACAGACGGTGCGTGGGAGAAGACGTCGCTCTATCGGATGAAGCTCGCCGACAGCGTCATGAAGGAGACACAGCGCATTAAACCCCTGGGTGTCCGTACGTCTTCCCTCTCTCCCCTTCCGAGCGGCCTAGTAGCCGGGGATTAACAGACGTTTAGTTCTATCCCACCGCCATGTCAGTGACGACGTGGTCCTCCCGGATGGCACACTCATTCCGAAAGGCGCCATCGTCGCCACCAACATGTCGCGCATGTGGGACCCGGAATACTACCCGAACCCCGAAGAATGGCAGCCCGACCGATATCTGAAGCTGCGCGAGGAGCCCGGGAAGGAGCACTCGTCGCAGTTCGTCACGACCACGATGGAAAGTCTCGGGTTCGGCATCGGGAGTCACGCCTGCCCCGGAAGGTTTTTCGCCTCAAGCAAAATTAAACTTCTGCTCAACCACGTGCTCCACAACTATGAATTTGAACGGGTGGATACGGAGAAGGACGCGACCCCCTGGTTCGTAGAGTATGTCACGAATCCGAAGGCGAAGCTGCGGGTGCGAAGGAAAAAGGTTGCTGCATAACGTGGGAAGTTATCCAATGGAGATGCCCTGGCGCGGCGCAATGAGCAACGCACCACATTAAACAGAAGACAGAATCAAAATGACACGCATCCTATTCAGCATACCGTGTAGCGAGAACTCGGAAATATGGACCATGGTTTCTCACCGAGGTACTTACTTACACCTTACGCCACCTTTTCTATGAGCTCGAATTTTAGATCTTCAATTGTATGATCACTTTTTAACATAATTATTGCTTCACATAATGAGAGCTTCTGTGTGGTTCAATCATCAAACATTCTGTTGATCCCTGGCCAGCAAACGCTGCTATATTTCGAAACTAGGTGAAATACGAAAAGTCGCCTTTGTTTAGCAGCGTATTGCCCTGTCCACGACATTGGTCCCGCGGATGATCTGTGAAGACAGCTAATGCCAACAGGACTACAGAATAAGATACCTCTTATTGTAAGTCACCCTGTAACTCTCAACTCGTCTTGCTTGTCGTCAATTCCGCAAGCTGGGTCAGGTGGATCGCTTTTTCCCTTGGCAAGCATAGCATGATGATAATTTCTAGCGTGGAGAATTTAGGCTGCCAAGTCCGCCGTTCACTAGTGCTGACGGTGTCGCTTGTGCGATTTGCCTTCATCCCAGCTTTCTCACATCACTGATATCAATTTGGACAATCTTCTCCACTCATGGGTTCATCAGCGAGAATCAAACTGCTGACAAGACTATTATAAGAGGTAGGTGTGATGATTGAGTCGCTACATACTTGAATCTCTGATTGATTCTATCAATACAATGTACAATAACACAGAGATAAATAATTTTCTAGCCGTGGCATACTTCGATTCAAACGATCAATGTGGATAGTCAACTCACCATTACTTAAAGGTCAAAAAAGACCATGAAGAGCATGGAAACAAAAAATGAAAAGAATAAAGTAGGACAAATCAAAAAAGTCACGCGCCTGAAGAAAACGACAAGTGGGGAGATCCGATAGATGAGACCCTTTTTCAAAGTCGTCTTCATCCCCTCGGAAATTCACGAATGAGGCATGGAAGCGAGAGAGACGGGCAATGCGGTGGGGACAAATAGCCGGTACTAAATCCCCCGCTAGACCCTAAACAGCAACTGAGCTGGACCCCGAAATGACAGTCCCGCCGCTATTGTTCGTATCCGGGGCTCTAGTCTCATTATTATCTCCATTCTATGCTTCAAGCTCGTATGTCGAGTCGTCTAATGATGCGCCATGTCGTGAGCGATTGGATATGTTTTGGTCACAATCAGTCATACGAGACTCAAGTCTTCTCGTCTGTCGCCGTCTGACAACTTGACCGGGCAGAAAAATCTATAAAGCGCACTGGGGTTGCTCGTCTCTGCTCGTCTTTCACATCGCACTCTCGATCTCTTCTCAGTCAAGATCATACCTACTTCCCTCACAATGCAGCTCCTGTCCCTCGCCACCATGGCCGTCCTTGCCGGCGTCGCCGCTGCCAAGAGAAACGTGTACATGTGCCCTGGACCGTACGTTGACTGCACCCCATCCACGTTGAACATAACACTGATACCTCTCGCACAGCAACTGGACGGGCCCCTGCACTCTATTCGGCTTCGACAATGGCGAGTGCATGGACATCAGCTTCTGGGATACCCTAGGCTCGATCGGTCCAGATGAGGGTGAGTGATAAGCGTGCCCCGGTCAGCGATGATATAAGCTAATGTTGTTCAGGCCTGGTCTGCTCCATGTTCGTCGAGCCGGGCAACTGCTACATGACGACGGGCAACTTCAATTCGGGCGGTTTCGTGAGCCCCGGCATTGCTGACTTGACGACCTGGCAGATGGGCAGCGGCGAGAAGTGGCCGGGATACTGGTTCAGCAACGCCAAGACCGTCCAGTGCTTGTACCAGTAGCCAGCTGGAGATATCTTCTCATTGTCTTTTACTTAGCGTGCACAAAATTGAAATGCATTACCATTGCTGTTTTGGGAAAATGGATCTCTGCTCGGATGGGGCGGTGGGCCCTCCGGCTTGGCGGGTGTTTGTCTATCTTATCTTCGTATTCAGAATCCACGCGGTCATCGAGCCGGTTCTATTCCACAACTTATGAACAGCCTTGTCTCATTCTAGTCTGGCTCTAGTCGATTGGCAAGCATTTGCACTCTTGCTGTGAGAGCACTCATCTTGTTTAGTGCGTGGCCTTGATGCCGGAGGGAGTGCTTTCGAAGTCCGGACTGGATACAAACAATATATCTTTACATTGATCTCAGCTCACGGGTTCAACGCTTAGATGCCCAAGGCTCTGTGGTTACAAAACGAGGCTAGAACCTCAAAGATAACACCCTAAGACATTCTCCATCAAATCCACAAGTTCTGGAGATAGCTTAGGAAGAGGGCAAACAGAGCTACTAGGTAGTACCGTTAATACCCATGCATCTGGGTCCGGTTGATGTTCCTGCGATCGCCGCAACCACCATTGACATCAAGCTCCATGTTTAGCAGCCTTGACGTCACGTTTAGCAGTGCTTACTTCCCTCGATATACACCCATGCAGTATGATAAATCTGTCTAAAGACATCAGCCATGTTGAAGCTGTTACCAGGAAGAGTCGAGAGTTGCACATACTGCTGTACGACTTGTTCACTAGATCCAAGGTGGCGGCGGGCGCAGAGCAGGCAGCCAGTTGGCGAAACTGGCCCCCTTCCAGTTTCTGGACCCAGAAGGCTCGACTGGCAGGTTTTCCACGCAGCATTCCATGGAAGCAGCTGGCTATAGACGCTGGAGCTGTTGGCTGTTAGGTAAGTCTAAGCCCACACGGGCGTCTCAAACTGTAGATCGTGCAGGATGGGTCGCAAGCCGTGTGACCGCGGCATTTAGCTGCAGATCTAGATCAGCCCACTCCGATGCACGGTGACATAAAGCAACCCGCAAATCCACCGTTCCACGAACTATAACCACCATACCTGGTTTCATGCTGCAGGATTGCAAGTGCGGGGTTCGTGGGCTGAAAGACCAAAAAGCAATGATGGACTGAAACCGGTCTGTGTGACAGGGGTCTATAGATTAACCTGCCCCCAACCAGAGACTTAGTACGCACAGGGTATCCAATATCCACGACCCAATAGACATCACACTAGGGTCGGACCGGCCGGCCCTCTGAGTTTTCCAGCTGTCGATCGGTCTTCCAATGGCTGCAGCATTCCCTAGCTCACAGCGTATGTGCGCGTCATGGTGACAGCAGAGGCATCTGCAGCTGCAGCACCTCCTCCCGGTCGCCTACTACTTAAGCCCAAGGGATTCCCTGAGCTGAGGTCGGACATCATCTTCAGAGATTGCCCTACACAGAGCACCCCCAAGAAGACTACATTCTCTAACAAAATGGATTTCTTGAAGTCTACAGCCACCCTTCCCAAAGTGACCCTGCCCGATCTGGGGCAGTTGACCTCCGGGACCGTCAAAGACTTCCGAACCCTAATCCAGAATGATCCGACCCTGCTCAAGAATGCCACCGCCATGTTCACCCAGGCTGGCTCCGATCCCCTGAACGTGATGCAGAACCTAGCCGGGTTCCTGGCGAACCTAGACAAGATCACGCGGACTGCGCCCACCTACGACGCCTCCGCGGCCAAGAACTCCCTCGGAGGCAGCATGGGAATCCTGACCAACCTGCTGGAGCCCTACCTCAAGACCGCCGCGGGGCAGGAATTCTTCCGGGACGCGCGAGTGGACAAGGTCCTGCAGTCCCTGCTCAAAGAGTGGACGGTCTACCTAAAGTCCCCGGAGTCCGCCAGCGTCCTCACCGACGACGACGGGGGGTGGTTCAGCCGCGCCGCCCTGTCCGACGAGGAACGGGAGGCCTTCTTCCGGGACTACAAGTGCGAGCAGGAAGCCCTGCACTACGGCTTCAAGTCCTGGGACCAGTTCTTCACGCGCGAGTTCCGGGCGGGCGCGCGGCCCGTCGCGGCGCCCGACGACGACAATATCATCACGGCCGCCTGCGAGTCGGTGCAGGTCATCTTCCAGCCGGACGTGCAGCTCTCCGACACCTTCAACATCAAGGATCACAAGTACTCGCTCAGCACGATGTTCGGCGACCAGGAGCTCGCGGGGAAGTTCGGCGGCGGCCGGCTCTACCAGGGCGCCCTGAACCCGACCAACTACCACCGCTGGCACGCGCCCGTCTCCGGCACCATCAGTACCATGCGGGTCATCGCGGGCACGTTCCTCAACTCGGGGACGAACGCCGCCTTCGACGCCAGCCCCGTCACGGCAGTGATCGAGGATGAGGTTCTGGGGGCGCTGCACGAGGCCACCCGGTGCGTCATCGTGATCGACAACGCCAAGCTGGGCCCCGTCGCGTGCGTCTTCGCCGGCATGCGCGAGCGCGGCTCCTGCGAGCCGACGGTGCGGGCCGGCGACGAGGTGAGCAAGGGGGATCAGATTGGGATGTTCCATTTCGGCGGCAGCACGCATTGTCTGGTCTTCAACAGGAACATCAACCTTTCGGTTCTATCGGAGGGGGCGGCTCAGTCCGGTCAGCCGGTTGCGGTGAACTCGCAGCTGTTTACTGTGTCCTAGGATGTCTGCGCGAGCTTCGTGTGCGACAGAGTCGTGTATGCCAGAGGAACTGTCAGTGTGGAGAATGCATTACCATAAGGGCTCTTTGCCATCGGTTTGTTCGGGGTTCATGTCGTGGCCCAAGAAACTATTCTCTCGGTTCAATGTGTTTCTGGCGCGAGGGTCTTTGCTGTATCAGAGTATGTATGGAAATATGACTTCAGTCGATGGCCGATTGGGCTATCGCAAGTCTTCAGGTGGTATTTTCAAAAATAAGCTGAGATTATTAACCGCTCTCTGGGGCTCGAGTCACTCATTGAACGGGAATTGGGTTCTGGGACGTCGCCGCCAACCCAGTAGACTCCATGGTCGAACAACCTATGCCAGGTGGAAACTAGAGCTGCCTGTTCGAGCCGTGGATTGAGTCCAAGCTAGTAAGATAATCAGCTGCGCTAGATACTATTGCTAAGGTTGATGTCGCTGTTCAGCGGCCCAGCCGTCAATGTGGTCCAGGAGAATCGTGTTATGAGAGGAGACGAAACAAGGAACTAGACCAGGACCAGTACGAAGAAGGGCTTTCCCGACGGATTGACAGGTTGTATTGAAGAAGACTGGAGGGCATAGTATGATGGGGAAACTGCTTTTATTGACTGCATAGACTATGTGAGGTCAGGACGGATTCCTAGATCGGTCAAACCGATGAAGGCTCTTCTTTTTTGGCTGGAATGTCGTCGGTGTCTTTCTTGACTGGATCGTTGTCGGTGTCGTACCCACTGCCTAGGAAATCATTGTCGTTGGGGAACGCACAACAAACCAAGGGTGGTTTGAGGGCCGGAAAGCGCTGCTTGAGCTCGTTGAATGTCCACCAGGCCGGGATGGCTTGGATTGTGAAACGATCCGAAAAGTGAACGATGCCGACGACGCTGAGATGCGGCTCCTCGATGACCCACGCTCCCGACTCCGAGAGGAAGCCGTCCGACTTGAAGGCATAGTGATAGCACAGATCCGCCGTGCCCTGACACTGCGCACAGGGTTTCACAATGTCCAACGGCTCATCGCTGGGGGGAAGCTCCCGGTCCGGGATCATCAGCTGCCAGCGCGGCACGGGCTTATCCTTGTCCATGACGGTGGGGAGCAGCACCCAACTCGCGTCCGGACCGGGCACGCAGGTCTCCGCGAGCTCCTGGTTCACCAGCTCCACGAGGGCCCAGTTTCCGATTCGGGAGAAGTATCGCTTCTGGGGCTGCAGGGTCTCGGGATCCGGAGGGATGCGCCCCCAGAGGGCGTGGGGCTCGCGGGCGTCGTAGATCTCGGTCGACTTGATCTCGGCGTCGTAGGGGGTGGTGTGCCAGAAGGGCTGCGTACCGACGCCACAGAAATGGTCTTCCAGGAAGGGGCTGAGCACCGTCAATCCGAACCATTTGCCCTCCAGCTGGAGGATGCCGCCGATAATGCCCGCCCGTGGCTCGTGGTCCTCACAGCGGGAGGTGATGTATCGGAGCCCGCTGATGTTGCCGGTCCTCTCCACGTCGATCTCCCTTGCCTGACTCTGGGCTGGCTTTAGGCCTGGAGAGGATGGTTCTCGTTTCATGTCGGACATCGTGTGAGGGATAGTCTGTCTGTTGCTTCTTATCGATACTGAGGACGAGTGCCGTGGGAAATATAGTGATGGTGACAAAGAACTGCTCTTATATGTAGAAGATAGGCATAATTTATCTGTTTCTGCTACGGCTAGATTGAGAATATCTCCGGGACAATGACAAGAGGCACTGTTAACAAGAAAGAATAATAGTGGCTGCACTGAAAAATCCCGTCATTCATTCACAAAGGAAGCGAAAAGCTCGAAAGTATTGAAAGAAGACATGTCGCCGCAGCTAACTACTGCGGAGAATTAAGCGTGCTCAAGCTGTGTTTGTACGGCTTGATCGACCCGCTCTAGTTTCAAAGGGGACTGCTGTGAATGAGACCTACACGTGAATGTCATATAGTCTCAGACCTGGATGACCTCCACAAAGCCAGTGTTATGCAAATGAGGTGATTGTGGTCTTTCCACCAGGCAGCGGGCAAACTCAAGCGAAAGCGCGAAGTATACGATTTAGTCCTATCTAGAACTTGCGAAAATGCTACCTCACAAGCTCGATGCTAACTTGAGGATCACGGGCATAGACCCGCAAGCCAAGCACGCAGATTGCATTCCATGGCGATGGTGAATTGCCATTTGTATCAACTGACTGCTCATGGGAAGTTGCTTCTTCCTTATCTTGGTCTTGCTTGTCATCGTCTTGTTTGTCGTCCTTCTTGTCAAGATCCTTGTTGTCATGGTGTTTCTTGTCATCATGCTGGTTGTCTTCATCCCGTTTGCCATCATGCTTCTTCTCACGGTCCCTATTGTCTTCGTCCTGCTTGTCGTCATCCTGCTTGTCAAGGTGCTTTGTATCTTCTTGCACATTGTCTTCGTGATGCTTTTCGACGTCTTTGCCCTTCTCCTCATGAACCCTTCTTGATGAACCAGGTGCTTGGAGCACTGCAGGTGGAGGCTCTGCAGCGTGACCTTCTCTCTGGAGATTTTCCTCATTGCTGTGGTGAGGCAGGCCGGTTTCTGTTCTCTCCTCATCTGCCTTCTTTGCAGACCGATCGTGTGCGAGCTCATCGTTCGCGAATTCAGCAGGTCCAGACTTATCCTTGCCGGCTTCATCTTTGCCGATCTCATCCTGGACAGCGTCACCCTTGCCAGCCTCACTCTTGCTAGCTTCTTCCTTTGCAGTCTCACCGGTCGCGTTTGAGGCTTTGATGCTCTGAGCTTCAATCTGCTTTTCAGATTGAACTTTAGCATTCGCCAGGTCATAATTCATGGCAACTTGTTTCAGCTTCTGGGGATTCTTCTCCACCCACTCCTTCACCACATCCTCCACGTTCTTCTGGTCAGAGTCCCTGGTTGCGAGAAGCTTGATAAGAATCTCGTACCTGCCGGGCTCAAGCTTAACCTCCGCACTGATCGAGCGATTGCCCCGGCACTGAACCGGCCGGACAAGCAACAGGTGCTCTCCGGGTTTCGCATTCTCCTCCTGGAGGAGGAAGTGCAACGCAAAGTCGTACTGCCCTTCAAGGCCTCTCATATAGCGCTTATCAGCCTGCGAACAAGTTAACCTTTGCTTACATAGCCATTATGATACCGATGCGAGAAAACGGAGATTCAGCATACCTCAGAGAGAACGAAAACAACAGGACCAGCTGCCCTGATCTCGACCACGAACTTGGTTCGAAGATACCCTTCAATCCAAGGGACGCTGACGCTCGTCCACCGCTGGACCACTGTCCACGTCTCGTCAAAGATGCGCGTCCGGTGCAAAAACACGAACGTCGAGAGCAGATCCTCATAGGCCATCCAGAACATGCCGTCGTCTCCGAATCGATGCTGCAGTTTCTGAAGCCAGTAGGGGGTCCACTCGCGCGAGCCATCGCTCCAGGGGCCATTCCACTCCCCGACGCCGCCGGTATTCCTCTCTCCCCAGGGGTTCCTGACCAGCACCAGCCGCACCTTCTTCCCATCCTCGTCCTCCTCCTCCGTCGCCCGGAGAATGGAGTACGCATGGCCCAGCGCCAGCCCCCCGCGCGTCCAGTCTCTGCCCGACCCCAGCGCCGACGCAGCGAACACAAAATCGCGCTCCGCATTCACCAACTCCCTCCACAGGGTATTCTTGCTGAGCACCTTATTCGTCGCGATCGTCGTCGTCACGCCGCCCGTCATATCCTCGACCGCCTCGCCGGACCAACCGCCGGAGAGCGCCTCGTAGTCGCCATGCACCTTGGCATACGCCTTCTCCAGCAAGGGCAGCCAGGTCTCATTGGCGTCGGAGCACTTGGCGAAATACAGGGCCTCGGAGCCCGTCTGGTGGCGCTTGCGGTACTGCCGGGCCAGCCGGCCGGTGCTGTCGTAGCGATCGCCGTAGAAGTCAAAGTCCTCGTGCGACAGGTACAGGTTATCGTCGACCACGGTCGACACCCACTCGCCGTCGCGGTAGAAGACGAAGCCGTAGACGCCGCACTCCTCGTCGCGCGCCAGGCAGATCCGCTCCATCAGGTCCGGCCGGTTGCAGATCGTCGCCACCGCCGCCAGCCACCAGCAGTCGCCGTTGGCGCCCTGCTTGATGTCCGTGTTGGAGTACCCGTCGATCGTGAACCGGGGGTCCTCGAAGATCCAGTCGACGCGGTGGACGGAGCCGGGCACGCCCTCTTCCTCGTCCGTGTTGTCATCGGAGGAAGAGGAGGAGCTGCTGGAGCACCAGTCGTCATCCGCCTTCGTACCCCACCCCCTTACCCGCTGTCTCCCCACTCTGCCCCTCCCTCGTGCAGCACCCATATCCACACCCCTCCCCTCCCCGCCAAATTTCTCCCCCCGCACCAACCCGCGCAGACAGTTCCACAGCGCCAACTCGCGATCATTCTCAATGTCGAAGTCCGGGTCCGTGAACTTCTCGTTCACGCGGTGGCACTCCCGCACGATGCGCTGCACCTCCGCCCGGCACTGGCGGGCCGCCGCCTCGTAGCTCTCCGCTGCATTGCGCGCGGACGATTGGCCCGGGCTTTCCCGCTGCGACGGGAGGAGATCCGCGTAGAGGCTCTGGGGAAAGATGGTGGTGACTTTGCCTGGGGTTTTGGCGATGAAGGTGTTCCAGAATGCGGTGATGGTTGCTTGGGGGGTGGAGGGGGTGGAGGGGTCTGGCGCTTGCGAGGCGGCCATTGTGCTGGTTACTTTGGTTAGTAGAGATGGAACCTGGGTGTGGGTGTGTAGGGTTTCGAGCAAGGGTCAGAAGAATGTGTTTTATTTCAGGAGATTGTCTGAGGAATGTGGGAAGGTGTTAGGTCTTATAGTGTAGAAGATTCATAATAGCGGATGTGCTGGTACAGGGATGTTTGCGGGTGAGACAAGGCTGAGGCGTGAGTAAGGATGGTGTGTTGTTGTCGGCTGTATTACTTCTGTCAGCCCCGCGCTTAATCTGACGACTGGCTTTGTTTGTTGGGGTTTCTCTGAGAGGTCTCGGTATCTGGATCCTTATTCATCGATCTGGCACTCGTAAGAGAAAGAATGACCAGAATTACACTGAAGCATAACAGGAGTGCATGCATCTCTGCTGGTGATATGTATATGTGAAAAGCCAAGAAAATGAGTTAACAGTAGCGGCCTCGTATTCTGAAGCTGCAGAGGTGCGGCTGACAAGGCCGGATAATATGTGAATGGAGAGGAAATTTCTGGGCGTGTCTGCATGTGCGTGCAACCCAACTGTCATCCCAACACTTTGCAAAACCTTGCAGAGCTACATCTGAACCAATTATTACCAGATTGTGAAGTATAGCAGAAACATCCCGGTAACTGTAAGGTGAGGCTGAATCCCTTGGGTATAACTTTGAGCCATCGTTCTATTTACAAGAAAGCCCAAGTCTTGTGATTGAACATTGCAACATTGCTCCGGGGTAATAGCTTGTTAGATCAGCATTCACTCAAGAGGGTGAGATGTCAGGCCCTGCATTGAAGAAGGTGGGGAAAGACACCTGGCAGGCTAGCCAGGCGGGAATTTCCGCTACACCAGCCCACGGGCGGGCGGTAAAAACCGGCTCTTCCCATCACTTAGCCTGAGGCTTTAATACTTCCTCAGTTGTTCTTTTTAGGTGCCTCATCCGCGCTGCGCGCCTACAATATGGCCACAGTATCAATACCTCAGCAGTCGAGAGATACGGGAGATGGGTCTGACTGGGCTTCATTCAGGCGCGAGACTTGATACTTTGAAGACGATCTATCGATTGAGTCTGTAGTTGGAAGCGCGAAACGGTTGCCCTGTCACTCCTGCGGAGCAGCGGCTGTAAAGGAATCTGTTAGTAAACGAGATCGATCGCCAGGATCACGGGACTCGGATGTCAGGTGTGCTAGTCAAGGAACAAATGAGACTCAGATCAATCTCGAGAGCACCACACATTCGCCGGTCTGATCTGCAGTAGAGATGGCTCTAAGGGCGAAGGCTGCGGGGCAGGGTTCTTTAACACTTCTTGCAGGGCCACGAAGCGAGGAGGTCTCTCCTATGCATACCAAAAGTCGAACCATGACTCCAACAAGTCCATTCATGCTCGTGATAGATACATTAAGACATTACAAGGTTATTCCTGAAACATGGGTATAATAGAAGCAAACGAATGACGGGGTCCATTATCAGGGTACGCGGAGGTCACGTGGTTGGTTTGGGGTTCACCCTCGGTGGTGCTCAACTCGCTTATCCACATTACAACACACCCTCACAGAGGTTAAATTGATGTGCACACTAGCGGGCCTGACCAATCTCTTCATCCTGCGCATTTGAATGCGCAGAAGATGCCGGAGGCTGATGTGCGACCGGGGTCGAGTGCGACGTTTCCGCCATCTCCGGGCCAGCAGTAGCAGCGGGAGCAGCGGCAGCCGGGGCGGCAGCCAACGCGCCACTGGCCTCCGCCGTCGACCCCTGTCTCGACTGCGGCGCCAGACTGGACGCAGGACTGGGCTCGAGGAGACGCGGACCGGGGGTCCTCTCGGGCTGCTTGCTGGTCTTGACGCGCGCCGGGGCCGGGCCCAGCATGGGCGGGTACTTGAAGCGGAAGCCCCAGACGAAGAAGAGCTTGAGCTTCGTCCCGAAGCTCATCGCCTTCCAGCGCTTCTTCAGGACCTCGCCGTCGGCCTGCGAGCGCGCCCGGTAGCCCTTGCGGAACCAGCACAGCAGGAACAACGTCACGGGGAGGATGGTCAGCGACCAGAAGACGGGGATGCCGCGCCGGGTCTGCCAGCCGGTCATCAGGCGGCGGAAGCGCACCCAGGCCTCGATGAAGCCCAGGATCAGGAACAGACCGATCCAGCCGAGGGTCAGAATCAGCGTCAGCGCCAGCGGCGAGATCCCGAAGTAGTCGGGGTCGAGGAACCAGTTGTAGTTCTCGTCGTCCCAGTTGTTGTAGTACCCGTTGTAGTAGCCGTTGCCGTACGAGCTGGAGGAGCTGGTGCTGGTGGGGTAGCAGCCGTCGCCGGTGTAGAGCTCGCTCGGTTGGTTGTACTGACTCAGGGAGCTCAGGGAGTTGCTGGGGACCTGGGTCGGGTCGACGTACACGATGTCGATGGTGTAGGTGGTGGGCTGGAAGGGCTGGCTGTTGTCGACGGACAGGGAGGTGGAGACCGCGGTCAAGGGGAGTAGGCTCTGCACGCGGACCGGCGGGTAGATCTCGGCCGCGGTCGTCGTGGTCCAGTGCGAGGAGCAGCCTGTGGGCGCCGTAAAGGTCAGGTTGACCACGAACATCGTGCTGTCGGCGGCGTCCTCAGTGTCGTAGAGGTAGTCGTAGTAATCAGCCCCCACGCCGGTGGGGTACAGCTCTTGGATGACAGTGATATCGGAGTTGGAGTTGATGACTTCATTGTAAGCGCCATACTCGCGATAGGTGGCGACTGAGGTGATGGTGGACTTGGCTGGTGGCAGGGAGGTGACCGTGGGGGTGATTTGTTCGATCTCGGTGGTGGTATACGTCTCGTAGTAGTCGGACTCGGTATAGACGTTCTCTTGGTAGTAGGCAGTAACGATCCAGGGAGCTGCCGCAACGAATGACGACAGCTGGATCCAAAGGAGTGACAGAAACAACAAAAACGAATGTGAGGACGCCATCGTGGATGGTCGCCGGGGTAGATTGGCTAGAGAAGCATGCAGAAATTGGAGGATGGGTGTGGCGCTCACTGGCCTTATTATACGAAGGGTCGAACAACACACTAGGCTCAACTCTGTAGAGTCACGCCGTACAGAGAGTCTAGTAGGGGAAATTGGCTTTAGCTCCTCCGCCAATTCTACTCGCTATTATTGGCCGGGTTTCATACGCAGGGACGATGTGAAGGGTCTATCTTTTTTAGTCAGGGCGCTAAGACCCTCTTTACAACCTTTGTTTTCAGGGTCAAGCGATTCAAATCACTTCTGCATCAGATCTTGACCATGTGTCTCAGCAGGGTTCACATGTTCGTCTTGCAAACTCACACTCACGTCCTTTATCCTCTGGCAGAGGATATAGTGCCGGAACATAGAGATCTCTCATAGTTTTTTCCCCTGACATCTCTCTTGTCATCTTTCCTGAGAAAAAGCACTCGTTGCTGGTGGGAAATTGCCGGGGGCGAGAACCGACAGGGGAACGAGGTTAGCGGCCTCGCTTTCAGGGTTCGAGTTATAGGGCTATCCGCAATGCAGCCTAGTTTCTTCGACTAGCCTCGTAAAGTTGGACGGTTTGTTCCGGATTTTCTCAATTGAGCCTCTTGGCCACCGGCCTAGTGCCATTTAGTCCTGTCCGCAGCCCTGATTGGGAGAGAAAGCGGCCGAGAAATATATAGTCACAAAGAAAAGTAATTCTTTTTCAATAAAGGAAGAATCAAGTTATTAAGAGACACAACGATAGAAAGAAGAGTCTAAAATCACCAACTGCCAACCGCCCAATCCCACATATCAAACCTTTCCTCCCGTACTAAGCGTGCCCCGTCTGTCGTTCAATCACGGCACGAAAAAGTGACCCCTTAGTATCTCCACGATCCGCTACCACCGGGGCAACCAGGCGTGCCATAGACGCCCCCGACCGTCCACATAATGAAGTCGGCCATCCACCAGAATGGGATGGCTGCAATGAAAACGGCGAGCAAAGCTTGAAGAAGGAAAGAATGCTCGAAGGCTTTAGATGCAGCTCGGCAAATCAAGAGTAGTAGCCACGCCAACATCTCGAAGACCGCAAGCGCCCAATGGTGCGCGTACCATTGGTCCACGCCGAGCCATCCTAGGTACGCCGACAGCAGTATCGCCGTGCGTTCTTGCTGATAGCACTGGTTGTCCATGGGCCGCTCGGCAAACCCGCCCCAGCGCGCGTGCAGATGCTCATGGCCTTGGCCACACTCCTCCCGGAGCCAGGCCTCTCTCTCGCCATAGACCTGCCGCATGATAGAGTAAGTCATGAGGCTACCGAACCCAATCATCACAGATAAAGCACAAATATACGCTACTATAGCTTGCCGCCGGGTAGTCGCTTCCCCTAAAGTCAAGAAAGGCGAGCTCCGCTGACGCTGCCGGATTTCAGGAGCCTGAGCCTCAAGGTCATGGCAAAGACCCTTTTCGAGTTCGTGGTCCATTTTGTATGATGAACACGATAGCATTGGTCACAGATTGCGAGAGCCCGAAAATGTGTTGATGAGCAAGCGGCGAGGCAGGTTGAGCTGTGTTGAAGGTGTTGGCAGTAAGGAAATGGGACTGGTTGTGGGTGGGGGACTTGCTGAATTTATATGGCCGATGCTGTTCCCTCTGTGTGTGGCTCCCCTTACATTCGTTTTTGGCCTTGATCAAGAGATGTTTTGACGACTCTCAAGACAGAGACATATGCTTATGAAAAGCTTCTGCTGTTCTTTGTTCCGCTGTAATCAATCTCATGCCCATGCCTTTGTTTCGACTGCCCTTCTTGGTTCATCGTTCTTTGAACAATCCTTTTGTCGACTGAGCTATTGTCCGCCCACTGTAGCCTACTCCGCGCGCGAAAGAATTTACCGTTGCAACGATTGATTCTGACTCTGCATCAGAGCACAATAGACTGGTCGTCTACTGTTTTTCAAAGTAGTAACAAACCAATGCAGCCAAGGAACAATTATAATCACGTTATCATCATTGTATCATTCTATAGGCATAAGATCCACAGTCGCGGGCGCCATCACTGCCCTAACGTCTTCTCGAGTCTCAACAAAGACTCCGCCGTATCCTTGATACTCGCCTCCAAGGAATAGAACTCGATCCCCAGCCGCGTGCGCACTTTCTCATGCGACACCCCATACACCTGGGGCACCTCCCGCGCCGCCTTGCATTCCGGCACCTTCGCCGTATCAATCCCAGGGACCTTGGTCCTCAGAATCTCACACACCTGCGCGTAATCAAAATTGCCGGCCACCACAAAGAACCGCTCATTAGCCGCCCCGTCGACCTCAAACGCGCGCAGGTGCGCCTCCGCCACGTCCCGCACATCGACCCAGGCCGGGAACCCGGTCGGGGGGATCTCGCTCAGACTCCCGTTTATGAACCGGTACACGTCCGCGGCGCTCTCATTCAACCGATCCATGCTCGCGACGTGGTGCTCGACCGGCCCGTAGATCATCGGGGGACAGATCGTCGACAGGCTAAAATTGGGCTTCTCGCGCTTCACGAACTCCCACGCGGCTTTCTCGGCCAGCGCCTTCGAGGCGCAGTAGGCCGTGGGTCCGTCGGCGGTCTTGGCCTGCTCGTACGTCTCCGGGTTCCAGTCGGCTTCGGTGTAGGTGTGTTCGGGCCAGTAGCCCTTGCGGAGGTTGACGATGGCGGCGAAGGAGGAGGTGAGCACGATGCGCTGCACCTGGGGCGCATGGCGGTGGGCGGCGGAGAGGAGCTGCAGGGTGCCCTGGATGGCGGGTTGGAGGAGGTCGCGTTCTTGGTCTTGCACGCTGAACGCGAAGGGGGAGGCCGTATGGATTATCTTCCATCGCTCAGGGGTTAGCTCATGGACCTTGCTGGGTGTCTGGGTGTATGCAATTGTCTCAGTGCTTTGGAGGAACTCACGCCTTGAACACCCTTGACGGCTTCATCGAACGCCCCTGGTTGGGCGATATCCTTGACAATCGTGAAGGATAGTTTGTCCCCGTACTCCGTAAAGATCTCACGCACTCTCTCGGCGGTCTGCTCCGAGCGGACGGTACCACGCACGCGGTAGCCTCGTTGGAGGAAGACCCAGAGGACGTGCGTTGCGACGAAGCCAGAGGCTCCGGTGATGAGGATGGTTTGGTTTTCGATCTTCGACATGATGTTGGCTTTGGATGGTCTTGTCTGCAGAGAAACTGCCCCTCAGACACTGTTCCAGCTGGAACCAGACTACCTTAAGTACCCTTGAGGACCTTGATGCTCAGGGCGCCTGGCCTTCTCCGGTCCCGCCATACTGCGGCAACATATAGGTGTGGACTGATGTCAACGTAGGTGTCCTGATCTCATTCTCACCTCATGAAGACGCTTGTCCCATTTCGAGACGCGAAACGGGGTGATTGTGGGACCTTCCTCACTCACTGCACCTGTTATGGCAACTTGGGACAATAATGTTTGGTGCTATAGTATCCACCACGGGAACTCGGCACCATCTTCCCCCATCGTGAGGTAGGATCATTAGGAAAAGAGAGTGACGACAAGCCCCACGAACTTTGACAAGCTTCACCTATTCAGGGTGAAGCTTAACGTGCCGGGTAAGACGGATGTGCTTGACATTAACATTTGTCGCGGGCACGTCCCCGTGTATGGAATGCGATGAAGGGTGATAGGGTGGTCCATAGAGAGCCGCGCACCGCGGCCCGGGTTCTCGGGCTTGGCTGCAATCGAAGGACTCCGGAGCATGAGGTTCCGGGTTGTCTTGAAACACCCGCGCGGATCGGGGTGTGGCGGTTGTAGGGTCTCAATGTATTGCTTTGCTAGCTGTCCGCTAGGCGCACAATGAAAGATAATGTATGCCGCCTCCAAGTGGCTCAATCTCTCCCGTTTACTGCCTATTTAGGCAATTTTGGCACTCATTTTAACGGTATCCGCTCCGGCTGTACGAAAAAAGGCCCCATCATGTTCAATCTTAGGTTATAAAATCGTGTAAAGGGGCCCGGCAAGAGGATGCCTGTTCTGACGGAGGTATCCCACACCCAAGCTGATTAAAGCTTCGCTGTTCGCGCGCCTCGTCTCAAGGTTCCGGGCCATCTTATCTCCTTCCGAATTCCGAGGCTTATCTTGCCCGACCGTCTCGTGCAAATGCCCAAGCCAGATCGAGCAGATCGATCCGATACGGGTTGCACCGAGCGACCCGCTCAGTGGTATAGGAGCAATGCTAAGGTATCCTTGCGACCTCGACGTGGTTTGCGTACATGGCAAGTCTCATCGAAGAGTATCAGACCTTTCAAGATCAATTGCCCCATCAGTTGGGGAAGGATCGGATGCGCGGCCAAGCCGGATCCTTATCAATCTTATCGCTCCCAACTCTGGCCAGCCAACGCGGGAAACTCGGCTTAATGATTGTAAGGCATAGCAGAGCAAACATGGCTGCGATAACTAAACAAGTATGAAGAGTACCCGTAGGTTTCCTTTGCTGTGCTTAGAAAGAGGGAAGTACTTGGAGTTTTTTTTAAGTAGCGTCGCTGTGGTAGCAAACTATCTGGCCAACGAGGGAACGACCATAATATTAATGTACTGCGTACCCGAGATCGCATACAATACATGCCGCCAAAACCAAGCATCATAGTGCCCCTCCGTCGCCTCCAGCCTTTCTCCTCTACCCCAAGTCCATTGACCCGACTGGTACACCCTCCCTAACCAAATATAGACATAACAGAACCTCCCCTCATCGACTCCCGCATCCGCACCCCTGCCCACTATTTACGAACCCCACATTCACCGCCGTCTCCAACGTGGTATTCGCCGAGAGCAGCTCATTCAAGAACGTCCCCGTCTCTACGGCATCTATAAGATTCGGCAGATATTTGCTATCAAACTACTTCAGATACAGCAAGCCAACTGAGAGAGATTCAGCCTTGCATTGCTAGCGAGTTCCATTGCTCATTCTCCCAGTGTGAAGTTCCTTCTGAGAGACCACAAGCTTACCAGGTAGCAGCATTTGCCCTGGATGATATATTCACTGTTCCAAATCCTTTAATTTTCCAAGCACACCCCCCTCACTTTCTCATCCATAATCGACATATTGAGTAAGTGTTTGTCAGATGCGTGACCCAACGCTGAATCCTCTACCCTGCCAAACCCGATCCCGCCGGTCGCTGTCCGACTGATCAGCAACATCCTCGCGAAGACCCCCCCCCACCATCCGGTAATATGACAGTCTCTCCGCCATCTCGTTTAACAACCACAACAATCCACCCATCAAAAACCTCAATCTCTCACCCCACCTTCCTCACCGGCTTGACCTCCTGACCCCACCCCCCAAACAAGACTTCATCCCGCACCCAGCTCCCAAGCAAGCATACACTCCCCGGACCCAGCAACAACGACCCTCCCAGCGCGACAGGAATCATCCACTGCCAGCGAAACCCCCACCCCTTCGCCGCCCACGCACTCCGCAGTTCCAGCATCACCACAACCATCACCGTCGAGTACCCGGCTACTTGGTCCCAGAGCAAGAACCCACGCACTCCGTCGCCGGGTGATTTGGCTTGTGGGCCGATGGCCAGTGGTGGGATGAAGATAGCGGTCGGGTGCAGTTCCCTGCGGTAGGTAGGTTGGAACAGAGTCGGGAAGAGAACGGTGGCGATAGAGACAGCTACGGTAGAGATGTGCATTAGTGTGCTGAAGAGGAGGGCGGGGATGGTGGCTGCTCGGATGGCGTGGATGTGTGCTCCGTTCTCTTTGGAGGTTGCTGGGGTCGTTTGGGTGGTGTCTGCAGGGGCGACGAGCTTAAGGAGAGGTCGTAGGGTGTACAGTGATGCTAGCGTCAGCAGGGGATAGATGTTCCACGCGATGATGGCGAGTTGGTGGTAGTTGCTGCTGTTGCTGATTGTTCTGGCCACGGGAAGGGTCATGAGGGCGGCGGGGACAAGATAGCTGAGAACGATGGCGGGAAAGAGGAGGTGTTCCACCAGCGGTGCGAAGGAAGAGATGGTGGAGGTATGCTGGAGGGTGTTGAGATTGATCTGCTTGGGGAGGCGGACGGTGGGAGAGGTAGCGATGTAGCTTAAGGCCCATAGGAAGCCGGTCGAGCCTATGGTGCAGCCTTGGAAGAGTAGTAGCCAGAGGGTCGGCCTCCACTCACAGACCATAGATGTCAGCTTTTGTGAAGGTTACCATCATCAACAGACTTAAGAGCGGGGTGATGCACATACTTCAGAAGACTCGGCTTCTGCCCCCGGAGACCATTTACGTAGGCGATGACAATGCACGGCAACAGCTGTCCGAGGAAGTAGAGACTCACTGCCGAGGCAGCAGGGTGAGAACCATCGACAGCCTCGTACCAGAAAGCAATCAGCACCGAAAGAGTGCAATCAAGTGGGTAGCGAAGGCCAGTGAAGGTTCGGCGCAGAGTAGCCTCGGTTCCGGGAAAGATGTAGGGCTTAGAGCCATCCAGCGCCCGTAACAGAAGCGCAGT